TCACTCACTCATTCACACACATGCCTCGCATTGGAGACCATTGTCAGTGTACTTCTCACACAGTTTTTGCTCTGATGAACAGGTACACTCAAACAAACGAGGCTTGCGCATGCAGCTTAAACTCTGCCTGAAATATCACATATTTAGTGAGAGTGAGGTTTCTGGGTATGGAGCAGACATGGTGTGCAGACCCACACTGCATGTTTTATGTTTAATAAATAAGTTTCTGCAATTACTCCTCATTGTTTTATTTTTGCTTGTTAAAAGTATGGAGAGCTGCAGCTACTTCCAACAAATCCAGTGCTCTGAGAGGTAAACGAGAGGTTTCCATCAAATTGTGCAGCAATTATTTCAACACTGTCAGTGAATCATACTACACATCTGTTTTATGTAAAATATGTGTGTGTGTATTTTTTTATTTAAGGCTTTTAAACCTCTTTTTTGAGCTCAGTTTATCATATAGTTTGTGAAATCGGTTATAAAATCTACATCCCTCTAAATGTAGATTTTCCCCTCAAGATAAATAAATCTTGTATTGTTCAACATAAAACCTATTTAATTTTGTTAGCCTATGACATGTAGTTACTCAGATATTCACATCTCCATTCATCCATCCATCATCTAAAGAGCTTATCCTTCTGGGTCACGGTGGGGTGCTGGAGCCTATCCCAGCTGTCATTGGGCGGAAAGCAGGATACACCCTGGACAGGTCGCCAGTCCATCGCAGGGCAGACAGACAGACATACACATTCACACACACCTAGGGGCAATTTAGCACATCCAATTGGCCTGACTGCATGTTTTTGGACTGTGGGAGGAAACCCACGCAGACAACATGCAAACTCCACACAGAAACGACCCGGCCGGGAATCAAACCCAGGCCCTTCTTGCTGTGAGGTGACAGCGCTACCCACTGTGCCACCGTGCCGCCCTATTCACATCTCAAATTATGTAAATTTTTTGGAACACCCTGTATAAAGATCTAAAAGATTGTAAAGACTGTAAAGATTATTACAGTTCAATTTAAACTGATATCCATCATTTGAAGAGGAAATGATTAAAACTGAAGATGTGATACGCATGTGTTTAAGAGAGACACCAGAATGTGTTAAACTATCAGACAAATATGTTTATAGCTGTTACACACAGAGAACAGACTGAAATACAACCTTAAACTAATCACACATAACTGTTATTTATTTAACTGTGTGTGTGTGTGTGTGTGTGTGTGTGTTTGTGTGTGTGTTTAGAGTGGAACATGGAGGTGAGATGAGAATCAGACCAGGACTGAAGAAATGTAAGTACACACACACACACTCACATTCACACACTCATACTCACATTCACACTCTCTCACACACACTCTATCTTTTCTTGTGTGCAGATTCCTGTGAGTTCACTCTGGATCCAAACACAGCAAACAGTTCTCTCTCTCTGTCTGACGGGAACAGAAAGGTGGAGCGTGTGAGACGGTATCACTCATATCCTGATCATCCAGAGAGATTTGACCGCTGTGCGCAGGTTCTGTGTAGAGAGAGTGTGACCGGATGCTGTTACTGGGAGGCTGAGTGGAGCGGAGGGTTGTTGGCTGAAATAGCTCTGACATATAAATCAATCAGCAGGAAAGGAAGCGGAGATGACTGTGAGTTTGGAGGAAATGAAAAGTCCTGGATTCTGAGCTGCTCAAATACCAATTACTCTGTCCGTCACAATAAGAAGAGCACTGATCTGTCTGTACCTTCCTCCAGCTCTAAGAGAGTAGGAATGTATGTGGACTGTCCGGCCGGCACTCTGTCCTTCTACAGTGTCTCCTCTGATACACACACACTGACACACCTACACACATTCTACACCACATTCACTGAACCGCTCTGTGCAGGATTTACAGTTTATAATGACTCCTCAGTGTGTGTGTGCAAGATAGAATAACATCCTGTGCATGTGTATGTGTGTGTCCACTACACAAGTAGAGCTCATAAACATTACAAAACATTTACTTCAACAAAGAGAAAATTGGATTGTCTTTCTGTCTCTCTTTCTCTTTATGTCTCTCTTTCTGTTTCTCTGTCTTTTTCTGTCTCTCTCTCACTCTATTTTTCTGTCTCTTTCTCTCTCCCTCTCACACTGTCTCTCTCCATCTCTCACGCACTCTCTCCCTCTCTCTCTGTATCCCTCTCTCTATTTTCAAGTTGAATTTTTCCCCTTGTAATGTTTGTGTGGTTTTATGTAAATAAACACCCACAATTAATTTTACATTATCATTTCTTATTTCTCTTTATTCTTTATAATTAAAGTCTTTTTATGTTACTGTGTCTTCAGGACTGATATATGTAAATGAGCTCTGTTCTGATTGGCTGTACTGTATTCTGCCTCGTTTAAAAAGCAGTTCAGTCTGTATTTCTCTGATTTGGAGATGATGTAGATGGAGATGATGTAAGGAATCAAAGGAATATCTACAATAAATAACTAATTAAACTCACATAACTGTGTACATTTACTCACATAACAGTGTTTATGAAACTCATATCTGATTTATTTACACCTGTATAGATGATGTAAACTGAGTTTAAAGTAAAACTAAAACAACTTTCAGTTTAGCTTGTGGCTAGTGGGTTAGGTCATAGTTAGTATGTTATTTCACAGCTAGTAGGTTATTTCATGGCTAGCTAGTTAGGGCATGGTTCGCAAGTTAGCTCACAGCTAACAGGTTAGGTCATGGCTACAAAGTTAGGTCATGACTCGCTCACAGCAGAATAGATTGCACCTAGTGGATTAAGCCAAGGTTAGCAGGTTATTTCGTGGCTAGCGGGTTAGCTTATGGCTGGTGAGTTAGGTCAAGAGATGAAATCCAGTAAACATTAGTTGCTTATTTGTTTTGCAAGCCCATCAGTACTTTTTCTCCTGCACTGGCAGCTCTTCAAGGCTCTGTTCATTTATTTGATTTCCAGTCAAAAAGCAGAAACAATATTTGTACAATAGCTGCAACAACTAAATATATCAAAAGTTTCAGTGTTTAGTGTTTCCACATGTATTGCAACTCACATTCTTTTTTGGGACTTGTTTTCAGTTCTTCAAAAATATCTGCAGGGATCAGAATAAAAACACTCTTTTGTACCTGGCTCAATCTCCCTAACTGACAAAAATAGATCAAATAACTATATCTAGATTAATCAATTAACGCTTTGTAGCCAGTCACAATGGCCCACCCACAGCGTTACTGGATTGGTCCAAACCTAGGCCAGAAGTCAAGTGAAACTGCTTAAACTCTCTTTTTGTCACCTCCATGTTTGTGGGAGATGCAGGTAACAAGCTTTGCTTTTATTAAAAGAGATATGTTCATGTTCCTTTACATATTACATTCTTGTGAATATCTTTTGGAGCTTCTCAAGCAAGAACTAAACTAGGTAACATCACTCACTACCTTGCATATATCTTTGGAGCATCTCACACATAGAGTTGCAGCCCTGGGTACTGAATTAAAGTGAGTTGTTTTCTATTTAAAAGTTTCACTTTTCTAGAGAATCCATCAAGCAAGGGGTACTACAACGCTCTGTCTTAGGCCCAGGTTTATTTTCTTCTTATATGATATGGTTAGGTTCCATCTTCCAAAATGGATCTTATTATGGCAACTGTGATTCTTCTTATATGGGAATCCGTCAGTCATCAATGTTATGCCTCCAAATGGCTCAGAACACAACATAACGTGGGCCAGGGGTGCCCAAACTTTTGCATACTGCTGTATTATTTCACAGAATTTTTAATGTTTTAGAAAAAAACAGCAAGACACTTGAGGCTGTGTATCAGCGATTTCACTTCGCTTTAAATTGTGGGGAAAAAACATGGTCATGCACAGCCTCTAGTGGCGGACGTCTTTAGAACACTCCTTCCCAGCCCGATCATCAGGAGGTGAAGGTTCATCCCTGTGTTGTATTTTGGTTTGAAGCAAAAACATAGACCATCTTGAGGACTGTGACGACCATGTTAGGAACCAACACTTTAGAATATCAGAAGACTCCTGAACAAGATATACATACATGAACAATCATGAGCTCAGTTGAGGCAGCGTACATCGTGGTTAAGAGAGTCTGCTGGACAATACTGCAATTGTAGATACCAAATGTACATCATAGCATCTACCCAATCATTTGTGATTTTTACATGTATTTACATCTTTTGGTTTTATGTCATATGTTGATGTGAACGCTAATCAAACCAGCACTAAAACTCAATAATTAATCCTTTTCTGCTTTGGTGGGGACCAAGGGAACCAAATTACAAAGATAAATACATGGATTCAGACTAATAGTTCAGGATAGAGCAGTTTTCTTTCTTGTGTGAGTGGTTTAATTGGATTTGAGAGATTTTGGTCCATTCTGTCACTGCAGTCCCAAACATGTAGTTTATTGCATAACGATATAAATCTCATTTACTGTGCAGTCACAGGGCTGGACGAAATGGCAAAATATATTTTTGTACTGATAAATTATGCCACAACAAGATATGCTTTTCTGAACATATCTTGGATACTTGTAAAACATTAACCAACTGTTACATATTGAATAAAACTTTTTTTTTTTAGATTTTTTTTTTAAAATACAGCACTACTGATTCTTTTTTCTCTGTTCCAACTGATCAGATGTCTGAAAAAATATAATGAAAATTACTTGAAGTATTGCAATGTTATATTTTGGCCATATCGCCCACCTTTATGGAGTTCTACTAAATACACACACATTGATAAACACTACTAGCACATTTGCACACTCTTTGTAAGTGTTGTCAAGCCAACATTCAGTTTGTTAACAAACTTTCCTACTTTAGTGTACAACTGCTATTTCTTTGATAATGTCTTTGGATGCTTTTAGATGTGTTTTATGGATTTTGTTTTAGGAAATTCAGGATCTTTTTAAGTAAAATCTTATGGCTCCTGTATTTAGACGTGTTCTTGCACAAAAATGGAAAACTTCAGACAGCAAAAATGTCTTCACTGATCAACTACATTTTGGGTAAGTTCATTTTATTATTTTAAATCATGTTACAGAATGCATGTTTACATAATAAGCATGACAAGGATTTTTTTTTTAATCCAACTCACATATCATGATTATTCATCTCCCTGTTAGTGCATTTATGTGTCTTAAATGTACTCATGTGCCTGAAGCTCCGCCCACATTCAGAGCAGTAATACGGTTTCTCTCCAGTGTGAATGCGCTGGTGCTCTCTGAGATTACTCTGCTGACTAAAACTCCGCCCACACTCAGAGCACTGATACGGCTTCTCTCCTGTGTGAATGCGCTGGTGGTCTTGGAGAGTACCGTAACGATTAAAACTCCTCCCACACTCTGAGCAGTGATACACCTTCTCTCCTGTGTGAATGCGCTGGTGCTGCAGGAGAGTACTCTGTTGAGTAAAACTTGCGCCACACTCTGAACACTGATACGGTTTCTCTCCAGTATGAATGCGCTGGTGTTGTTTGAGACGACTCTTTCGATTAAAACTCTTTCCACAGTCTGAGCAGAAGTACGGCCTTTCTCCTGTGTGAATGCGCTGGTGCTGTTTGAGATTACTCTGTCGATGAAAACTCTTTCCACACTCTGAGCAGTGATGTGCCTTCTCTCCTGTGTGAATGCGCTGGTGTCGGTGAAGAATGCTCTGTAGAGAAAAGTTCTTCCCACAGTCTGAGCAGCAATACGGCTTCTCTCCTGCGTGAACACACTGGTGCTTTTTTAGAAAACTTTTAGCAGTGGCAAGTTCTGAGCAGTGGCAAGTTCCCTCCTTGCCTGTATTTCTCATCATTCTTGTGGGAGATGTACCAGAGAATGGATTTTGAGTATTGGAGCTTGTTCTGGATGCCATACTCTCTTATTCAATTTCTCCTTGTTTCAGCAGTCTGGCTTGCTCCTCTTAGCAGCATCTTTGGAGTTTTTGGAGATAAATATGAACTGGACACTAGGAAGAAAAAAGAGAAGAAAAGGTCAAACTAAGTATGAAATGCAACAAACTTTCTTAAACAGAAAGGTGGCAAAGGAGGTATTTGGAGTGATGCTAGAGAAGAAGCACTTTTGGTTCCCTAAAGAGCCTTTCAGTGGATGAAATGTGAGTGTAATAACACATTTTTAATATCCACTTTCCTGGATTCAATCTGAGTGTAGCATTTCTGTTATTTATATTGGCTAATAGTTCTAGGCTAATGTGATACTGGGTTGTAGTGATTCTTATTTTACACCAATTAGACATGAATCAATGTTTATCATGTATAAGGTCACATTTAACTTGTCATTCAAACAGAACGTTCACCAGTTTTCATGCTCCCCTTCTGCTCATTGTGTCTCAGATGCTTATATCATTTGGAAATATAAGCAAACTTCTAGAACCAATACAGATACACTTGAAATTAACAATATTTTGATCACTCACAGAAAACTGGACATTGTTTTGCTGACTGAAACTTGGAGACAGGTTGGGGACTACCTACACTTAAATGTGTCAGTGCCTAAAAAATTTACTTACATCTAAGCCACATCTCACAGAGAAAGGAGGAGGTCAACCTATAGGTTTCAAGGTTGATAGTTCATGAAACTTCATCTCACATCTTGTGAGTATTTGGCTCCCCTAACCCATAGCTACAGCTGTTCATCTAACATCCTCCCAAATCATCATCTCATTATTAGTCTAATCCAAGAGAACTGCTTACAATGATCTCATGCATTTCACACACTGAACTGCACTAAATTCAGTATCACTAAATACAGTTTTCAGATTTGTAAATCAGCATGTGTGTCTGTAACTCACGTAGAATCCTTACATTAAAACTACAAATTCTAATTTGCTTTTTATAATATTTATGTTGCAACTACAGTTAACATATATACCTTATTTCAGCAGTCACTGGAAAACACCCAGTACATGTCGTCAGTTCATCAGAGAGCAGACAGACAGACATATACATTCACATACACAGGGAATGTAGCAACTCCAATTCGCCTGACTGCATGTCTTTGGACTGTGGGAGGAAACCCACACAGACACAGACAGAACATGCAAACTCCACACCCTTCTTACTGTGAGGTGAGTTTTAATTCATATCTCAGATGTCCAGTGGGTAAAAAAAGTACATACACCAAGTAAACCTGCTGCCATCGGGGAGCAGACTGCGGAGTCTCCGGGCCAGGACAAGCAGACTGGGGGACAGCTTCATGCACCAGGCTGTCAGGATGCTAATCTCTCTCCCTACTTTGACCCCCCCCTCCCCTTCTGTCCTTCACACACACAAAGTTTGGACCCAAACACGTGTTCCTAACCCCCACTCCCCAATACTGAACACATTCTCAGGGACTGTTACGCACCCATCAATCACGCTCCATAAGTTCATTCTAATTGCACTACTGTTTATATTTGCACTATTTATATCCATAGACCTGTCACTTCATTATTAATTTCAGAACATTCTTATATTTATATATATTTTTTTTTTGTTATTCTATTTTTCTACAATTAGTGTTTGTTTTTTATGATTTTATTTATTTTTACGATTAGTGTTTAGTGTTTTTTTAGTGTCTATTTAATTCACACATTTCCTGTTTACCGTCTTTTTAATGTTATCGCTACACTATGGGGTCTGAGAGTAACACAATTACAATACTCTGTATGTCCTCTATATACATTGTAGTATTGACAATAAAAGCTGACTTGACTGACTTGACTTGACTAAACAGTTGGAAAACTCCAGAAGTTGATAGCATGGGAAAATCTAAGCAAAGCCAAGATCTCAAAAAAAAAGTGGACCTCAATCAACCCAAAGGTAACAAAGGTAAAAAGAAACTGTACAAACAACTGTATGCAATAGTGGTGTGACAGACTGTAGTTGATCTGTTATCCTTATGTGATCGAAACCATGATACAATCCAAACCACGAGTTTTGTGATCTGTTGCACCCCTAGTATGCAAGTATAATAGTCTTGGGACCACACAGACACTGCATGGTTCAAGAAGGAGGCACCAATTAACTCCCAGGGCTGAACAAACTTTGGTCCAATAGGTTCAACTGAACCCCAAGACCACAGTTGCAGGCCTCAGGTTTCTATTTCCACCATTAAAAGGATAATACATTGCCAAGGTCTGAAAGGCTGTCACGCAAGATAGAAGACCTAAGTGCAAGACTGGTATAAAAAAAAAAATCCAGACTAAGGTTTGCAGGTGATCACCAGGACAAAGAGGATTTCAGAGGAGTGTTCTCTGGTCAGATGAACTATAAATTGAACTGTTTGGCCATAATAATCAGCAATGATTTTACTGATCTTATATTAGCTTTTAAATTTTAAATCTATTAATGTCATTTGTTGTTCATACGACCAAAAAGATGCTCTGAGCAAACTGACTATGTTCCTGCTAGATCACTCAGGTCACTGAATATTAATGTGCTAAAGGAATAGTAAACATTCAGTTACTGTGACCCCAATTTTACACTTGCCAGCAACTGAGACACTTAGCACATTTAAAAACTAGAAACACATCAGAGCTTATTTCAAGCTGTATTTTATTGTCTTATTTTTTGTTTAAATTTAATGTCTTTTATTGATCAGTTACTCATTCTTTCCTCTGTCTTCTAACCCGTGTGTTTTAGGTTCAGTCTTCAAACCTATGCATCACTTTTTAATGTACTTCAAAAAGATTTTTAAAAAGTGAAATGCATAAAATATTATTATTATTATTGTTGTTGTTGTTGTTGTTGTTGTTATTATTATTACTATTATTATTAGCAGCAACAGCATTACTAATACATGACTTTAGCACATAACAGCACAGACAGTCAGGAAATCCATGCTATTAGTGCTGGTTTAGCTGGTCACCCAGCAAGGTCATGCTGGTTGACCAGAATACCAGCATCCAAAACACAACATACGCTGGTTTTAGTGGTGATCAGCATATCAGCTTTCATTGCTACACTGTTTGTTTTGTTTTTTGTTACGGTGGTTTCATACTGGATTCTAAACTTCATTTATACATAATTTCACTAAGCAGATGAAAAAGGAGATATGCATATTAAGTTTTTTCAGCTTAATTAACGTGACAATGAAGGACTTGATAACCTCACCTCACAAAAGAACAAAAAGCAGACACGATAAGCTGACTTCACATGGGACAACGGGCTCGAAAGAAAAACAGCACTTTAAGCAACCACTAAAAACAACATTACTCACCACAGAAATTGAAAACCTGTCATGTAAATCCTTTAAAAATACCAGAATACGCTACGTTGACCAAAACACACACAGGCTCAGATGCTCCTCAAGACAAATCTAGACATAAAGCGCTTGAAATTCATACTTTGCATCGCACTTTTCAAAAAGGGGACCATCATTTCTCCAAAATTACTCAGTAAACAGGTGAACGGGTATAAAACATCTCCCCACCTTCAGCGGATCAGCTCTGATTCTGTTCCTGCAGCAGCGCTGCACGAACGCGGATCTTCTACTCCTCCACTTCAGTGGAGCTGGAGAACCACGGCGATGTTATCAGCGCCACCACCTGGACGGCAGACTCATTTTTTAAACCCACCCGTATTCAGATAAACCCCGCCCCCTGGTTGCTGTGATTGGAGTGTTGTTCATGTGAGCAGCCTGCTGATTGGCCAGTTGAAAACTCGTTCACTTTACCATAGCAACCACAGAACGCGGCGGATCATCCGCAGCTTCGGAGGATTCACAGCGGTCAAAAACAAAAGCACGTAATTTTTTACTCTTAAATCAAAAACTTTATATGTTTATATATTTTTATCACTACATTACAGAACTACGATCAGATCGTTTTATCGCTAATGTCTTCTGAATTCTCTTCCTCGACTCTGACTGTCACTGTCCAATAAGCGGACCGCTCGTGAGAGTACTAGCCAATCATAGCGCAGGAGACGCGCAGAGCAACGCTCGCAGGATCAGCAGAATCTCAAGAAAACTGGCACTTTCCGTGATTTGAGTTCATTTTATGCCTTGAAGCTCTTTAAAAATGTACGTTTTTTCTTTAGTGTTAATCAAACCATTAATCAAAGTCAGTGCTTAACCTTCGGGAAACGTTATTTTTCCACCCCATGCTGTCAAATCAGAGACTATATAAGCTGTTTTCATAATAAAGGAGTGAAAACCAGGGTTGAAGCGAGTATCAGGGGTGAAGACAGAGATCAACTCCATTTAGTTGATATTAGTGCAGTTGTTTTATATTGAAATCTTACTTAATTTCATTTTCATTTAAAAAAAATGAAGGTTAAGGTTGTGAATTTAGCCTAAAATAAGCAGCATGAGTGGTTAGCTTGACAGGTTGCCCATGTTGCATGGTAACTAATAAGCACATAGTTTAAATGCGTTTAAAAATATAAATATATATCATTTTTCTCCATTTTTGGTAATAGGGTTGAATGGTTGATTTGGTGCAGCCAAATCAGTTTTTTGTGTGTAAATTGAGAAAACAGAAAGAGAGTACTGACCTGTCTGATGGTCATTCTGCACAAAAAAACAAGATGATAAATATATGTTTATATCATAATAAATGCAATGTTCCATATTTTATGACTGTGAACAGTTTTTTTTTTAAAGGGCTGCACAAAAATGTGTAAAATTACTTTTTTGTTAAATTAATTAACTGAGAACAATGATTTTTTAATTACATTGCTTGGATATTAACCATCTAACATTCACATATTTAGTGAGTATGTATTTATGTATTATGTATTTTATTTATTATGTATTATGGTGAATGTGGAAGATTTTAATGAATGTATTTCATAGAAAAGTTCAATGTCAATGAAAGGGGATGCCCAAAATTACCAACATCTTTGGAGGCCCCCACAAACCACAATTACACTAACTAACTAGCTGACTGACTAACTAAAACAAAGTAAAACCTGAAAATGACAATATGTTAATATATAAATATACATGATATAGCATTTATAATATATAATTATATATAATATATAATACTGTATAAAAGCTGTAAGATGCACAAATTTTCTGTCTAAATCACTTTATCAGTAATACAATTATCTCTATATAACACCCAATTACATGTAATATTCATGTGGCTCAGCAATAGCTATATCTATAATATCATAGTTTATTAAACTGTACTAAGTCAAACATTGTTTACTAATGCATGTATTTACACTGACAAAAATGATTACATAAGACAAATTAAGGTAAACAAGAAACTATAAGGCAACTTTTTGGTAATATCTGCCCACGGAAATATTGAATTAATTTTCAGTTAATTTAATCCTTAGCTTTCTGATTTAGCTCCAAAGTAATCTTAGCCCTTCTGGTAATTTTAGACATGAAATAATGGCATCATAGTTAGGAGGGCTTTTGTGCATCACATTTAGAATCACATGCATAAATACTCTTTAAAAATGTATAATTTGTCTTACCTTTTTGTAAATTTATTCATCAATAATTTGAAAACACACAAATATATACTTGCTGTTTTATTCTGCATTACAAGTACTTTGGGCATTTTTTGTGCTCCTAAAGTGATAGATAAGACAGTATAATTAGCATTTAACTATACATTCTTGTTTTAAATAAACAAAAATATTGCAACATTTCTGCCTCAAGACTGGTTGACATTTTTTCTAGAAAGCATTCTGGATATTTATTTTATTAGAACTTAATTCTTCATGTTTTATAGCAAAAGTGTCTAATCTTGATCCTGGCTACATATATATATATATATATATATATATATATATATATATATATATATATGTATTGCATGTGTGGCCTTGATAAGACCTACATTCCCAGCCTGAATAATGGTCCCAGTTCGGCTCTGAACTCAAGCATTATGAGTATTTGTCACCGTTTGAATTGAAGCCACATTCAAAGCAGTCATATGGCTTTCTCTTATTCAACACAGTGTTCAACTTTGGACTCATTCTGGGTAAGACCAAAGTTTGTTCACTCACCGGCCATCTGCAACATCGCCAGGCAGTTAAGCCACTTTTCCACTGCGTGGTACCAGCTCAACTCCGGCTTGTCCACTAGGCAAATCTAGTACATGGTACACAGGACTAATTTTGCTACCGCCTCTGTTGAGGTTCCAAATAAGCTAAGCCGATACCAAAAGGTGACGAAAAAATGCTACCTGATACTACTGATTGGTTGGAGAGAATTGCTAAACACATATGCTAACGTTACTTAGTAAGTTATCGTAGCCTCTTGTGTCACCTTTGAGCAACCAAAATTGTCTTCTTGTCTGAACTCTGATGCAGTATTTTCCAAACTCTCCTTTTCTTCAGCTGTCAGTTCTCTTGCTGATTTCAGTCTCCTCTGAACAAAACTTGTCTCCTTCACGTCACGGCAGTTTTATCTGGTGCCGCTATGACAAGCAGCTACATTGAGAGGGTACTTTATCTGCAGTGGAAAACAAAGTAGCTGGTACCAAAATTGAGTTGAGTTGAGCCAAGTCGAGCTGTACCATGCAGTGGGAAAGCAACTTTACTTCCAGTCATACAAGACCAGACTCCTCTCTGTTTGAATGAGAGACCAACACACTTGAAACTGAAGGTCAAACAACCGTTTCAAAAACATATTTGAAATCACTGGTAAAATCCTACACCTGTAGCAGTTTTGTAGTGTTTGGCTTATTAACACACGGCAAACATGATTGTTTGGATCATTCGGAACTCTTTTCCACTCGCAGTGTACCCAGCAAACTAGCTGGCTCTTTTTATTGAAGGCCTGGACTTCCTCTGTAAACAGGCACCATGCTGATTGTTACAAGTTTGGCCATCATATTTTAACCAATGATCAGTCTCTTCATTTAAGATGTCTCTTGTAATACATTCAACTGATAGCTAGCAATCCAGACCAGTAGAAAACATATTGGAACTGCACATGGAGTTCAAACCAACTATCACTCTGAATAGTTTTGCAAGTTGCACAGCTGGCAACTGTGTGTCACTGGTAACAGGTTAACACAGAGCTTAATAAATGCTTATTTTCCTACAGCAACTCCTAAATGTAATAAAAATATTGGTTATCTGAATGGCTTTTCTGTTTCAAACATGCATCTTTTCTATATTTTGAATATTATCAAACTTTTGTTGCAGCCCTAGTGAACACAGTGGTGTCGCTGGAGATGACTCTGCTGATTGAAACTCTTCCCACACTCTGAGCAGTAATACGGTTTCTCTCCTGTGTGAATGCGCTGGTGCTGCTGGAGATGACTCTGATTAGTAAATCTCTTCCCACAGTCTGAACAGTGATATGGCTTCTCTCCTGTGTGAATGCGCTGATGTTGCTGAAGAGTGCTCTGTCGATTAAAACTCTTTCCACAGTATGAGCAGTGATATGGCCTCTCTCCCGTGTGAATGCGCTGGTGCTGTAGGAGAACACTATGCCGATTAAAACTCTTCCCGCAGTTTGAGCAGTGATACGGCTTCTCTCCTGTGTGAATGCGCTGATGTCGTTGGAGAGTATTCTGGTGATTGAAACTGTTCCCACACTCCGAAACAGTGAAACGGCTTCTCTCCAGTGTGAATGCGCTGGTGTCTTTTGAGATGACTCTGCTGAGTAAAACTCTTTCCACAGTCTGAACAATAATACGGCTTCTCTCCAGTGTGAATGCGATGGTGTCGCTGGAGAGTACCCTGTTGAGTAAAACACTTCCCACATTCCGAGCAGAGGTAAGTTCCTTCCTTGCCTGTATTTGTCGGCGCTCCTTTGTGCACTGACAGGGGACGTTTGTTGAGCGCTTGTTCTGGACACCATGTTCTCGTATTTAATCTCTCTTGATTTCAGCAGTCTGGCTTGCTCTTCTTGCCAGCATCTTCTGATATGTGGACTCTAGGAACAAAAAGACAAAGGCTAAAATATTCAAAACTTCAAGCAACTGCTAATAGATGTGTTTCCTGTTTACAAACATTACTGGGTGCACACACAGCCAAGGGGCAGAACTGCTTTAGTAACTTAGCTGTCAAAAGATTGTAACGTTAGTCAACTGTTGTAATCGATGTACATTTCACGTTGTTTGTACATTTTAGTTGACTTAATAATAAAATGCCATGTTAGTGTTGAATATGTTTGTTTGTCCTTCATTTGCAACACAGTAAAACATTAGCTAAAGATAGTTGACTATCAGTATCGGCTATCAGTATCAGGTCTCTGTGACCGCCCTGCTAATTTTGCTATTCACTAAATGTTTAGCTAATAGGAGCTATCCAAATGACAAGAACATTCATAGCTCACTGACATGTCCTATGAATTTCACCCAGTTTACCTGGTTTTGTTGTTTGTGCGTACACATCCTCAGATACATATAATTATGTACTTTGTGGTCATGTGCAAGAGATAAAGTTTTGCTGCACAACAACTCCTAGTCATTGTTGCATTCTGCCATGATGACTGATCTTTCTGTTGCTTTCTGCCCCGTAGCTGTGCGCCCATCTCTGTGATGACATAGAAACTTATCTATAAATATCAAAAAGTGTAACTAGGACAGCTGCAGTCATGATTTTCACTTTGCTCAGTAAAGGCCAAACGATTAGTCCAACAGCAGCAATAGATGGTAAACCATGTTAACTCTTACTGCTTCAAAGTCCTGGTACATTCTTACAAAATGGTTCTTCAAGGGTTCTTTAGTAAGGAAAATGGTTTTATATACCACCAAAAAGGATTCTTTTATGGTAACTAAGTCAAGCTTGTAACAATAGAAGAACCCACTTTGGTGCTATATAGAACCCTTTTCAAAAAGGTTCTACATAGAACCATCTACAACACATTCTCCATCAATCTAAAGAATGCTTTCATGATGCAAAGAACCCTTTAATCATGCAAAGGGTTCTTTGCGTGTTCATGGTTCTATATAGAACCCTTTAAGATCCATCTTTTTTAAGAGTGTAGGTTTGCTAAACGGATGCTGTGGTATTTCAGCTGATTGCTTCAATGTTGCTAGTCGGTTATTAGGTGGTTGCTAGGTCATTGCTAGGTGGCTGTTATTGAATTTTATGTAGTCACTAGGTTGTTGATAAGTGGCTGCTATGGTATTGCAGGTGGTTCTTTGTTGGTTGATATATTCTAGGTAGTTGCTATAGTGTTGTTGCATGGTAGCTACAGTATTTCAGCTGGTTGCTAGGATGTGACCAGTTAGTTATTAGGTGGTTGTGAGGTTATTGCTAGATGGTTGCTGTAGTATTTTATGTGGTTAGTAGGGTGTTGCTAAGTGCTTGCTCAGGTACCTAAGGTTGGTAGTATGTTTCTAGGTCAGGGGTGTCCAATCTTATCTGCGAAGGGCCGGTGTGGCTGCAGGTTTTCATCGCAACAAAGCAGGAGCTCTATTTTTTTGGGATGAAAACCTGCACCCACACTGTTCCTTTTGCGGCTATGATTGGACACCCCTGTGCTAGGTGATTCCTGTAGTGCTTCAAGTGGTTGCTAGGGTGTTGCTGGTTGCATTCCTAGGTGAGTGCTGTATTTTACTACTGTATTCTTTCAAAAGCATATGGGGGAAAATTATTGGCACTCCTAAAGCATGTTTTAGATAAAACCAAATACATTTTCAATCTCAGGAGAAAAAATATTTCTTTCTATTGCTCATAGTCTTCAGGAAGTGCACTGTTGTCTATAATCATTTCCTGTTTTCCTGGAGTACAAATATGAGTACATGACAAAAATCCAACAACATGGATAAAACCAAAGAGCCGTCCACTCAAATGAAATAGAAGTCTGTGGACCTGCATATATTAGGAAAATGGTTAAAAAATAGTGTCCTAATCCTGTAGATCTACCTTTCTGCAGGTTTCACCTCCAACCCAAACCTGAAACATTTCATTCAGCTAATCAAGGACCACTAAAGGCAATAAGTAGATGGATAGGTGGGGTCGATTAGAGTTGGAGTTGCTGTAGTCTGCAGGAGGGTAGTTCTCCAGGAGCAGGGTTGGTGACCACTGGTTTAACAGATGTTCTAGAACTGATTCCAGATGCATTTGTTGGTTTCCTAATGGGATCTGGAGGTGTCCTACAGGAAACCAGTGATCTCCAATGGTAACCATTAAGCCAATTCACATTAGAAAAACAACACCACCAGATTTGAATCCTAATGGTTCTAAAGGTCTATGTATGGATGCTAAACACATTAACAGAATGATGTACGCCTAATGCTAGCAATCAAAAAGCAAACAGAGGCACAAAGCTAACATTACTCAAACAAAAGCAGCTTTGCATCTTTTTTGCATCTCTTCAGCCATTTCTCTGCGGGCTAATGATGAAACATAGTGTAATACAGATCCAGGCTGAAATATGACACGTGTTAAACAGCTCATACCTTCAGCAGTTCGGCTCCTGTTTATGTTCCTCCTGCCTGTCTGTGTGTGGAGGCGTGGACTCCTGAGCAAAGAGTCTTCTCCACATTTTTCTGGAGTTATGGGAATTGGCGCCACCGCCTGGCCTGCAGGGGGCTTCACACCCGAGTAGGCCAAAATTGGAGCGTCATTTTTAATCCCACCTGTTTTCCGACGAACGCCTTACAAACATTTCTGAAATAAATACGTACTTTGGTCTTGGAGGCAGTGAATGAATCTGCCATGTTTGATTTTGTTTATGACAAGATAATGAAAACAATAAAGAAAGATAAAAGATAAAGAAAACATTCGACCAAATGATCAAACCAATACAAAGACCAATAAAAGTGATCTGTGGTCAGACATCACTGGTTCTGTAGGGCCTTTGGGTATTTAAGGTTGTCAGAAAAGATAACAAATAAATTCAAGATAAAAAAAATATTTAATTTAGATACAAATGCATGTTGTTTCTGTTATAAGAATTGTGGAACATGTTTTCTTTTAGTGTGAAAAGGTACAAACATTCTAGACATCCTTCCAGACCTGGCTCAGCTCTAAAGATACTGAGATACATCCGGTTAGTGAAATGTCCGTGAAGGTCAGTCTATTCTTGGAAGAGAAAAAGGTTGAATGTCTAACTTGTGAAAAATAATGCTGTTTTTAAATCTAAAAAAGTAAATAAGCGGCCTAATTTTAAATGTTGAGTTCATTGAACTTCAAATAGTAAGTCGTATAACAAGAATGTAAAACATAAATTATTCTTCTGTTAACTTAAAATTAGTTAAATGAACTAATTTTTTACAGTGTTAGTAAAAAATTGTGTTGTGAAAATATTTATAGATAAGTGTAGATGTTCCTCAGGTGATTACCCTACTAAATATATAGATGAGGGATCTGCATCTGATGTTTGAGTCTCTGTGTGAAAAACCATAAACTGTTAAATTTAATTGACCAATCTGTGTTGACTGATTAAGACCCTCAATAAGCTGCATTTTTATTTTCATTATCTATTTATTTATTTATTTTTGTATTTTTCTTACCTCTTCTCCAGCTAGAAAATGGCCATTATAAATCATTAGGATTAAAGCCTGATGGTTTTGTATTCTAATGGGAATTGGTTTAATGGTTACCATTAGAGACCACAATTTTTCCTATCCTAGGAAATTAGGAAACCATCAAATGCATCTGGAATCAGAACACCTGTTAAATCATTAGAGTCCTTTTCATTAGAAAAGTCTATATTTTCATTTGATGTGGAGACAATTCAACTTTGACTATGGTACAGTTCTCAGCAATTACGTGATGTATGTTTACTGCATTTCACATTGAGTTTAGATTTTTTTTTCTTTTTCTTTTCCAGAAATAAATGAAGTCTTGTTGCAAGTCTTTTTTTGGTGCACACTTCACAGCTCAAATTTACCTCCACAAACTCATCAGGACATTTCACCAAGAGGAATGTTAAGCTACTGAAAGAGGTTAAATATTGCAATATGGCATCTAGAAGAAGAAGTACTCAGCAAAGGCCCTCTGATACTCTTCACACTGACACATCTCTCAGACAAACTCAGAAAACCCATCACTCTTCAGAGTGCAAGATGAGTTTTACTCGACAGTCTCCTCAAAACACACCAATACATCCATATAGCAGAGAAGCCATATCACTGTTCAGAGTGTGGAAAGAGTTTCAGGCATTTGACCACTTTGAAAACACATAAGTATAAATGAGCAGTGGTGGAAAAGGGCAGTAACAGGCTGTAACACTACTCCAGGGCCCAGTTGCACAAAACAACTTAGTGTTTTTTCTCCTGCCAAGATGGAAAAGTTACTGTCAATGATGAGCATCTTCCTCCAGGTGGACAGCTCAGCACAGCGAAGATGTGAATGTGGAAAACTCCCCCACGATAGACTGGAAACTCCACTGGAAACGTTTAAAGAACGTGGTTTTTGGAGAAGTGTATGTTTCAGATGGGTGTTCTCTTCAGACTTGTGCATACAATGTTGGGTTTACTTAATGCTACACTGCTCCATACAAGCTATTAAATTTCTTTTGACATGACGGCTGTCAATAAGGAAGTTGTTAGAGTTGTTTACTAAATCAAAAGTTAATCAATGATAAAATATGTAATGAAAATGCCAAGACTGGACAGGGACTTATTTTCAAAGTTAACAACTGTCCATAGAAAAACATAGATGTTTGTGGGTAAAATTGTTCTTCTAGCTTTAATGAAAAGAAAAAAGGACGAGAGGAAGGAGTCAAAGCCATCATTAATTCATGTAAAGTGATTTACCCACTAAGGCAGTAAAAAGACAACAATATGAATTAATAAAATGTAAATGTAAGTTTAATAGAAAAAGGCATTTTCAGAATTACATGAACACAAAAAAAATAGTACAATGTTTAGAAATGGGCAAAAAAATAATCTTGAGAGATAACATGTAAAGGCATAACTAAGGAAAAATATTTGAAAAAATTAAAAATCAGCAGGCGAACACACAAAAAAGCCAAATGAGAGAAAGAGATGAAGGAGGTGGGAAGTTGAGAAAACGCGTAGACTTACACAGAGCAAGTATACCTTCATGTTCATGATATGCAAATTAGACAAGCAATTGATTCAACATTATGCAGCAGAACTAATTAAATATCTGGACTGGATCATCAGCATAACTAAACAGTGTAATGGGTCAAGGTCAGCCAACAAAGACTATGTCCATATGTCTCTAAAAGGTTCCTAATGACATCTTCAGCACTCATTCTAAAGTCAGGCCGAGGGCTTCAAAGATGCCCGAATCTCCACGGTGTCACCTCTTAAAACAACTAAGTCAGTTCCAAAAGATTGGACAACTCAGTTCCACTACTACAGGCTTCACCACCATGCCCTGGTGGTGCAGCCTGTAGTAGTGGAACTGAGTTAGTTTACATACTCACACACACACATTTTCTAAGCCGCTTATTCCAGTGGTCATTAGGAGAAGGCAGGAAACACCTTGGACAGGTCACCAGTCCATCGCAGTGAGTCAGTTTTGAGATTGGCATAAGCAAATCAATAAAAAAACACAGATGTTAGCAGCAATCGCCTGAGAAACACAACATTAATTTCTAACAAATTTAATAGCTTATAGCAGCTGTAGCTATCAAAGCAGAAGAACAAATGTTTTGTGGGCCTCAGTAAAGCAGGATCTCACTGCAACTACTTCAGTTCACCTCAAGATATTGAATCAATGGCCATAAAGTGAGTAAGGGAAAAAAACAGACTGACACCGTTCAGGTACATTATTGATACCACAGAATGAAACAAACAGACTGGCTCATTTACATATTAAATTCCCTGAATAATCCTTAAATTCTTAATCCTTAACAGATTTTTAGAATGGTTCACATTATCAGAGTCTCACTCACTCAGGACACCATAATATCAACAGGTACAACACGTATGTTCTATGGTTAAATTGAATACCTATTAGTCAGCAAAACTGGACAACAAAACTGCTCATAGATGCTCGCTTCTAAATGTGTGCCCCTCTAACGGTTCTATTATAACTCAAATTGTTGTTCTGATGCTTCGAATGAGGGGTGCTTCACATCAGTGACCTCGTCAGTGTGTCCTTGTTTCCATAATGATGTAATGTGGCCACAGAAAGATGGATAGGCTGAGTAGAGTCCAATAATGTCTGGAGAGCCAGTAGGTGGGACATCTTATACACTCAGGTGCAGCAGAAACAGATCCAGTGTATCCAAGGATGAAGTGAGTAGAGATGGCTCAAGAGGGTCTGGAAATGAATAGAACAAGCATGTTTTAAGGATACAGGGACATAAAAAAGGAAAAACAATGAATAGATAAACAGCTAGAAATGTGGTATTTTCAGTCAGCTTATGTAGAGTACATTGCCTATAGAAGATATCCACCCCCTTGATTCTAGTATTCTAGTTCTATTCTAGTTCTATTATTCAATTGTTATTGTTCTATTATTATAAAACACTGACTCACAGTTGATTCGCTTTTTTACACTGATTAACAAAAACACTCTCTTTAATTATTTACAAATATAAATACAAAGTTGCATACATATTCACCCCTTTTAATATGACTCCTAAATCATCACTGGTGTACCCAATAGGTGGTAAAAGTCACATAACTAGACCTGTGCGGTCACCTGTGTGCAGTCAAGGTGTTCCAAGCGATGCAGTATAAACACACTCCAACTTCTGGTGAGTCAGTATCGTGGCATATCTTGCACCATGAAGAGAAAAGAACATTCCAAGCAACTCTGGGACAAGTTAGAACATTTCCAAGTTACTTAACATCCTTTGGAGTTCACTTAAGTCAATCAGTAAGAAATGGAGAGAGAAAAGCACAGAATCAAGAACAGGCCATCCACAAAAACTGAGAGACCGTGAAAGAAGGAGATGAGTGAGGAAGGTCCCCAAGAGACCTATGACAACTCTGGGAGTGTTACAACCCTCACTGGCTGATATTAGAGACACTAAGGCAAGATAATCCTTTATTAGTCCCACAACAGGGAAATTCACTGTGCATACAACAACTGTTGCCTGGTGCTTTACCATACAGTTTGCAATGACCTAAAGTCTATGGTCAAAGCTACCCTGCTGAAACAACCCACAGAAACCATTAAGTGTTTCTGTTGGTTGCTAATGGTTTTGTAATGTGTTTTGGCTTTTTTAATAGGTTGATATCACAATGTAAAGGATCCAACTGGTTTAACAGACGACCACTGGTTGATTCTAAATGCATCTGATGCTTTCCTAATGGGATCTAAAGATGTCCTACAGGAAACTAGGGGTCTCTATTGGAAACTATTAAGCCAATTCCTTTTAGAAGGCAAAACCATTAGGTCTTAATCCTCATGGTTTCTAATGGTCCTTTTTCAAATTAAATGACTCTGCAGATATGTTTTCATTTTTATATTAAAGAGTCTGTTTCCGTTAACCAGTATTATAAAAAAAAAATGACATTGAGACTCACCATACTCACTATCCACAAGTGGATTTTCAAGCTTACTTACCTGACTTTTTCAAGTTCACCTTCCACTTCTAGAATACAAATACTATTAATCAGCCAAACAATGTATTTAGGGACAAGTGCGTAACAATATAGGCATGCAGTTTGCATGATGTTAGCGTAGGAATTATCGGCTTATCGGCTACATTGCTCTAGTGCAAAACTTGAGTGGCCAACTTCAGATACTAAAAATGTCTTGGCTGATCTACTATGCCCTTTTAGAGTAAGGGGGAATATCTACACTAACCCAGAAAAGCACAGTTACATCATTCATGCTAGCCAACAGGTCCCCAATCCCAGTCCTGGCACCTCCATGCTTTCAGATTTTTGTGTTTTCGCTACTCCCACCTGACCCAGACCACAAGGAGCTTGTTAATTAGTTAATATGAGTTGATGAAGGTGTACTTGTTAATTAGTTAATGAGGGAAATGGGGTCACCATGACTGGGATAGTGAACCCTTGTGTTCATCTAAAAAGTGGTAATGAAAATCTTTCCACCAACTCACGTCATATGAGTTTTCATCTCCGTCTTAGTGCATTTGCGTGTCTTAAAAATACTTATATGGCTGAAGCTCTGCCCACATTCAGAGCAGGAACACAGCTTCTCAATCTGATGGAAATGTCAGTTAAAACTCTTCCCAAATTCTGAGCAGTCATACAGCTTCTCTCCTATGTGACTGTGCTGGTGTCGTTGGAGATGACTCTTATTAGTAAAAGTCTTCCCACACTTGGGGCAGTGATACGGTTTCTCTCCCGTGTGAATGCGCTGGTGTTGCTGGAAATTACTCTGCTGAGTAAAACTCTTTCCACACTCCGAGCAGTAATAAGGCCTCTCTCCTGTGTGGATGCGCTGGTGTTGCTGGAGATGACCCTGGTTAGTAAAATTCTTCCCACACTCTGAGCAGTGGTACGGCTTCTCTCCTGTGTGAGTGCGGCGGTGCTGTTGAAGAGTACTCTGGTGATTAAAACTCTTCCCACAGTCTGAACAGTGAAAAGGCTTCTCTCCCGTGTGAATGCGCTGGTGTTGCTGGAGAGTGCTCTGTCGATTAAAAGTCCTCCCACAGTCTGAGCATTGATATGGCTTCTCTCCAGTGTGAATGCGCTGGTGGCGCTGGAGAGTACTCTGGTGGTTAAAACGTTTTCCACACTCTGAGCAGCAATATGGCTTCTCTCCTGTGTGAATGCGCTGGTGTGTTTTGAGATGGCTCTGTTGAGTAAAACTCTTCCCACACTCTGAGCAGTGGTGAGGTCTCTGCTTGCCCGTATCTCTCTGCATTTGTTCGTGAGATGTACCAGAGAACGTCTGTTGAGTAGCAGAGTTTGTTCTGGATGCCATAATCTTTTATTTAATCTCTCTTTATTTCAGCAGTCTGATAGGCTTCACTTGGCAGCATCTTCTAATGTGCTTCTAATGAGATGTGTAGGAAGGTGGACACTACAAAGAAAAAAAGATACAAACATTTTTAAAAATGGAAGCGAAATGCAACAAAGTTACTCTTAGTTCTTAGTTTTATAGTGGTGCCTAGGAAGAAGCATTTTTCTGTTGTTAGAGTGTGAAAACCTGTTTTAAAAGAGTATATTAACGGTAAAAAAGGAAAGCATTCAACAGGCTCATGAACCAATGGTTATCCTTATAGTTACAGTTTGGGTTTGAGCAGGGAGTGCACTGATCCCCAGTACTAGTAAGAGCTTATATGGCTTCATAATGTTAAGATTACAACAATGAAAAAATACAATGGGAAATGAACATGTCTTAATATGATAAAATGATGTGACTGTGTAGTGTGAATACTTTACTAAAATACTGGCTGCTTGAGCTACACTGATCAACCATAACATTTAAAGGAACTGAGGAACTGTCCTAAAATGGTTCGGTTCATACTTGCAAGAACTACTTTGTGGAAATTGAAAATAATATTTCTGAGGGAGTGCCAGTGGCCCTGTGGCGTCCCCCAGGGTTCAATTCTTGGGCCACTCTTATTCATTTTTTTAGTCATGCAGCCTGTTGGCCAGATACCACAAGACCATAGGATATCTTACCACAGCTATGCAGATGATATTCAGATCTACTCGGCTGTCTCCCCAAACAACTATGGTCCTCTTGACTCACTCTGTAAGTGCCTTGAGCTCACCACTAACTGGATGGAACAAAACTTTCTTTCAGTTGAATCAGGATAAAACAGAGATGATTTGATTTGGGAATAAGTATTGATTATAATGTATTGTACAGCACTTATGTATTTTATTGTATTGCACTGTTCTGTGTTTAACTCTGTCCCTTTTTCACTAGGTGTCAATGACCTTCTGATTCTACCAGTATCTGAGCTTAGGACTGACTTTCTCTCTAACCTATTGGTAGCTAGCGAAGATTCTTTCTCTGGATAGACAAAGCACTTTTTGTAAGTCGCTCTGGATAAGAGCGTCTGCTAAATGATGTAAATGTAAATGTAAATGTAAATGGAATAGCAATGAGAGGCACAGACTAGCTGCCCATCTGGATTCAAGAGCCGTAAAATCTAAAGAAATAGTATGTAACCTTGGTGCACTAATGGATTCTGATCTTAGTTTTAGCAGTAGTGTCAAAGCAGTTACTATTAGCTTTTATCACATTAAAAATATCAACAAGATCAAAGATGTTCTCACTAAAGAAGACCTGGAGAAACTTATCCACGCCCTTATTTCTATCACGATTGATTACTGCAATGGCCTCCAAACTGGACTCCCAAAAACGACAATCAAACAGGTTCAGATGATTCAGAATGCAGCTGCCAGAGTCTCACTTGGAGAAGGGAACACATCACATGTTTTCTGTTTGTGTTTACTTTACTTTCTTTAAACAACTCTGACTCTGAATTGTCTTATTTGTGAAGCACTTTGAAGTGTTTGAAAGGTGCTATATAAATAAACTTGCCTTGCCTAAAAACACCTCCTTGTTACTGCACTCGTTGTCCATTTTATCAGCATCTCTGACCATGTAGGAGCACTTTGTAGTTCTATAGTTACAGGCTGTAGTCCATCTGTTTATCGGCATACTTTGTTACCCTGTTCTTCAATGGTCAGAACCCCCACAGGACCCTCATAGAGCAGGTACTATTTGGGTGGTGGATCATTCTCAGCACTGACGTGATGGCGGTGTGTTAGTGTCATTTCTGACTTCACATCTACAAGGTAGACCAACAAGGTAGGAGCGTCTAATAGAGTGGACAGTGAGTAGTGAGTGGACACAGTGTTTAAAAACTCTAACAGCACTGCTGTGTCTGATCCACTCGCACCAGCGCAACACACACTCGCACACCACCACCACATCAGTGTTACTGCAGTGTTGAGAATGATCCACCACCCAAATAGTACATGCTCTGTGGGGGTCAAAGTATGCAGAGAAACAAATGGACTACAGTCTAGAATTGTAGAACTGTGTGCTAACTGCTCCTATATGGTCAGTGGAGCTGATAAAATGGACAATACAAAGAGGTGGTTTTCCTGTTATAGCTGATCATTGTATATATTTGCAGTGTAGCTTCTATTGTACTAGGCAAAGTATGTTATTTCCTGTATATCAGCAGTATGAAGGAAAGCACAGTGCAAAATGTCTTTAAACGTTAATGTTAAGAGTCGCAATGTTTCTTTATATCAGTGTGTATTATTTTATTGCAATTATTAGCACAATACTTTACTACAAGGATTGCCATGAGCACAATAAGTATTATAATTTTTTCTACTTGTTTTGCTATTACTGATATTACTAATTATATTATTTTAATCATTTGACCACAGCTATATCTGTACCTATCACATTCAAATATTTTCAAATCCATTAGAATACACCTAGAGTTAGTTCTGTATTTTGTAAGGAGTACAATATTTTACTGAATTGTTAAATGTGAGATATGTACAAAAAGTATTGTTTGTCTGATAATCATCATCATTACTATTGTTATAATTCTATGTTAACACATTAACACATGTAATAACATATTTGTATGCACATTGGTGCAGTACGTAATATGTTCTGTCTTTGCACTGTTTGCACTTCTGCTCATGCAGTTTCATACTGGATTATGTGACTTAACTTGATACAGTTAACACACAAAAATACAGAAGAACTGCTCAGCCATTGGCAAAGTTTGCCAGAAAGAAGTGATTGAAAAGAGAGCCAGAAAAGAATATAACTTACCACACAACCTATCTATCTATCTATATATATATATATATATATATATCTATATATATATATATATATATATATAGGGTAAAGCCTATAAATATTATTTAAAAGAATGCATTATGTTACCCAAAAACAGATTCAAAGCTTACATTACTCAGTCAACTCTGGGCAGAGACTGCTTTGTGTTATTGTTTTACATATTTTGTAGCTACTTTCTTAAGCAGTAAATATCTCTCCAGCTACTTGTCAAAAAGCTGATGAAACACACCATCTAAAAAACAAACTAAACAATGTGAACACGTGTTAAACATCCCCCTACCTTCAACAGTTCAGATCCTGATTCTGTTCCGCCAACAGCACAGAGGTGTGGACAGAGCTCATCTCTTCTTCATGTAGTTGTTAGACTGAAAACATGGTGCAGTACTGCCACCATCTGATCAGGAGTGTGGGGCATCAAGATCTGAAAATGACCTGGAGATCATAGACCTGGAGATCTACCACCCTGGAGAGTTCAGATCCACTGTGTTTAGCTCTAATATTCAGATACCTCTGAAGGTCTTACCTGGAAGAGGTGTGGTAGACTATGGTTGGAGCTAAACAGGGTGGTAGATCTCTAGGACCAGGACTGGGTCTTAATCCCAAAATATAATGATAAACATTTGCTGTTAATTAACTCCAAATTCTTCAAAATACCCAGTCTAGTCTGACTAGAGGAGAATAATCTGTAATGAGACATTAACAAACCTCAATTCTAACCGGCTGAACCATATTTTTATATTCAAGATGTTGTTATATTACAGTGGGTCAATAGTAGTCCACTGACCTCTTGCTATCTGGGATGTATCCTAGCAAAAACAGTTGTGACAACATTGTGACAACCTATTGTTTTGGTGCCCACAACATTGTCACAATGATGAAATGTAATTTCTCAAATTTGTGACAACGTAGTGGCAGCGTTGTCAGTGCGTTCTCACAACCTCCTAGAACCCTCATAGGTTCTATTATGTTGTGAATGGAACTCTATGGAATTTTGCAAACAAGTCATAATACTGTAAAGCAACTTTAATTAATAATGAGGTTGTGACAAACTTGTTCAGACAACATAAACAGCACCACCTTTTGACATTGTTGTAGCAACACTGTAAGAAAGTAGACACTGACAGTGTTGTGTGTGGGATGACATGTACCATCCAAGACAGCAAGCATATATCGGTCCGCTGGCTTCATAAGGTCAGCCCCCATGACTGTTTGCCACTGCTGGTCCACCCTCAGACCACCTAGATTACTGCCCTGCATACAAGCTCTAAGCAGTTTTTAAAGATTTTAAATGCACAGACACTTTTATTCATAAAATAAACAAACATAAAATGACAACAATTTCAAACAACTGAGAGAAAAAAAAATGACTAGGCCTGATGTAAAATGATTTTAAGTGGAATAAGTGGAATTTTGTCTAACGATGAGCCAGTGGACCACCAGCTTTGCTGGGCCAACAGTGGTCCGCTATCCACTTGCTGTCAGGGATACTGAACAGACCAGACATGCACACAAACTGTTGACATGTATTTAACTATACAACTAAAATAAGAATACATTAAACAGAATAGAGTGATAAGGAAGAATAATAAAGGGTTAATGTGAGAGGATGTGTGTATATCAGTACATTTGCAGATATTAATACCAATATGCAAGTCTGAGAAAACATATAGTCACTATTATATCCAGTATATCACAGAATGATATGAACAAGTTGTGAAAGTAACGTATTACTGAATGTAAGCCTGACTTCTTAATCTGACTGTAACCACGCATTTGGCTTACCCAATCGCAGAGCAGGAGGCGGGGTTTGTCGGAATACGAGTGGGATTGAAAATAACGCTCACAGTTCCGCCTGATTTCGTGATCACGTGGGTTTAGAGTGACGCGCCCGGGAGTCCAGGAGGTGGCGCTGATTCTCTAAGCGTGGCTGTCCAGCACCCTTAGAGTGGAGAAGCAGAAGACTCCGCTTTGATCTGCAGTCCAGCCCTGCGGCGCTGCTGGAGGAACAGCAACAGGAGCTGAAGGTAGGAAGCTGGTGGACACGTCAACACTGTTATACTGTTTATTCACTCTGGATGGACGGACGCTGGATAGGTGCTGTTTGATATGTACAACTGGTCACTCGAATATAGAGATTATAGGGAGGTTTCCCGGTGGCCTGTCAGTTTGCACGGACGGTCAGACCCTAGATTCACCTATTCAGATGTCAACACTGTTCCCTGTGTCTCTGCAAACTAGTCTGTGGCACAGTTAATCAAAAAATACACACTTAAAAATATGCTTCTTCAAGGGCTCTTTAACTCTTTAATGACAATGGTTCTATTTAGAACAGTGAGTTTTATATAGAACCACTTACATGCTTAAATGGTCCTTCAGATTGATGGAGAATGTGTTGTGCATTGATCTGTATTGAACCTTTTGAAAATGGTTCTATAGAGCACCAAAAAGGGTTCTGCTATTGCTGCCATGTCAAGCTTGCAACAATAGAAGAACGCTTATTGGTGCTATGTGGAACCATTTTCAAGAAAAGGTTCTGTATAGAACAATATACGACACATTCTCCATCAATCTGAAGAATCCTTTCACCATGCGAAGAACTATTTAAGCATGAAATGATTTTAAATAGATCTCATGGTTCTAAGTAGTACCATTGCCTTTTCTAATGAATCCATGAAGAAACTTCAAAACCTAACATGAACAAATGAAACTGAATATCAGTCATAAAGACTATACTGGACTGAACAACAATCAAAGTCTAAACACTTTAATGGTTATTGAGATGACCTTGTCATTTAATGTGTGCAAATAGACAAATCGCAGCTGATTCCCATCACAGCTGACATCCTACCATCCTAAGACAATCACAGCTGTTCTCAGAGTACAACTTACAGAAACTATATGTGTAACCTTTTCCTTTCTGGCTAAGATTTACAGTACAGAACTATCGTCAGTAGAGACAAGCAGGCACGGACACAGCGGTAACACCTGGAAACCAATATTTATGAGGGGTTTTGATTGGTTGAAGTTACTCTTGGAAAGAAATGCATCCTGTAGTAACCAAGAATATACTTAGTGGTCTATTTGAATTAGATTGTACTATTTATGAAGTATGTGTACATCATTTTTGTTGTCCTGACTCTGAAGGGTTAGACGAGCCTGACTGCATAATACTGTCTTACAGGAACCATTAGAATTTCGGATAGATTGAATCTTTTCTTGCACTTATTTTGAGACAAAAAATAACACCCACAAATAATATACCTTCAGGTTTAATGCAGATACGAGCCTAAAATTCAGCAAATCTTATATTAAAGAAAGTGATATCTATTTGTGAAAGTATAAATGTGAGATGAGCTCTTGGGAGGCTTCAGTGATTTTACCATAATCAGACTTTATCGTCTGACCAGTGAACAGTGATTTTCAAGTTTCCAGTTATGATCTAATTTTGCTGCATTTCACATTTACAGTTTTACTGTTTTTTCTTCTCTTCTAGAAATGAATGATACCCTATTGCAAGTCTTCTGTTTCTGGTGTGCACTTTCCTACTCCGCTCAAATTTACCTCCACAAAACCCTCAAGAGATTCCACCAAGAGGAATGTTAAGCTGCTGACAGTAATTAAATATGGAGAACATGACATCCAGAATGGTCTCCAATGCTCAGCAAACATCCTCTGGAATTCTCCACAGTAAAGCATCTCAGAGACAAACACAGAAAACTACAGGCAAGGAAAAACCTCGTCACTGCTCAGTGTGTGCAAAGAGTTGTACTCAACAGAGTCTTCTCAAAACCTACCAGCACATTCACACAGGAGTGACGCTGTATTACTGCTCAGAGTGTGAGAAGAGTTTTGATCAACGTAGTACTCTCCAAATACACCAGCGCATTCGCACAGGAGAGAAATCATATCTCTGCTCCGAGTGTGGAAAGTGTTTTAGAGATGGAGGTGTCCTCAAAACACACCAGCGCATTCACACAGGAGAGAAGCCCTATCAGTGCTCAGAGTGTGGGAGGAGTTTCAATCAACAAAGTAATCTCCAGCGTCACCAGCGAATCCACGAGGGAGTGAAACCATTTTACTGCTCAGAGTGTGGGAAGAGTTTTACCAGACAGAGTCATCTCCAACGACACCAGATCATCCACACAGGAGAGAAGCCGTATCGCTGCTTGGATTGTGGGAAGAGTTTTACTCAACAGAGTAACCTCCAACAACATCAGCGCATCCACACAGGAGAGAAGCTGTATCACTGTTCAGAGTGTGGGAAGAGTTTTACTCTACAGAGTAACCTGCAACAACACCAGCGCATCCACACAGCGGAGAAGCCATATGACTGCACAGAGTGTGGGAAAAGTTTTAGTCAACTGAGTTATCTCCTTAAACACCAGCGCATTCACTCGGGAGTGAAGCCGTATTACTGCTCAGAGTGCGGAAAGTGTTTTAATCAACTAAATTATCTCCAACAACATCAGCGCATTCATTTTTGAGGGAAGCCATATTATCGCAAGTTTGGGATGTGCTTTTCTCTACAGATGACTCTCCAACAATGCCAGTGCATTCACACAGGAAAGAAACTGTATCACTACTTTGAGGGTGGGAAGAGCTCCAAGGCATTCAGGTACTTTAAAGACACATGAGTGCACTAAGAGCAGTGGTGGAAATGGGCCATGACACACCAGAATGCTGTTCTAGGTGTACAAGTCTAGAGGAAAACTATAGATTTTCAAAAGAAGACCTATTTTTACTTTACATTGTTGATGAAACCATGTTTTGTGCTAAACACCAAGTCCGGCCTACAGCCTATACATCCAATAAGAAGACTTGTTGTAGGTTCCCAAAGTACTGCATTGGGGAGCAGTTTGTTGTAAGATATGGTGAAAAATGTAGAAACTCCACCACCTAGCAGTTGACTTTTTTTTTCAAATCTTGGCAACACCTTTGACGTATCTGGTGTAATTACTGTAAAAATGTTATTTGATGATTCATATGCCTTTTTATTGAAAATTTCAACAGGTGAGCTGATTTTAAAGTGTCCATGATAATTAGTTAGTTAGCTAAAGATATCTTGTATGACCTGAAGGAACAGTAAGTATTGATGCCTTGCTGTCCTGCTAATTCATTGGGAGCTGGCCCTCAGTAAGTCCACCTGAATCTAATTCAATACATTTCACAAATGTAGTTTTCAGTTTGTACTGGCATATCTTAATAAAATTGAATAAATCCATAATATAATTAGCAATCATGCATGTTACATGTGTTTACTTTACTAAATAATGACAAACAGATGAAAAGTCTGGAGTAGGGTTCATGTGACCCCTTCCAAATAAGCCCACTCATTGTTTTATTTATTAAAAAAAACATTTTTTAAAATGTTTAAGCTCATTAACAATAGAAATACTCTGTTAAGCAGGACTGACAAACACCAAAACTGGGAACCATTATTGTATTTGTGTATTCTTATACATATTATATTCGTCTTATTTGTATATGTGTGTATAATCTTTTTATCTTATGCCTTTAACAAGATGACTAAGCATAGCAGTTTTAGTAGACAGTCTATGTTCATCTAGTAATAATTTATGAATTTCACAGGGATGTCAATCATGGACACTCATGCTTTTTTATGTAACAGTATTAATTTGTTGAAACAAAGTAGCCTTTGCTATTTTCCTATTAGCATTGTATAATTTCTGCCAGTGCCAATGAGACTTACGTTACTCCTGTTCAAACCCTGCTTGTTTTTATGGAAAGATACTTTTAATTTTTTATTATGTCACATAGCAAGTCTTTTTCTGGAGTATGCTAACTCTGCACACTTCTGCTCTTTATTAATAGAAAAGAAAGAGCATGCACTTCCATAAAGAATATCTAAAATTAACAATTTTTGAATGCCTGTTTCACCAATATCTCCCCAGTTTCAAAACTCCTTTCTGTCTCTAACCAGTCCCTTAATAGCCTTGCCACTTCCAGTTTTCCTAATCTTCTCTCTTATAAATTCACTCTTATGTCTAGGCCATCCCCAGCCAGTCCTTACCATTCCTCCATCCAACCTCCATGTCTGTAATTATTTCTGTAATGTGACAAAATGCAAAAAGAGAAGACTGTAATGAGAATTTAATAGAGGAAGCAATTTTCAGAATTACAGGAACACAAATAGGAAACAAGAGAATGAAAAAAATGGGTTACAATAACCTTCACTATTTTGACAGGTCAAACACACACAACCTCACGCCTAAAGGCTTTACTAAGGAAAAATATTAAAAATACAACTAAGAAGGAATTAGCAGGGTAAAAAACAAAAAGCCAAACATAAGACAGAGCAACATGAGCGAGGTAAGGGGGATCAGAACATCCCCAGTTTTCTTCTAACTCACAGACCTGGACAGAGCAGCTGTATTTTCATTTTAAAATTATTTGGAAATTAAACAAGTAGTTGGTTGATTGATTAGCATAACTAAACACAATGTCATTGGTCAACAAAGATGATATCTACGTGTCCATCAAGAGCATCCTAATGACGTATGCAAAACTTCATCAGACTCAAAGACTTGAAAGTGACCAAATAATAATAAAAGATGAGGTAATTTATTTTACAACTCTGTTTCCAAAAAAGTTGGGACGCTGTGCAAAATGTAAATAAAACAGAATACAATGATATGCAAAACATTTAAGCCATATCTTTAATTGAAAATAGCACAGAACAATATATCAAATGTTGAAATTGAAAAATTTTGTTTTTTGAAAAATAAAAAGATATGCCACACTTGTAAAGCTGTGTAATAATAAAAAAACACCAGGTTGAACATCTCATAACTAATTAGGTTAATGGCCAAATGGGAAGTAACATGATTGGGAATAAAAAGAGCATCCCGTAGAGGCTGAGTCTTTCAGAAATTAAGATGGGGAGGGGTTCAGCACTCTGTAAAAGACTATATGGGCAAACATCACACCAATTCAAGTATAAAGCTTCTCAATGAACAAAATCACAAAGAACTTCCACCAAGAGGAATGATTTCATCATCTACGGAACATAACATCATTAAAAGATTCAGAGAACCCGGAAACACGATTCTGTAGTGGAATTCACTGCATGGGCTGAGGAACATTTTCAAAAGCCAGTGTCTGTCAACAAAGTTCGTCACTGCCTCCACAAATGCAAGTTAAAACACTGCTGCCTTCTCTGGGCCTGAGGTCATTCTAATCAAATACATTAGATACTGTAATCAGTAACCCAATAGGTAGTACTGGCTAACAGATTCTCTCACAAAGGGTCGGCCTTAGTCTGTCTGCATAGATGATTCTAGACACTGGAAAGCCCCTGGGTTCACAGAGAGACCTGTGTGTACTTACTGACCCAGTGAAGAGAGGGGCAAGGTGACCTTGAAAGGTAAAGCAGACTGGTAAAAACCTGTTGAAACCAGTTTTTAGGAGTGAGCTCATCATGCGATGGCCAAATTGGCCATGGACAAATAGATGCACCTATTATAGAATGAGCTAATATAAAAATTTGAGAAGGTGGAGGGATATCAAATTACACAAGATAAACGTGTAGTTTGCAACACTGTACTTATGCAGTGGGGTCTCTCTCTCTGTGCCACTTGATGCTGAAATAAAGAAGCAGCCTTTTTCCCTCTTCCACAAACTCAGCATCTGAAGACTCTTTCCTTTTTGACATCTTTTGAGAACTTAAAACAGTTCTTTCTGAACGTGTTTAGCCAGTATTAAAAGATTTCTTTTTTTATTCATAATATAATTGAAAATAGTACTAAAATAAAATATAAGGTTTACATGATTTGTACATCATTACACTCTGTTTTTTTACATTTTGCACAGCAACCCAACTTTTTTGGGAATGAGGTTGTGAAAGTGTTAAAAATTCCAACACATAAACACCAATTAAAATAGTAAACGTTAGCTGTACATACTGGTGTTGTTAATGGCAAACACTTCAAGAAAACTGAACTTTTAGCAAATTCAGCAGCTGAAAGCAGCTTCAGGTGACTGTACAACAACTATCAAAGCAGACGAACAAAGACTCAGCAGAGCAGAATCTGTGAGGAAATATTTTAATTCACCTCAAGATATTTGAACCATGACCATAAAATAAAAGGGAAAAGCAAAACTGACAATTTGGCTATGTCACTGATTTTGCACTAGGCCAAAAATGAACTAGTTCATCTACACATGAAACTATCAAATGTAACAGGAAGATCAAAAGTAGCAACAGCCTTTAATTTTCTTCTGTTAACACTGTAGTGGAACAACATGTCTGGAATATTCTGTTTGGTATTGAACCAAATGGAGCTAGAAATATAGGCTTTGGTGTGAAGCTCACTTCAACACAGGCTAAATATAAACAATTTTTTTTTCCTCAGAAAAATAAACCAGTCACTTTCAGAGTCTCGCTGACTCAGGCTAAGGTGGTACTCCGGTACCATGACATCAGGGCAGCCCATGCCAATCGGTGTCCTGCTCTGCAGCTTACAATCCAACAGTGTTGATGATTCACCATGACAGTCATAACAGGATGGTGGGAGCAGGAGAAAAAAGAAACAGCTTCTCTCAAAACTCAGATCCAAAATATGTGTCAGCATTCATTATAACCCACAGCACATCAGTCCTTTTTGCCTAATAACGATGTAATCTGGGCACAGAACGATGGGAAGGCTGAGTAAAGTCCAATACTGTTTGAGTATTGTCTGAGAGCCAGTCAGTGGGACTTCTTACCCACTGAGGTGTAGCAGATAAACAGTTCCAGTGCAGTCAATAGTGAAGTGGGCAGACAGGGCTCAGGAGTCTCTGGAACAGAAAAAGGTCCTTTTTAGGATTAGAGGAACATAAAACAGAAAAAAAGGAATATAGAATTTGCTTTATTCTTTTAATTTCTGTGTTTAACACCCGAAGTTCCCGCAAATGTAGCACACAACTTTTAGAGCTGTCGTCAGACTGAACTAGACCAGAGAGACTAATGGACAGAGTTTGGGTGCATTTACAGAGCGCTTAATAAGTAACATCATTCCTGGTCTCCTAACTCTCCGTTTTGTGCAAGGAAAAGATGTCCAACAACAAGGCAAGTACATCTAAACATAATATCACTGATTCAGTTTAGTTAATAAAGATGTTCCTGTGGGTCCCTCATGATGTCTACATTAGTCACTCTCAGTCTACAAACACTGATATCCAGGAAGAGAACAAACACCACACGAACATACCACAGGTCTCACAGACACACGTAGATAAAAATACATATCCTTAAAAATAATATTAAAAACATAGTGATGTACAGAGATGAAACAGCCAAGCAATACAAATAGTTTAGTAGTTTTACATTTAAACCTTTAAATTATTTTTGTTCCTGTATTTGCTACTGTTTTATTTCATCCTGAAAAATTGAAGCGTACTTCTCCAACATGGACATGCTTTTGTGAAGGGAACAGTTAGTCTTGTGATTGGAGTGTGGTTGAGCTGAGAGATCAGGAGCAATCTGGAGGAGAAATCTTGCTCTGGCAGAAATGAGAGTTCTAATCAGCAGGATTCTGTGATGATATTTCGGCACTCTACGTAAGGAATGTAAGGGTTAGTGGCACAGAAGTTGTACATTTTCTGAGCTGCATGTGCAGAATAGCTGTTAGAGAAGAAAAATATTTGTTGTATTCTTGCAGGAACTAATGACTTCATTAACAGAACATCAAACTCTAAAGGACCATTTTAAGATTCTGGCTAAATTTGGTTTTGGGAAAATTATGTAAAGTAATCTCTGGCCCGCAGTGGAAACTTAAAATGAATCATTATGTTTAACCTAATGGGTCAAAATTGGAACCAGAGACAAAGAATAAAACACTTTTCTCTAACCTGTCAGAAACAGGTCTTCATACAAAAACCAAGTGAGCAAAACACATGGTTATATTGCACTGGTCATGTGTTAATTATGAAGTTGGTGTCTTCATTTGCATGGAAGTTCTTAGCAGATAACTTGCTAAATTAATCCAGCCCACTGAATGAAGTGTCTATAGACTGTCAGTAATTACTGCCTCTCTTAGAAATTCTGCCCCAATTCATAAACTCAGTGTTGCCCTTCACTTGCTGATAATACTCAGTTACCCTTGTCAGCCCAGCCAGATTTAATGACACAGTTGCTGGATGGTTGCCCTGCTGTCTGTCTAAATCAGCTCCAATTAAGCTCACCGGACAAAAAAATTTGTTACATTGCATGTTTAAGGTGGTAGTAACTTCAGGCTCCTGCAGATGGCGTTGCATAAGGATGATCGGGCTATACATACCTGTTGGGTGTGCGGCCTGATTCATAGATTTAGAAGAGGTGGTACAGTGCAGTGAATGTCTCTTTGATGTATGGAAAATGGGTCGCAAAGCAGATGTTAATGATTGGCAAAAAAGAGTGATTGCAATTGGGCGCCAAAGGCCAGAGTGTGAAGAAAGTAGCTGAATTTGCAGGTGTATCGAAGCATACGGTCATACGGGTCAACCAAAAATCCCAGTCTACAAGAAACACCCCGCAGGTATTTATGGCCTGATCATTCCAGTGCAACACCATCTGCAGGAGCCTGAAGTGAGTACCCCCTTAAACACGCAACAAGAGTAATTTTTTGTTTGGGAAGCTTGGTTCAAAATGCAGCAGCCTGCATCCTTACTGGGATAATAAAGTTTGAGCACATAACTCCAGTCTTATTCAGTTTACACTGGCCTCCTGTTAAGTTCTGCACTGTCTACAGTGGGGTGGGCAATATGGCTATATTGCATTTTTACCTTGATAAATTACATCACTGTACTCTTTTCTGTGCATATCTTGGGCATCGTCAGCGCTTAAAGAACATGACTAACAGCATGTTTCATTATAGAGAGCATAATTAGTTCTGTTTATTGGGGTAAAAAGATTATACTGTAAAGTTAATTTGCTTTGAAATAGCACACCAGAGCATAGTAAGAACACAAGCTCAATAGGTGTTTTGAAAAATCTAGATTAAAAACATTTGTATAGGCTAGTATAAGCCTAGAGGCTTTGTGGCTCATTTTCTCTGTATGTAATTGTGCTGTTATTTTCATTTTACTTATATTACTGTGTAGAGAACTTTGAAAAAGTGTTTTATAAATACAGATTTATTATTATTATCATTATTATTATTATTATTAGTAGTAGTAGTAGTAGTAGTAGTAGTACTTACAATAATATTAAAACTTAGGGCACCAAAAATGTCTCAGCTGATCGACTATGTTTAGATTAAGGGAACAAATTCCAACCTTATAAAACAGAGATAATGAAACAATGTATTTGACCAACTCACATGTCATGATTTGTCTCATTCTTAGTGCACTTGTGTGTCTTAAGAGTACACATATGTCTAAAACTCCGGCTACACTCGGAGCAGTAATACGGCTTCTCTCCTGTGTGAATGCGCAGGTGTTCTTGGAGACTACTTTGTCGATTAAACCTCTTCCCACACTCTGAGCAGTGATAAAGCTTCTCTCCTGTGTGAGTGCGCAGGTGTTCTTGGAGAGTGCTCTGCTGATTAAAACTCTTTCCACATTCTGAGCAGTGATATGGTTTCTCTCCTGTGTGGACACGCTGGTGTTGATAAAGAGTACTCTGCTGTTTAAAACTCTTCCCGCACTCCAAGCAGCGATATGGCTTCTCTCCTGTGTGTATCCGCAGGTGCTCTTGGAGATGACTGTGTCGAGAAAAACTCTTCCCGCAGTCTGAGCAGCAATACGGTTTCTCTCCTGTGTGAATGCGCTGGTGCTCTTTGAGAGTACTCTGTACAGTAAAGCTCTTTCCACACTCCGAGCAGTGATACGGCTTCTCTCCTGTGTGAATGCGCTGGTGTTCCTGGAGGTGACTCTGTCGAGTGAAACTCTTCCCACACTGTGAACAGTAATATGGCTTTTCTCCTGTGTGAATGCGAAGGTGTCGGTGGAGAGCACTCTGCTGAGTAAAACCCTTCCCACACTGCGAGCAGTGGTGAGGCCTCTCCTTGTCTGCATTTGTCTTCATTCCTCTGTGAGATGTAGCAGAAGACGTTTGTCGAGTAGTGGAGCTCGTTCTGGATGCCATGTTCTCCTATTTATTCCCTCTTGATTCCAGCAGTTTGGCTGATTCCATTTGGCAGCATCGTCTAACACATGCATGTGGAGAGAAAAAAGACAAAGGCAAAAATATTCAATTTTGAAGTAAAATGCAACAAAAATACACCAAAACATACATGTGGCAACAGAGGTACTTGGAAGTGATGCTAGAGAACAAACACTTTTGGTTTTCTAAGGAGCTTTTTTAAGTGTATAACATGTAAGAGTGTGAGGACCTTTTTAAAGAATACATCAACCCATGTGTTCTTCTGGTCTTTTGCCTCCTTGGCATGTTTGAAAAAAAAAGCATATTAGGAGATCTACAATACACATTTGCCAAGGCGGAATGTAGTGTCTGACCAGAGGGGCATGGAAGGGCACAGCATAGCATCTAACAACACTAACTGTTAATATCAAACAGCGCTAACCAGGAATTTCACTTGATTAGTCAATGGTCAACATATTAGTACAATAGTGACAATCACTAAATATTAAAGATGCACTCCAGTGGCAAAGATTTGAACGGCATCATTTGAATTTTCAATGGACGTGCAGGTGCAAAGCAGTGGGTTTGAGCCTATGGAATGCCGAGTCTGGGAGAAAGTGCGAATGAGGCAGCACTGATCTAACAGAATGTAAAATAAAGTGTGGGATATTCCGGCCATTTCATGAACTCCTTAGTTTTATTAACAGCGTGAACCAGGTACAGTCAGAGGGATACACAGAGATGGGGTGAGGTTTTCTTCCCACTAAAAACTTTAGCTGATTAAATGTATGGTTATCTCAAGGAAGAGTCATGGTAACTATACAGTAACCATAGTTGCCTTGAAAAACAGTCAAATCATAGTGTAAACAAAGTTACCAAAGGAACCATAGTATTTAATTCACAGTAAAACTTGTGAATTTTTGAAAGGGTATCAGTCAAGAACTCCAGTCTTGAGTGTTTTTGATTTGAAAAGCTGCAACTCTGATCTTCAACTTATTTATCACATGATGTTCGACATGCATGTTATACAATCATCCGAGCCGCCTCACTGCAGAATTTAATCGCACTCTTCGTTCAAGTTTGTACAGTATTTCAGAAAATTTTAATGTTAAGTTTGAAAATTATATAAAAGTATATACACTGATGTATTATCAAACTTTAAAAAGAAATGCTGGCCATTTTTAATAGACAGCGCCAACAATATACAATACTTCACTTAGGTCATATTCTCAATGAAAATTCAATTCTTCATAGTTGAAAACTAGCTGTGTTATTGTCATTAGACATGAATAGCAAACAGATACATGCTCGGATAGATAGATATATAAAAAAAATAAATGAATATGCCAAATAAGTAAATGTGCCAACTTACTCTGGGACATATATTTCAGCCATAACACCTTATAGACACAAATATGTATAACACATATTTAATAATATATGACAGAAAACATTCATATATGGATGGCACGTTTTAAGGTTTTTACGCAAATATTTTGTTTCCTTCAAATACTTACTAATGTAGTGGAAATCAGAATAAATCAGCTGCATAACTGAACTATAAAAACATTGTAAGCTGTGCAATTAAAAATGACAACATGAAATGAATGCAAATATTGTTCTCTGACACATTTCAATAATTTTATACTTAAAAACAAACCGATGAAGTGACAATTATAACTGCACTGGGATACAATCAACCATGTATCACACGTATATATGGCCCTTTATGATCTACGTGCATATATGTTATATATCAGATTTCCGTTTGGGTGAGAAAGGCTAGCATTACGCAGCCAAGTCCAAAGGCTGCTTCGCGTTGCTTCACTTGCTTCTCATCAAGGGTCAATCAAACACACATCGTCAATAAATATCGTTCTAAAATGTGAACAAGAGTTAAAATACGTCCAAACCTTCAACAGTTAAGCTCCTGTTTCCCCCAGCACTGTCTGGGATCTTCTACTTCTCCACTTTCTTCGGGTTGGAGAACCACAGTCATGGAACTAGCGCCACCACCTGGAATGTAGGGGGCTTCACGCTGAAGTTTGACAAAACTGGGGGCGTTACTTTAATCCCACCCGTATTCCGTCAAAGCCCGCTCCCTGCGCTGTGATTCCAGCGGTTAAAACATACACACTTAAAAAAAGATGGTTCTTCAAGGGTTCTTTAATAAAGGCAACATTACTATTTAAAACCATGAATTCTGTATAGAACCTTTTCATGCTTAAATGGTTCTTTGCATGGTGAAATGGTTCTTCAGAATGATGGAGAATGTGTTCTATATGGCAACGAAAGGGTTCTGCTGTTGTTGCAAGCTTAGCATCCTAACAATAGCAGAACCCTTTTTGGTGCTCTATAGAACCAATTTCAAAAAGCTTCTATATAGAACCATATGCAGCACATTCACCATCAATCTGAAGAATATTTCACCATGCAAAGAACCATTAATGTATGAAATGGTTCTATATAGAACTGTTCCCTTTGCTCAAATAAATACATAAATTTCATTTTATCATTCAGAATAAGAATATTTTTTATGTACGTCATCTGCGTTTGCTTTCATGGTCCGTCAGACTGTTTAAGCGAACTAGCAGTTCCACTGTGTGCTTTGGTTGCTATAGTAAACCAAGCAAACTCTAAGGACGTGTCATCATTCTGTAGTCGGCTTTATGCCCATATTAGGATCTCCAGGTCTAAGCCGGGTTTCTCTATGACAAAAATCAATACCATTTTCAAAAATCGCAGCTGTTGTGTCCTGTGGAAAACCAAAATGCCTCAAAGCTGGTACGTTTTGGCCTGTGTATGTTTTTCCTGGAGTGTGACTGGAATTTGAGGTCAAAATACAAATAATGCTACATAAGTGCTACGAGCAAGCTAACACTAGATCTACCACTCTGCAGAGTTGAGCTTCAACCCTGTTCTAACACACCTGATCCAGGTTATGAAGGCCTGGAAGAGGCATCTGAATAATAGAGCCAGGTGTGTTGGATCTGATCTCTTCAGGGTGACAGATCTCCAGGACTAGGATTGAGCAGAAAATCTTTGACAGCGTTAAATACCAACACCGTCTTATGATGTGAGTTCAGCACACAGCAGTGTTAGCTTGCATGTAGCAATAGTGTATTGGAAATTGTATTGGAAATTGTATTTCAGTTTCAGTCACTTTAGTGATGTCCAGAGGAAAAACCTCTATATGGCAAAACATCAAGTTTAAACAGACATTTCTTTATATTCAGTCTGAGGACTGTTTCTGTAATATGCATGTTTTCACCATGAAGCTTTTCATTACAGTTGTATGCAAGAGTTGGGACACCCCTGGTCATGTTATACATGTTGCTGATGTTCTAACTGAAAAGAAATGAACACCACTTTGCATCGAGCATAAATATGACATATCCGCAAAGTTTAATAAACAAGTACAATTTATTTGCTGAATTTAACATGGTGAAAAAAATAAAACATAAAATGTGGTGTGTGCATATGTTTGCTCGCCCTTTCAGTCAGAACTTTGTAAGAACGTTTATGATTTAATTTAATTAATTAATTTGGCTGAAATCACACCTCCCAAATGTTTCTGGTAGCCAGTCTTTCTATTCTTGATTTGACAGAGTTTTCCTTGCGGAGTGCTTCCAGTTCAGAAATATTCATAGATTGTCTCGCAAGCACGTATGTAAATCATTACAGAACAATGCAGTAAACTGTAAATGGTTTAACTGAGCGTAACGTTTATTATGTAATTTTACAAGTGCTCAGTATGAACCTCCTCCAGCTGTACAGACAACATCAACACCATAGTCAAACTCATCCCGTACTCAATTGAGCATGTCGGGTGTCGCTGCACTCACGGCTCTTTCAGTGCGATTTCGGAGATCATCCAGTGTTGTGGACACTGTGAGCTGTTGGAGGTTCACTGCCCACGAAAATCACGCTGCACAATTATGACAGATTCACTCTTATTGAAGTGGAGAACGCAGAACGCTTTCTGCTCAGGGGTCTCATCTCCTCTCAGACTGAAGAAGCCATCTTCCACTGACAGTCAGAAACTCTATGACTCCCTCTTTCGATTGGATTGTTATTGGTTCCTAGACACCTCACGGTTGTAAAAATATGGTGCTTTGAAATCGGATGAATCTTTTTGAATCACCCTGTATTTAAGGGACGGTGATGGCCAGTTCAAAATTTTAATCCTTTGTTTCTTGAAGAAGTTCAAGGTTAATATTGATGTATGTTGCACAAAACTGTCTTGTTGGCAGTGGCAGCTAGTGGTTAGATCATTGAGTGATTGACAGGGTCATGGGTTCAATAGCTGAGTCTGCTAAGTACTCCAGGAGTAGCTTATCATTGCTGCCCCTGTGCCCTGACCATGCTTTCAGCTGGGATATGCAAAGAAAAGACGTGTTGTACTGTGCAAGTAAAATGACAATAAAGGCACTTTTTTGTAATATCTAGTCTCTTCAGTTTCGTGTGCCAGTGGCTGCCACACAAACCAAACTTCTCCATTTCCAAACATACTTTGGTGAATATAAAGAGACAATTGGATCAGACCAGAGAACCTGATCACAAATTGCCCGTGAAGCTGCTCAGGTTCTCCTGCGTTCTATGGTTTATGCGGTGATGTGAACGAATTCTCACCTGGCCAATCAGCGGTCTGCCCAGATGAACGTACTACCCAATCACAGCGCAGCAGGCGGGGTTTGTCTGAATACAGGTGGGATTCAAACTCACGTCCCTGGCGTGAGGTCCCCTGCAGGTCAGGTGGTGGCGCTGATTCTCTAACTCTGGTTCTCCAAAAGTGGAGAAGTAGAAGATCCGGCTTTGATCTGCAGTCCACGCCTCCGAGCCCATGCAGTGTTGTTGGAGGAACATAAACAGGAGCTGAGCTGTTGAAGGTGAGGTGTTCGACAGTTCAACACAGGTAATACGTTGTGTTTTTTTTCCCACTGACTCTAGACAAAATAACTGGAGAGGTTTTGATTTTTAAAGTAAGATTTAATGGGTTCTAAACACTGAAGCAGCTTCATTCAGACTTGGTTGAGTAATCTTGGCTATTGTGCAAGGAAATGTAGTATATTGTTATTGCAATTATCATTTATGGTGTGTAGTGGTGTTTTTCTCCAGTGCTTCAAAGTGCTGTTTTGAGTTTGAGGAAACCTTATAAAGTAGAAGTTAGATCTAAAGACAAGTCCTTTGGGTCTGGCTAGTGTGCTTTTTGGCTTATCACATGGGCTTCTTTTGTTATTTTGTCAGCTCCTTGCTAACTGTAGAGATATATACATACTACATCTGCATGTGCCTTTTCTGCTTTAGAGTGAATTTGTGTACATGAGAAGTAGATATTATTATAAGCCATTATAAAAAATGTGTACCAAAAGTGAAAAAATACCACATTGGATGTGTTAGTTTGTAGAAATATGCTCACATTTACAGATCCTGTAGTACGTTTTACATGCAAATGTGTTGGAGACAATAGCAGCTGGTTCTAGAGCAAGATGAAGTACAATCTCAGAGATGTTAAGGTTTGGTTGGGGGTTGCTGGACAATGGCTGGTAGATTAAGAGGTGGTAAGACTGGCACCAGCAGTTATCTATGTTTGGTGATTAAAGGCGGTTAAAAGAGGGGGAGGATGTGTGATGTATGAGAGCTGTTTAGGAGTTTGATGGCCTACTTCAGTGTTTCTCAACCCTTGTCATGGAGGCCCTCAGCCTTGCACATCTGCTTTAACACAGCCACTTAAACTAAATAATGAGCTGAGTAGTTGGGTCAGGTGCAGGGAAAACACTAAAGTGCAGAGCACTTGGCCTCCAGGACCAGGGTGGAGAAATACTGGCCTAGTTCAGGTGTTCCCAGGCCCAGTCCTGGGGGTTCTGTGCTCTGCTCAAGTTCTGTTTTTTTTTCTTTACTCAAAAACTCCTGGACAGAACAAGAGGAAAAAAGGCTTAGATTTAGCTAACAAGGCAGCTATTTACATCTTGCAAAGCAGTTGTCTTAGAGATATTTGGTACTTGATTGTGTCACTGTACCTGTATTGAGAACGTGTTAAAGTCTGTGTTGTAGCTCCTCAAGATTTATGATTCAGAAATGTAATGTTTTTATAATATATGATTCTCTTAGGCAACTATGATTACTTAACGCAAGATCTTTATATAATCCTTTACTCTTATCGCTAAGAATAAATCAAATAAAACAGTGGCTGTGTTGGTTTTAGAATTTTCAGTATAATGTGAACATTATTAACATGTAAGACTGGCTACAAAACAAGTTTTCTTGCTCAAATTTTACACTAAAGAGTAAAATGCAACCTGCATATGATTCTATGTTGTTATAGATTTGTAAAGTTGTGTGAGTAAATGCATGCAGAACAGGCTGGCATGTCATTTTGAGTTGGTACACCGTTTGTGGGCTAAATTATATTTCGTTCATATGAGTTCATTTCTTTTTTCTTTTTCTCTCCTCCACAAAGTGTCTACTGCACACATTCCACCATCACATCAAAGGAGGGCCACCCAGAGGAATGTTAAGTGGCTGAAACAAGGTTAAATATAAGGATATGGCACCCAGGAGGAGCTCTAGCACTCTGCAAACGTCTGGTGTTCTCCATACTAACACATCTCCTGGCCAAATGGAGAATAATACAGGCAAGAAGAAAAGTCACCAATGCTCAGAGTGTGGGAAGAGTTTTAATCAACGCTGTGGTCTCCAAAGACACATGGGCAGTCACACAGGAGAGAAACCGTTTCACTGCTTGGAGTGTGGGCAGAGTTTTACACGACATACCACCCTTGAACTTCACCAGTTCATTCACACCGGAGAGAAGCCGTACGATTGCTTTGAATGTGGGAAGAGTTTTAGAGAGAGAAGTACTCTCATGAAGCACCGGCGCATTCACACCGGAGAAAAGCCGCATCGCTGCTCGGAGTGCGGGAGGAGTTTCACTCAGCTGGGTGTTCTCCAACGACACCTGCGCATTCACACAGGGGAGAGGCCGTATCACTGCTCAGACTGCGGGAAGAGTTTCAGTCGACTGGGGCACCTCAATGTGCATCAGCGTATTCACACAGGAGTGAAGCCATATTACTGCTCAGAGTGTGGGAAGTGTTTTAGAGACCGAAATTTTCTCCGGTTACACCAGCGCGTCCACACAGGAGAGAAGCCGTATGACTGCTCAGACTGTGGGAAGAGCTTCACCCAACGTGGTCATCTCACTCGACACCAGCTTATCCACATGGGAGTGAAACCACATTGCTGCCCAGAGTGTGGAAAGTGTTTTACCAGGCCGAGTCACCTGCGACAGCACAAGCGCATTCACACAGGAGAGAAACCGCATCAGTGCTCAGAGTGCGGGAAACAGTTTAGTAGTCAGAGTAATCTCCAAATGCACCAGCATATTCATACAGGAGAGAAGCCGTATCAGTGCGCAGAGTGTGGAAGGAGTTTTAATAAAAAGATTAATCTCAAAACACACCAGCGCATTCACACAGGAGAGAAGCCGTATCAGTGCTCAGAGTGTGGGAAGAATTTTACTCAACAGAATAACCTCCAAACACATCGGCGCATTCATACAGGAGAGAAGCCGTATCGCTGCTTTGAGTGTGGGAAGAGCTTCAAAGCCAAACGTACCCTCATAAATCATGAGTCCATTCACACAGGAGAGAAAACCAAATAACAGAGTGTGGGAAGAGGTTTAATTAACATGCATTTCCAGTTATACCAGTGTATTCACACAGGAATGATGCTGTAGGTCAGTGTGCTGGTCAGAGAGGAGCTCCAGGTGACATACTTGTTTATATACCAGACACACAAATGCCCTGAAAGCATCAGGAATGCACTGCAATTGCATTATGAGAGTAAAAGTCTGGAGGGAAAGGAGGGTCAGATTTTTCTTATGGACAAAATTTCCTTTTCTGAACGCGGCCCACGTCCAGCCTGCAGCCCATATAACCAATACGACACACGTAAACAAATCCTCCCAATTACTCCCAGTAGATTCACGTACAGCTTGTTTTCGACAACATAAAGCAAGTGAAAATTTGAATCACTATATGTAAAAGGCAAAGTTTTTATTGCATGTAGAACTGCACCTTTCTTCTGGTCCCTCTTCCTTTTCTAGCCTTAATATATGGTGAAATCGGTCAGGAAATTCCATAATTGATAGTAAGTAATTGTTTGCATTATAATTTCCTCAACCTGTGTTGATACCATTGACAATGTATTCAAGTTCTCAAAATTCTTGATGGTTCATATTTTATTTCCCATTAATGAGCTAAATTTTTGTCCATTAAAATGAGCAATTTGCCTAATGTGTTGGTTTTTTCATGTAACTCTAGTGCATTCATACAGCATTCAGACCTATTTTTTCTTGTTAAGTTACAGCCATACTCCAAAGTTGATTAAATATTTTTTCCTCATCAATGAAAAACTGGTCCATAAAAATATATAAACAGGTTTTCACAGAATTTTTGAAAAAGTATTCAAAATAAATGGAAAAATAATGTTTATGCAAACATTCAGACCCTTTGTATTGACACTTGAAATTGAGTTGCATCCTTTTTCCACTGATCATCCTTGAGGTGAGTTTCTTGGTAAAATACTCTTGATTATTTAGATCAATACCAGTTTTACTGATTTTAACAAGCCCTTGTCTCTTGGCCTTATTAATGTCAGCTCAGGGGAATCCCCAGCTCTGGTGTTAGATGAGACCTCAAATGGATATGTGATTAAGCGAACCCCAGAGAACTAGAAAACATTGCGACCTGGCGGATTTCCCTTTTCAAACTCCATAAAAATGGCTGACAAAGCTGTTAAGTTAAAGCAAGTAAACTATTTTAAATGCTTAGTGTTTCTTAACCATAAAATTTCATTTGCTGGGCTTTAAGATACAAACTTGTCTAACGTTCTACATGACTGTTGATATAACCATCACATTACTCTGCTAGCGGCCTCGTTTACATTCCAAAGGCTACACTGTTAACAAGAACAAAAGAAGGCAGGACAGTGTTGTTCTAGTAAGTTTATAGCCAGACAAAGTAGTTACTCACACACCTTATGTACATTATGCTCAAACTTATTAAAAAGTTTGCATGTTTAGTCAATTAGCTCACCGTGGCTAACCTAGCCAAGGGCAAGTCTGTTCCGTTTTAATAATCCACTCCTCACCGTCCCCTCCTCTGCACTGAGTGGATACTTGTGTAACATCAGTGTAGCACTCATCCGAGTGGTGAGTCGAAATGGGTAAAAAAAAATGAAATTAAACAGGGCTTAAGACTCACAGACTAAGTTGTCCAGCAGCAAAAAGGAAACAGTGTTTACGTTAATCACACTGGTTTTCATGTCTAAATCAAGTTTGAGAGCTCTCTCTTCAGAAGAGATAACACTAGAGCTAAAGCTAACACTGGAGCTAGTAACTTTTATACTGATAACTTGTATATATTCATGAGTGTTAAAAAAAAGGAGGAAAGGTAGCAAAACCATTGTTGGCAATTAGCTCCGAAACATCTATGAAAAGTAACTGGCTTTTTTGCTGCATTGTGGTTTAATTTTGGCCGTTCCTTTTGGAAAACCATCTTAAAGTCACCAACGTTACCAGGGTCTCTCTGATTGACTCACAATTACAAAATTCTCTTCAAATTTTCAGTGGGATTCAAGTCAGAAAAGAATTATTTTGGCTGTATGTTTGGGGTTGTTTTGTTGAAAAGTCCATTTTCTCCCCAAATTCAACATTTTGACTGTTGAGGGCAAATTTACTGCACTGCCATTCTCACTCCAGGTTTGTTCTGATGCTGTGTGTTCTTTGCTTGACAGAGGAATTGGTGCTTAGAAATGTGTGTGACTGGCTTACAGGCTTGTCAATCAAACTGTCAGCTGGAAAGAGAAGTCTTTCTTGTTGGTAGTTGGTGCGTCCCTGCTATCACAAATAAGGTGTCATTTGAAATAGTTACTGCCCAAATGGTCTAATAGAGAGCCAAATCCAACTTTTTGGGGGAGTGCAATGATTGTTACTATTCACTAATCACTATTATTATCAAAATAAATCAATAAACATGAATCAGATTTTTTTGATAAACAGTTTAATAGTATTTGATTCTTTTAAGATTATTACAATCTTATTTTTTGGCAACAAACAAGATATTTGAGGCTGGCCTGTAACTGCAGAGTTAAGAAATTTATTCTGGAGAGACCTGGTGTATATTCAGGACATCTGAATAGTAGCTGATAGTAGTTTCAGGAGTTCAGTTTTGGAGACTTTACACATGGTATGCAGGACGTGACAGGTAACTTGGTGCATCCTAAACTGTTTTTGTGTGTGTGGTTGCTTTCATTGTCTTGTGTAGCCTCTTTAACTTTAAAGGGGCTGCCAACTTGTAAACTCAATTGCAAATATTAAAAATATCTTAAATATACCAAATATTTGTAACTTGGTGATGCTTAAACCAAGTTAAATTTGAAACTATATATAGTTGCTGTCACTTAAAAAACCTATAACGCTGAAATGTCAACTTTTCAGGAGAAAGAAAAAGCTGGCAGGTGTTCAAATGGTGTTCAAAGCTAAAAAGACTCTTTTGACAAAAGACCCTGTTGTGAAGTTCAGTATTGAAATATTTTTCAAATATTACTTTGCATTAATAAAGTAAATAACCTTACACTTCTAGAATACTAGTGCTCTTTACTAAAATCTCTTACAGAGGTGGGCAATTTGGCAAAAACATAAAATAATACTTGAAGACATTTTCAAGACATTTTTTGGGACATTTTTCCAGTATTTAATTTTTCTGAGATTCTGAGACAACGGAGTGCACTGATTTTTATCAAATGATAAACTTAAATTAGCCTATTATTTGTGTTGACCTACATAATCTCCAAACAGACATTATGCATTACAGAAAGCATCTTAATTAGCACGTCATGATATTAATTAGTAGAATGACTTAGCAATATGTTAGTGCTTAACGATTGTCATTAACGGCTATTCAGATATGACTCAATCCTCTATTAACGTATGTTTTATTATTTTCTGATATGTTACGTATTAGTCTATTAACTGTGATAAAAGCTTTAGATTAGTATTAATGCATATTTATTTGTGGACCAGTATTGTAGAGTTTTGTATTGTAGAGTACCATTTTATGATCTCTACTCATTACAAGTGAGCCTGGAGGTAATTCTCGTTCCGGCCTCTAGGTGTTAGTGGTGAGTTGGAGTGCTCGTTGTTAGAAGGTAAAAGAGGCAGAACACTCACAGTCGAACTGCAAGCAAGCAAACTGTGTTTATGTTTCTCATGCAAAGGCCTGTTTTGGGAACAGTCAGTTTTCATGCATGTTGGCTCCTGTAGAATGTTAATGTGAGTGCATTAGAATGTGAGTTCAGGGTTTGGAGCAGATGCTTACATTGGCTGCAGTATTGTCTGAAGGCCTGTGCTGAGTAGGTGTGGTGATACTAGATATTAGATTTGAGTGATTCTGAAGAACCTGAAGAACCTTCTGTTAACACATTGTATAGAGGCTACCATCTGAGCAACAGTGCAGCTGGGCAGATGTGGACTGTGTTCTGCATATGAGCTCTTGTGGATGCGGTTGTTTGGAACATTAAGACCCATCATCACTAACCTCTAGTCGTCATACCACCAACCTTCTTCATATGGACTAATCATCCTGAAATGACAGACAGGTGAGTCTGATTTGTTTGCATGGACACGAAGACTTGGATTGAGAAAGAAATGTATGGACTTTACACATAGTGTTATGAATAGTGTTTTGCATTACCAGTGCTTGAGAGTGTTTACATTCAGAGTTGTGATGAGTTCTTTAAACATGTATTCTGGTATATGTAACTGATGACCTGTTTAAAACATGTATTTTTGTAACCTAAAAAAATACTTCATAAGGCTACATGACAATTATGTAAGGGTGTCATGACAACTGACATAACCCAACGTAAATGTTTATAAGTGCTTATTCCAACAGGCCTTATTCACTATAAAGGTTACATTTGCCAATTTTGATTAAAGTTAGATAAAGAAGCCTTTATGACAGATGATGCCTATTGGAATAAACATTTATAAACATTTATGTAGGGTTATGTCAGTTGTCATGACCAGCTTATGTAGGTGTTACGTAGCCTTATGAACAGCACCCTGCAGTAAAATGTTAATCTTTGTTCTTCAGCTCTTCTCTTCTTTGGCTGTTTCTTGGCCATCTTTCTTTCCTGACAATGCATGAGTCAATGTATTGTTGCTTATTGGCCAGAATAGTGTTGTGTCTCTTGGCCCAAAATACTTAATTTATTTCCCATTTACAGAGCCATTGCTGTGCATGAATATCAGATTTTATGTCCAGCACACATACAGAACAGAGAGCTAGTGGACTGTGAGATGTTCACTGAATTAAATAAAGTGTATTGGATTGAAATCATATATTGTGCCTTTAAACTGTAAGAAACCAATCTATGCAATCAAACAAGAGACTATAGATATTTGTTGGCACCATATGTCAAAGACAGATATCACTATGTGTCATCTGCACATTATGGAAACTAAAACTTTATTTATGATTAGTGCCAGGCAGGGAAAATGCATAATTCATCAAAGTAGGTCCTAGAATGAAACCTTGTGGGACGCCACAAGATGCTGCCTGGTTCTTATGCCTAGTGGGAACCAAAACTGTCTCCTCTCAGACATCACTTTTTTTCCGCAGAGTGTAGCTTTGTTGCATTTTACATTAAGACTTTAATATTTTTTGTCTTTTTGTCTTCCAGAAGTGAATGACGTCCTGTGAAAGGTATTCTCCTGTTTCTAATATCCACCTTCCTACACAGTTTAAATTTATCTCCCAGAACACGTCAAAAAATGCTACCTACAGGGGTCAGACTGCTGAAATCAGAAGATATTCATTATGAGAATATGGCTTCTAGAACAAGCTCTGGTGCTCAACAGACATCTTCTGGTACATCGCACAGATGGACACAGAAGAACAAGAGCAAGAAGAGGACTCACCACTGTTCAGAGTGTGGGAAAAGTTTTAATCAACAGAGTGCTCTCCAAGAACACCAGTGTGTTCACCAAGGAGAGAAACTGTATCAGTGCTCAGAGTGTGGGAAGAGCTTTAATCAGCAGAGTAATCTCCAACAACATGAGCGCATTCACACAGGAGAGAAACCGTATCATTGTTCAGAGTGTGAAATGTGTTTTAGAGATAGAGGCACCCTCAAAATACACCAGCGCATTCACACTGGAGAGAAGCCATATCAGTGCTCAGAGTGTGGGAGGAGTTTTAATCAGCAGAGTCCTCTCCAGCGACACCAGCGCATTCACACAGAACAGAATCCATATCATTGCTCAGAATGTGGAATCTGTTTCAGAGACCAAGGTACCCTCAAAAAACACCAGCGCATTCACACAGGAGAGAAGCCGTATTACTGCTCAGAGTGTGGGAAGAGTTTTAATCAGCAGGGTAATTTTCAACGTCACCAGCGCATTCACACGGGAGAGAAGCCGTATCAGTGTTCAGAATGTGGAATGTGTTTTAGAGACAGAGGTACCCTCCAAAAGCACCTGCGAATTCACACTGGAGAGAAACCGTATCACTGTTCAGAGTGTGGGAAGCGTTTTAATCAGCAGAGTCATCTCCAACGACACGAGCGCATTCACACGGGAGAGAAGCCGTTTCATTGCTCGGATTGTGGAATATGTTTTAGAGACAACGATACCCTGAAAAAGCATCAGCGCATTCACACTGGAGAGAAGCCATATTACTGCTCTGAGTGTGGGAAGAGTTTTAATATCCAGGGGAATTTACAACAACATCAGCGTGTTCACACAGGAGAGAAGCCGTATTACTGCTCAGAGTGTAGGCACAGCTTTAGACATTTGAGTACTTTAAAGACACACAAGTGCACTAAGAGGGAGAAAGCTCTGAACGTGTGATTTTCAGTATTATGTGATTATTCTTATTATCACTTTTTTAAATGAGCAATCTTACCATTATTTTTAAGATTTAGTTGCTCAGCAGGAGGTGTAGACAAAAGTATGGTGGTTTTGTGCTTGAGAGAAAGAACATTATACAGTATTCTATGTTCTGTACACAAGCAAGACAGTTTTGTGCAACATACATTTATATCAACCTTGAACTAAGAAACAAAGGATTTAAGTTTTGAATTGTTCATTGCCATCCCCAGACTTAAATACAGGGTGATTCAAAAAAATTCATCTGATTTTTAAGCGCCATCATTTTTACAACCGTGAGGCACCTAGGAACCAATCACAATCTAATTGAAAGAGGGGGTCATAGAGTTTCTAACTGTCACTGGAAGATGTCTCCCGTTCAGTCTGGGAGGAGATGGAGACCCCTGAGCAGAAAGCATTCTGCATTCTCCACTTCAATAAGAGTGATTCCGTCATAACTGTGCAACGTGATTTTCATGGGCAGTGAACCTCCAACAGCTCAGAGCGTTCGTCGTTGGTTCCACAACATTGTATGATCTCTGAAATTGCACTGAAAGAGTCGTGAGTACAGTGACACCCGACATGCTCAATCGAGTATGGGATGAATTTGACTATGACGTTGATGTTGTCCATACAGCTGGAGGAGGTTCATACTGAGCACTTGTACAATTACATAATAAACGTAACGCTCACTTAAATTGTTCTGTAATGATTTACAAGTGAAATAAATTAATGGAAGCGTATTACAAAGGCAAGCGACACTTTTTTTTCATCTTCTTAGCCATAAAACCCTTCAGCAAACTTGGTACAGGTAGTTGCCATGATATAACACTAGAGGGAACAACATCACAGCAAGTATTGTCACTAACGTTTGTGTGTTGGCAAATTGTCACTACAGTTGCTCCTGCAAGCTAACCACAAACATTAGCAAACAGGACACAACAGTACTGACCTACTGGTTCTGTGAAACAGCAAAAATAAGTTGATGTTACCCACCTGTCAAGCAGAAACAGTGAAACATCCTCGTGCCTTTTTATGCCTTTCAACTCTTGATAGAGCTGCAGTCAGCTTCTTGTCCGAATTTCCCCGTTCCGCCTTAAACGGTGCAGCAGTTACAGTCTGGCACCTCAGGCGAAATACGACTCATGTTTTATGTCACTAATCAGCTCTCAGGATCGGTTAAGGGAAACATCGGCCGATTGCATATTTGTATTATATAGCTGGAAATTGGCTGATACCAATCACTCCTTCCATCTCTACATAAAAGTACTTTTAGTTCTTGTTGATACTGTGTAATATTATTTTGATGAACAAGTTCAGACCTGTTTACCAACTGAGCCTTTTGGGATGAGATGCTGTTTTGAAGAAAACATTTATGGCTCTATACAATTACTCAAGAGTTTTCTTGGAGGTCCAGTAGCTTTAGGAGAGTAAGATATTCTCGCCTAGTGTTTTATTGTCCACCTGCTCGGACATTTCTGATGTTTTAGTGTATGTCATTTTTTCTTCATTTCAGTGCCAACTTTTTATTTCTCCACTTTTGCTCTGTCCATATCCTGCTGATATGATTCACATAAGGAAATGTCTGCTTTGGGGAGCAAGAAGTACTCCCCTCCCTAGAACAATGCCAGATTCATATGGCATACAGATTCAAACAAATCAATCTTTATTGGACTGGGTCCATTATTGATGTACTTCATATATAGTATAACTGTCTAAACCCTCCATCAGGGAAAATGTGTTAAGACATTTATTTGGGCAGTAAACATCTGTTTACTCAATGAACACTAACATTATACAATAAATACAAATAAACAATCCATTGTGATTTGGTTGTTGTTGTATGTATCTTCTTAAAAATGTCTCAACTAATGTGGATGTTCTTCACTCCTAATGGAAAAGCATTGCAGGTGGCCTTCCACTTGAAGCTGCTTGGTAGTGTATAAGAGAATGTGAGGCTGCGTTAAGGCACAGGAGGCTGAGTTCCAAAAGATCGTTTGATGTATATATTTGAGCCACAGTTGAGTTCCATACGAATTTCCATAATTTTGATGTGTTTATTTTTGAAAAATGTAGTAAATAGTAAAAGCATGAGGGGAAACCTCATGTAGGAAAGTAGGTGTGTTCAGTATGTGACTGTATGTTAAGTAATATTATATTTTCATTGACGAGGATTCCTCTGTGTTTACCCTCTTTTTCCATCACACCCACCTTCTTTATCCTGACCCCTTCATTTTTTTCTGCTCCATCTTCCAGCTGTCCCCCTATGCCTGCATGTATGCTGTACAAAAATGCTGAAGGAACAGAAACATTTATAAACATGAACATGTGTAACTGTTTATATACACATGTGGATCTACAGTTTGTTTCAGTGCTGTATTCATGTTCATATTTTTAGGCTGAGGTTTAACATGCACTGTAATAGTGCAGATTGCATTTTGACCATTTGCATTTTTGGTTATTATTAGCATTTATGTTGGACTTACTTGCTATTTCTTATTGTCTGTAATTATAATTTGGGTTATTTGTTATTAAATCACCGTTTCATAAGAAGGTATATATATATATATATATATATATATATATATATATATATATATATATATATATATTAAATACTGATGTTTGATCTTTCAGTAGGCTGAAATGTTTAAATCTGTTATTCCTCATATTGGTTGACATTTTATCTTGTTATTCATCCAGTTTGTCTAGAACAGGGGTGCCCCATCCTGGTTCTGGAGGACTACAATCCTCAGATCGAGCACATCTAACTAATATTCAAAAGCTCCTAAAAGCCTTCTTTAATAGGTTAAGGGTGTTACGACACAGTCTTGAATAGTTCTGCCAATTGTAGACCATGTTATAAGTGTTCATCAAACACATTTCTTGGTCTATATTTTTTATATTTAACATAAATGGTTTTACTGTTAAGTGCAGCTTGGGGGGAAAAAAATATGCCAAGAAAAAGCAAGGAATCCAAGCAACATGACTAAGTAAATATATGACCTGGAAATGCTAACCAGATGGTAAGCATGGCTGATGTAAATGTCAACTCAATCCTAGCATCCCACTGGCAAGGTGATGTTAGATATAGCGAGTTTATTTAGATTGCAGTGTACTTGCAATGCCCTTCTCTTGCTGTACACAATGAATGAAATGACTTAGTAAAGTGTGATGCATTGTATACTGGGATCAAACAAATATTTCAGTGAAGTCTCTCAGGTATTTTGCTTCATTCTGGTGTCTGAAATGCATAGTCTGCCAAGCTGTAAGTGTACATTAGTTTGGGAAGGATCAAGCTTGTGTTTTGCTTTGGGAGGTCAAGGTTTCTGGGTTTCTGAATGGTAAGCTGGTACTTTGAACCAGCTGCTGCCACAGACTGCTTCCTGGCAGAGGCTGTGAAAGCTGCCTGTTGTAAGCCTGCATAAATTTGTTTCTACCTCTGCCTTTTACAGACAGGCTGAGTCTTTCAGAAGTATAGATGAGGAGGGGTTCACCACTCTGAAAAACTGCACAAGCAAATAGTGCAACAATTCAAAAACACTGTTTGTCAATGTTAAATCGCAAAGAACTTGGGGATTATCATCATCTACGGTACATAAAATCATTAAAAGAGAGAATCCAGAGAAATCTATGCAAGGGACAAGGCCAAAAACCAAGATTGGATGGCTGTAATCTTCAGGCCACAGGCAGCACGGCATTAAAAACAGACATAATTGTGTAGTAGAAATCACTGCATGGGTTCAGGAACACTGCTGAAAACCACTGTCTGTGAACACAGTAAGTCGCTGCATCTACAAATGCAAGTTAAATCTCTACCATGCAAAAAAGAAACCACATATAAACAGGATATAGAAACACTGCTGCTTTCTCTGGGCCTAAGTGGAAAAGTGCTCTGTGGTCCAACAAATCAAAATTTTAAAATTCTTTTGGGAAATCAAGGACACTGTGTCACCTGGGCTAATGAGGGGAGGGACCATCTGGCTTTTTAATCAGCATACGGTTCAAAAGCCAGCATCTGTGATGATATAGGTATGCATAAGCGCACATGGCATGGGTGACATTTGGTGCATTATGAAATGAAAAATATGACAAAGGAGAGCCCAAACTGTGGAGCAGCTGAAATCCTATACCAAGCAAGAATGGAAAAACATTGTCCCCTTCAGAACCTACAACTGTTGGTCTCCTCAGTTCCCAAACACTTACAGAGTGCTGTTTAAAAAAAGAGGTGATGAAACACAGTGGTAAACACGCCCCATCCCAGCTTTTTTGAAATATGCTGCTGCCATCAAATTCAAAATGGGCACATATTTTTCGAAAAACTAACATTTTTCATTTTAAACACTTACTATGTTGTCTTTGGAATATTTTCAATTAAATATGGGGTTTAAGTGATTTGCACATCATTGCATTTAGTTTTTATTTACATTTCGCACAGTATCGCAACTCTTTTTGGAAATGGGGTTGTACTCTTCACTCCTTACATTTTTATTGAAAATTTCACAGAACTGTTTGAAATCTCAAAGGCCATGAGATCTTTTTTTTCTCTCGCTAGTCAGTCAAGTTAAATTCATATAAGTGTAAAATGAAACTGCGAATTCATCTTTGTGAAAGATAAAGTGCTGCCCATTTGTTGCTGTGCCACAATTGTGCTCTGCACTGCTGAGAAAAGATGAGGAGCAGTGTGCTGCACAATGTAAGGGTTATGAGAGTATCGCAAAATGTATGCATGCAAAGTTTATTATAGTGTTTAAGTGTGCTTAAATTTTACAAACATTGACAGGTTGTTGAAAAGCATTAAGACAAAATAGATTCAAGGTTGCATTAATCAATCATATGTCATATACTGTCTGCCAATCATGTGTTGCACTAGCCAATCACAAAAGAAAACTACTATGAGTTAAACTCTTTGGCCAACCATCTTAGCAAATATCAATAAGAAAATGATGCAAACTACTGTGATAAACAGCATCACTAGCTTCTTTAATGTATTTATTTATCGGTATATACTATTTACATATACATTAAATGTATATTAACCATATATGTAAATATGTAGGAATCGTTCAGATATGTAGGAATCATTTTCATAGTTTGTCGAATCAAAATAGCAAACTAGCTATGCTAAAAATTTTGATTACAGAAATCAATTCTTGTGTTCTTAAATTAAACCAGTGCAACACATGCTTCACTTCATTTGATCACTATGGCCTCTTTTCCACTGCAGGCCAAATGGTTCTGGGTGTGGAGGGTAACTGTTCCAGTGGCATGAGCTTTACTGATGCAAGTTTATATGATAATGACTCAAATCTGAGGAAGCGAAGTTGAGCGGATGATGTTGGACAGACAGAAAGCCTCAATTAAACCTGTTCTGTGGAGTTTGGAGCTCTAACCTCCTAGATAAGCCGATACTAGCTGGCCTCTCTCTCCTAGCTAGCTTAACAGAGCTAATCAGATCCAAGCTCCCTAGTACAGGTCCAATTCAACTAACTGGTGCTTTGCTATCACAAGTATACACGCTAAGAACTTACAACAGCAAGAGCAAAGTAGAGCGATTAGTGTTAAAGTGACACAGAGCCAAAATCAAACCTGTTCTGTAGTGTAATAAGCTGTAGCCTGCTAGGCTAAGCAAACGCGAGCGTACAGTACCTCCCACCACAGTACACAGAATCGGTTCCAGCAGGTACTTAAAAAAACACCCTTTTATAGAATAAAACCTCATTTCTGAGATCACAAATTTGAACGTCTGGTGTTTAAGTGACAAAGATTAAAAACTAGGAATGTTGTGTGGTGAGGTGAGCTGTACACTGCTGGGTGATACTAATGCTACCTAGCGTAGTTAGCCGGCTACAGTTTCAAACCACTGCAGTACAGGCTCAGTTTCAGTAAGTGATGCCCAAAAAACACTCATTTAGAGGGTAAAAAATCTGAAAGCACGCTGAGACTGGAGCTGGAATGACAGAGTCACCCGTGTGTTGTGGTGGGCGGTGTGGGTGTAGCTAGTTTTTTTGTATTTCCGGGTTTGGATTTAGTGGCAAAACAGATGGAAAAAGCGTAACCGGTCTCACACTAGTGCAGAATGGCATAGTACGGCCCCAAGAACCATCTGGCTCTACAGTGGAAAAGAGGCCTTGACCCCTGTTTGGCCTCTATTGTTTAGCTCCTATCCTGCCTTCCGCCCAATGACAGCTGGGATAGGCTCCAGCACCCCACCGCGACCCAGAAGGATAAGCGGTTTAGATGATGTATGTATGTATGTATGTTTAGCTCCTCCCATAGGTTGTTGTCAGAACAGCAGATTGTTCGCAGCAAGGTCGAACATGTTGATCAGCTATATTTGGGGTAAGTGGAAAATTGGGTGAATCTCAAAAAGTGATCTTTTTTCCTAGACCAACTCATACATTTTGTTCTCACTCTTCACTCTGCACTCATGTGTCTTTAAAGTACTCGAGTGCCTGAAGTTCTGGTTACAGTCACAGCAGTAATACGGCTTCTCTCCTGTGTGAACACGCTGGTGTTTTTTTAGAGTACCTCTTTCCCTGAAACATATTCCACACTCTGAGCAGTGAAATGGTTTCTCCCCTGTGTGAATGAGCTGGTGACGTTGGAAGGTAGTCTGCTGATTAAAACTCTTCCCACACACTGAGCAGTGATACGGCTTCTCTCCAGTGTGAATGCGCTGGTGTGCTTTCAGAGCACTTCCATCTCTAAAACTTTTCCCGCACTCTGAGCAGTAATACGGTTTCTCTCCTGTGTGAACACGTTGGTGTAGTTGGAGATGACTCTGTTGATTAAAACTCTTCCCGCACTCTGAGCACTGATACGGCCTCTCTCCTGTGTGAACACGCTGGTGTTTTTTAAGGGTATCTCTATGTCTAAAATGTAATCCACATTCTGAACACTGATACGGTTTCTCCCCTGTGTGAATGCGCTGGTGCCTTTGGAGAGTACTCTGAGTAAAACTCTTTCCACACTCTGAGCAGTGATACGGTTTCTCTCCAGTGTGAATGCGCTGGTGTTGCTGGAGATGACTCTGCTGACTGAAAGTCTTTCCACACTCTAAGCACTGATACGGTTTCTCTCCTGTGTGAACGCGCTGGTGTTTTTTGAGATTACTCTCCACGTTAAAACTCTTTTCACACTCTGAGCACTGATACGGTTTCTCTCCGGTGTGAATGCGATGATGTAGTTGGAGCGTACTCTGCACAGTAAAACGCTTTCCACACTCTGAGCAGTGATACGGTTTCTCTCCTGTGTGAATGCGCTGGTGTGTTCTGAGATGATTCCGTTGACTAAAACTCTTCCCACACTCTGAGCAGTGGTGAGTTTTCTCCTTTCCTGTATTTATCTGTATTTGCCTGTGAGACGCATTAATGCAGGGAGTACCAGAAGACATCTGCTCAATATTTGGGCTTATGGTGGATGCCATGCTTTCACATTTAATCACTCTTGTGTTCAGCATTTTAATGTTGTCCTCTTGGTCGCAGAAGATGACTGGCAACAGGACGTCATTCTTTTCTGTATGAAAAAAGGAGAAAAACATAAAACTTAAATTTGTAGACAATGCTCAGCTAATTTAATGTTTAATGTTAACATGAATACATCACAAATGAGAGTGGACCTTCATTATTTTACTAGTATACCATTCAATAAGTTAATGATATATATTGTTGTACAATACGTCCTTTGGGTGAGTACATTTTTAGCACATCAAAATTAATTTTTGCCATTTATGCCTCCCAAATTACTACTAATAAACTACTAAAAGGGTTATTTAGATATAAAATCTTAAATAAAACAGTTATAAACAGAATCTACGCTTGAAATCGTAACATTATAATATAGGGCAGCTTTCAAATTATTCAACTCGCTGAAAAACGTTCTTTCTTAAATTCGGATTTCTCAGTCTCATGAATATTGTAAAAGTTGTAATTTATAAATCATGGTTTGTTTATCCAGGTAGTGTGTGTTATTATTATGTTTATTCATTTGCAATAATGTATGTATAAACTTGAATTTGAAGAAAACGGTTCATACATGTGTCCAAGCAGAAAGACTAGTTACACATTTTCTAGGTGGTGAAGCTGATTTCTTTACAGTGGTGGTGACAGGAACCAGGGGTCGCCATGACTACAACACAAATATGTAAACGGATTTATATTCATTTATGTGCTCTTCTCTGACCAAATACAATATGTTAGATATGTTAATGCTAAAACACTCAGGTCATCAAATCTGCTGATCAATCCGGAAACACTGCTGACCTCAATCTCTGTAAATGACCTAAAAACCTGAGTGCAACTGACAGTCTTAGCACTGTTAAAAAGCATATTCAAAGTTTAAATACACATATTGATTAATGCATTTAAATAGAATCAGTGCCTTCAAGTGTGGAGTGTTTTTACTGTATTTTATTCACAGGCTATTTTTTATTTTCTCTCTTTATATTTAACAGAATGTTTCCCCTCTGCATTTTGCTTCAAACCTGAGGATGCTTTATAATTTTAAAAGGGTTTTAACAGTGAATTATATACATGAAGTATTTCTACTACTACGACAATAAAATCTACATCACCACCATTTAGTGTAGTTGCACATTTATATGCACGTTTAAGCAAATCAGTATGTATATCCGTATATTTTGCACTGTTTACAGTGCTGTGAAAAAGTATTTGCCCCTGCAGCTTTGCTTCTGCAAGATCTAGACGGCTTATCATAATAGACGGAACCATGGATTCTGCACTTTATCAAAAGATTCTTATGGAGAATGTCTGCCTATCAGTTTGTAACATAAAGGCTCAAGAGGAGTTGGGTCATGCAGCAGGTCAATGATCTAAAGCACACTTCTAAATAAAAAAAAAAATAAGGTTTTGGAGTGGCCAAGCCAAAATCCTGAATTTAAAATCCCATTGAGATGCTGTGGCACGACCTTAAACGGGCATTTCATACTCAAAAACCCTCCAGTGTAGCTGAACTAAAACAACTCTGCAGTGAAGAGTCGGTCAGAATTCCTCCACAGTGATGTAAAAGACTCATCGCAACGTATCGCAAACGTCTGATTGCAGCTGTTACTGCCAGGGGTGGCACAACCAGATATCAGGTAAAGGGGGCAATTACTTTTTCACACCAGTGATAAAGATTTATTCAAAACCTACATCTTCAATAAATGGAATGATCATTTGAAAGCTGCATTTTGTGTCTTATAATAAAATTAGTTGTTTGATCTGTAACATTTAAATGTGACAAATTAGCAAAAATAGAAGGAATCAAGTGGGGGCAAATACTTTTTCACAGCACTGTATATCTGCACTCTGCACTTTGATTTCACACCTTTTATACTGGATTAAAATTCTGCTTTACAAAAGCACAACTGTAATGCAGAAAGAAGATAAGCAGGTACGACTTTCAGTTCAAATGGCATCAAAATCAATGGCTTTGCTTGATAACGATGGAAAAACGAACAGAAAATGCTTTTAAAAATCAGAATATATAAATATATGAACTATAACAGGAGAAAGAGTCAACAATACTCAGCGAAGTCTGGACAGAAGCTGCCTGACATCCCCACCGTTCAGAAAGCGAGCATCTCTCCATTCAGTCCGCTGAAGGCCAATGAAAAACACGGTGTAATCATTTCAGCTGAATAATAAAACTACACGTCAACTGCGGCAGTTCAGCTCCAGTGCGGAGAGCCGGACTGCAGATCAGCGGGATCCTCTGCTTCTCCACTTTATTGGAGTTGGAGAACCACAGTTATGTTATTAGCGCCACCACCTGGACTGCAGGGGCTTCACATGGATTTTGGCGTTATTTCCAATCCCACCTGTTTTCCGCCTCCCGCGCTGTGACTGGTTTGATCCATCCCTGCTAAAAAACTCAGACACCCATTAAAAGTCTCTTCTGGTTCCTGGTGGTGTCCAATAGTCACTAACGGTGTGTAGTGTTTTCCTGATGGGTTGAAATCGGAGTGTACATGATTCTAATGGTTTAACAGGTGTTCTGGGACTGATTTCAAATGCATTTGATGGCTTCTTAATGAATTCTGAAAAAAAGACCATTAGAACCATTAGGATTAAAACCTGATGGTTTTGCTTTCTAGCGGGAATTGGCTTTATAGTCACCATTAGAGATCATTATCGACTTTTACTTTTTTTTCAGACATCTGATCAGTTGGAACAGAGAAAAAAGAAGGAGTAGTATTGGTTGATAGTGTAGTAGGCAACACCTCTGCCTTCTACGCTGTAGACTGGGGTTCAGTCCCCGCCTGGGGACCCTACACTATACCAGTAAGAGTCCTTGGGCAAGACTCCTAACACTACCTTCATCTACCTGTGTAACATGATCGAATTGTAAGTTGCTCTGGATAAGAGCGTCTGCCAAATGCCGTAAATGTAATGCTATGATAAAAAAAAAAATAAATAAATAATGAACAATGATTTTTAATTAATGTTTGTCATGCTGTGTTGCTCTAAATCAGTTAAACAGGACTAATTTTGCTCTCTCTATAATGAAACATGTAGTTGGAGTTGGTCAGTGTCTACAAGTCCTGACGATATACACGATATGTTCAGAATAGCATATCACTGCTGTCGGAAGAAAACCTCGTATCTCCAAAATGGTAACTTTACAGGAGAAGGAAACAACCTACTTTTAATGTAAGTCAGTGGAACCAGACATTTTTCCAAGTCATTTTGGGCCATTTCTTTTGGTCCGTTCATCATGAAATTTACACACAATGTAAAGGGATAGATAGATATTTTCCAATTGTGTCAAAAACTGAAAAACAACAAAAATGGAGATGAGATGAGGTTTTCTTCTGACAGCAGCGATATTCTACTGTAATGTGACAATTTATCACAATAACGATAAATATTATCACATCGCCCAGCCTTACTTTATTGTCTTGGCTTTCAGTGTAAACAAAATTGACACTATGAAAAGAAATGACATGATTACTGAAAGTAGCTTATAAATAATTCTCTGACTAACGTTTTTTTTTTCCACACAGGTTCAGGTTTTTGTGACAGATCTATTATAAACAGAGATGCACCAACACCACTTTTTCCCTTCTGATACCAATACCTTATCCTTAAATATAACCTACCTAATCTATAAGTCCTGATATTTATACAATTACATTATTAAAATATTTTATTTTGATTAAATCTATGTTCTGTGTCACACATATAAACATACTCAGCTTGACTGAATGGCATTCACTTAAACAAGTGGCAGTGCAATATGCAATATGTATTCAAAACCATCCAAAACCTCTTCAAAACCATTCAGTGAGCAGCCAAAGACTGCTGTTATAGGAATGCACTACAGCAAGGGTCTTGACTTAATCTAGATTTTGGCTAGTGAAATTAGATTATGTCGTATCAAGTAATTGATACGATATAATCTAATTAAGTAAGTGGAATGTCCTTTTACTTTCTCCTTCCTTATACAAGTGGTGGTCTTATATCTCCTCAGGAATATCTGTTTAGTCATTTTAAAAAGCACCTGCAGCTAAGGTGTGTTTAGGTAGCTGCTTGTGTGAATGTTAGTGTCTCTTTTAAGGGCAGTAATGTCAATGACTCATTTGGGAACAGCTTTTTGGGAGGACAGCTGTAACTGGTTGGTTTTGAGATTGACAGGACAGAGGAGTCAGGGTGCAAAACAAGTAAAGAATGGATCATTAAATGCTGATGTATTTGCTGAAGGATTTTATGTAATTGTATGTTAAATACATGTTTCTTGCTTTTTTTCTGACAGTACAAAATAATAATAATAAAATAATAATAATAAAATAATAATAAAAACTAAAATAAAATGAAAAAGGAAACAGTGGATTCTGACCAGTATCGAGTATATTGTAGCCTATAGTCTGGGTGGATGTCCAGTTTCTCAACCATATAGACCAGTGGTTCCCAACCCTGGTCCTTGAGGACCCCCTGCCCTGCACAGCTGGTTAACAAGCCCTTGATGACTTGAAGTGGGTTTTTTGGCAGCAGGAAAAAACAGCCGGGGGGGCGGGGTAGTCCAGGGCCAGGGGTGGGAACCTGTGACCAGACCATCAGTGACCATCTGAAACTATCTACCAACAAAAGCTGGCCTTGCAGGGTTAAATTTGGCTGACCGGTAGCTCTTTTCTTCACCATATATTGGTAGAACTGACCCATGTCGACTGACCGTATGGTTACTAGATTCGGTTAAACCAATGAGAGAAAACAGGACAGTAAGTTTCATTCAACTACTGGTGATCACGTGGTTCCAGTGTGAAGCCCCCCTGCATCTCAGGCGGTGGCGCTAATTCTGTAACTGCGGTTCTGTAACTCCAGTGAAGTGGAGAAGAAGAAGGTTCCGCTACGCGTCCAGACGGTCGTATGTGGTCTTCTATGATGGAGGAGCAGAAACAGGAGCTGAACTGAAGGTGAGCAGATCTTTAACACTTCACCGCGTTTCTCGCCGTGTTTACAGGCACCTCTAATGCCGATGGCTGGACAGACGTCTGGATTCTGAAAGGGGGTCGTCGAGAGGTCCAGAATCCGAGCCAACGCAGCAGCAGCTCCGTCCAGACTGGGCTGACATCGTTGGCTGTAGTGCTGGAATATGCGGTTCTCCTGGTTATGTTTATCATCGCTGAGCGGTTTGAACGCGATTCTCAGAGAGACGCGCCTAGAATCCGCTCTTTTAGCGCCTCTGTCTGACGATCTAAAGGCTCGACCCCCCTCTATTCATCTCTTATTCAGTCTAGACATGTTCCTGAGTTCCGCAGTCTTCAAAGCCAGCTTTTGGGGGATCATTAAACGCTTTACTCTCATTAACTGCTGACTCGTTTCAGACGTCCTTTAATATGACATCAAACGGTGTACATCATCATCATCATCATCGCAAACCATGTACAAGCAATGTCAACACAGTGTACATATTTGCATAACACAAACCAATCAGAATCTACAATACAAGTAAATACAGATAGATTATTTATTATTAATGATAAGGATAATAAGCAAGAAGCAGAAGAATAGTAATAATAAAGAATTCGATTATGAATGCACCGAATGACCTGAATAAACATAACAAAAATAAATATATAAACAAGTAAAAAGGGGGGTTTGTGTACTTTTGTCATTCTAAAAGAGAAATTTAAAAAATAAAAATAAAAAAATAACGGTTTGAATGAGAAAAAAACAGACATTTTCCGTTTTCTTTATCTGAAACAACAGACAGGAAAAGTAAAAATGTGTTACGTTTATTATTCTTTGTAAAACGTGGTATAATCTCAAGAAAACCATCCGTTGTTTTCAAGCAGACGGCACTTTCATTTTCACAGCCGACCTGTCAATCAGCTCATCAGGGCGGAGCCACTGCGCGGAAACCGGGGTTATGAATGTGTTCGCTCACTGCATCAGTTTTAACAAGATAATAAACAGGCAAGGGTCCCATATGGAAAAGACATACATGGACATGTTTTTAAATGTAAAATCCATTTATTCATTTCAAATATATGGTTTCATTCCAAATTGTCTTCCAAACATAGTTTAAACAAAGAAAAGAGGCAATTTTCAAATGGTACTGATACTGTTATATAACAGCAGAAGAAGAATAGTTTTGGGTGGAGCACCAGCTTGGCAAGCCATCAGGTGTTTCCAGCCCATGTGGGCCACCACAATCACCGCTTCATTTGGCTTTGGTGGAGAATGGTGGAGTGCATTTATTTGTTTTGGGGCTTTTTTATAAACTTGAGCTTTATTCAGACACTGTATATCTACGCCCACGCAAAGTTGTCCTATGAATATAGTCATTTATCCACAAAAACTGAAGTTCAATTCAATCTAAATCGTGTCATTGGTGTAGTTAGAAAGACTTTTGCAAAGAGAAAGAAAAGCCAAAGCAGAGGGTCTGTCAAGACTGGCATATGCTGCTCTTACTCTCTCTGCTGGAAAGGAAAAAAAAAAAAAAAACTTGACATCAGAATTCAGTGACTTTTGTAAAATCAGTTCCATAATTTATTGTGAAAATGTGGCTAAAGTTCCATTTTTACAGCGACACTTCTAAAATGCCTGTGGCTTGGCTTGATATTGTTTTGCATACTTCAGTACTGACTTTTACGATAAGATCACAGGTAAGGTTTTCTTCGGATGACTCTTCCATGCTGGTCAAGTTTTTACAAGCAAAACCTTCTTTTTTCATTTTGTTTTATGTTTTGATTGTTTTAAGGTATTTGGGTGTCGTGCGATAATAAAGATGGAAATCCAAATCATGCGGATTGTGTGGAAGGGATTTTAGCATTTTTAAAGTTATTTATTGATTTTTTTTAAATAGATTGCTGCTGAGATTGTGTTTATTATTTTTGCTTCACAAATCAACAAAATATGTAATTAGGCCAGGGGTGTCCAAACTTGTGCATAAAACTGCATCCATAAGCATAAAACAAAGATGTTTGAAAAAAAAAATTGTTGGGGGGCAGAAACATTTAGGACACCAAAAGTCCATTCCTCAAGGTTCCCCAACGGTCCCTCAGATGGACCTGCAAATTCAAAATCCTCCATAAAATTTTTGTGGGATTCAAGTTGGGATTGGTAAGGTCATGCATGCACCATCACCTTTTTGGAGTTATGCTGTCTATATGTTTGGGGTTGGTCTTGTTTAAACATCCATGGACTCCCCAAGCTGTTCTTGGTCAGTGGGATTCAACTCTAAAATATGTTCTGGTACATCACCCAATTTATGTTTCCTTTGATGACATATAATGCCCTAGTACTGTTGCAAAGTGGAAGCCTCGTATCATGATGCTCCTATCGCCGTACTCAGTGTGTGGAATTCCCCCTGGTATTCGGGGGGCCCCACATTGGCTTTTCTAGTTTGGTAATGCACTCCTCCTCACATTAATCACCTTTATTTACATCTCCTCTGTTGTCTTTGGTTTGAGAAATGAGTAAGAATTCATTCTTTCCACTCTGAAAACTTGCCCAATTTCCCAAAATTTACAAATATGCATACTGTAAGTTTTTTTCAGAGGTGTCCCAGGCACAGTTACAGTTGTAGGAAGGATTCTGTGAAGGATCATCTTGGCGAACTAATTTGCTTCAGCACCACCCTTGAGCCAGAGCAGTGCTGCATCTCTAGTTAGTTAAGAATATTAAAAGACAGAAACTCAACAATTGTGGGTGAAGCAGACCAAACAATGACCCTTCCCTAAATATTTGAAGTTTATTTTCAGGGACTCCCTAAATTTTGATTGAGACATTCAGGGGTCACAGGCTCCCCAGAACCCCTTGTACTTCGTACATTGTTCATACTTCACTTGGTTATGGTATGTTTGAAAGCTTGCAACCCTTCTTTCTTTAAACATGCAGAGCTGAACTACTGACAAAGTTCTAATGGATCATGTATAACTAAAAAAAAATATATGATTTTACATAAACTGACTTATTAGACTTCATTTATTTTTGTCTATTTAATCATGGCTTCTTTTTCTCTTCCAGAAATTGGAAGTCTTCCTCTACTTCTAGTGCCTGCTTCCCTACATAGCTCAAGTTTCTCTCTACAAGCACATCAGGACATTCCACCGAGAGGAATGTTAAGCTGCTGAAAGAGATCAAGCATGTTGTCCAGAATAAGCTCCAGTACTCAGCAAACATCTGGTGCTCTCCATGTGAACACACCTCACAGTCAATTGAAGAGATGCAGAAGCAAGGAGAAGACTCACCACTGCTCAGAGTGTGGGAAGAGTTTTGCTCAACACAGTCATCTTCAACAACACCAGCTCGTTCACACGGGAGAGAGGCCGTATCGCTGCTCAGAGTGCGGGAAGAGTTACGGCCGGCTCAGTACTCTCCATCAGCACCAGCGCATTCACAGAGGCGAGAAGCCGTACCCCTGCCCGGTATGTGGGAAACACTTTAGAGACAGAGGCACTTTCCTGAAGCACCAGATCATCCACACAGGAGAGAAGCCGTACGAGTGCCCAGAGTGCGGGAAGTGTTTCACTCAGCAGATCACTCTCCAAAGACACCTGCGCATTCACACAGGGGAGAGGCCGTATCTCTGCTCGGAGTGTGGAAAGAGTTTTAATCAGCAGAGTAGTCTCCAGCAGCACCAACGCATTCACACCGGAGAGAAGCCGTATCACTGTCCGGAGTGTGGAAAGTGTTTTAGAGATGCAGGTGTTCTCACAACACACCAGCGCATTCACACAGGAGAGAAGCCGTATCACTGTCCGGAGTGCGGGAAGAAGTTCAATCAGCAGACTCATCTTAGTCGACACCAACTCATTCATATGGGAGTGAAACCGTATTGCTGCTCGGACTGTGGAAAAAGTTTTACCAGACAGAATACCCTCCAACGGCACCAGAGCATCCACACCGGAGAGGAGTTGTATTACTGAAAAAGAGTGGTCTGTCCTAATAGTCCTGAAAATTGGGTAAAAGGTGCGGACAGGCAAAGGCCCCATTTACACCTGATCACTTCATGCGACTAATATCTGGATTGTATGCTGATAAGATTTTCACACTAGGTAGTTAAATGCATCTCCAGTTAGTCGGACTGAAATCCAAGTGCTGTGTGGGAAGCGGCAACCAATTATCAGTTTATCCATTCAGCTTTTACTGTGCTATGCTGGAGATGTCAGTCGTCTGCAGTATGTTTTGCACAGTAGTGTCTGTCCATACTGCTGTTAAGCATTTTGTTTCGTCCAGTCGCCCACCATGAGCATCCTCTATGGTTATCTTTGCTGCAGACACGGACCTCATGCCCAATGACGTACTGCGTGGAGAGGGGTTTTGGTAGTCAAATGTGTCTTGGAGAGACGGATGCGTGTACACTGCTATATTATGTGGCTCAAATTTGTCATAGACCACAGCCTGAAGTGGTTTGAGCAATTGGATTTGTATCTGAAAATGCAAGTGTAGACACATTCATCTGGCTTGTCCTTATCCAGATAGAATCCTGATACTCGAGATGCATGAGGTGACCAGGTGTAAACAGGATCACAGATGAGGTTTGAGTGGAGAATTCATGGGTTTATGCTGTAAGTCATGATGCACGTGACTATTGCATCTGAATTTGTACAAAACATTGAAAGTAAGTACAAAGCACAGTTTCCTTGTGACCCCATGAGTTGATGTAAAAACAGTTAAAATAGCACTTTAAAAACTCAAAGTAGCTTTAGTGTTAGGAGACTAAAACAGGCTAAAATATGGTGCATGCAGGCTGTTGCAAGCTGCCTTATAAAGCGGGAAATAATCCTTTTATTTGTCAGAGGCATTCGGAGTTTCGCGGACCATCTTAAAAAAGAGAGGTCTCCAAATCCCCAAAATTTACATAGCACACCGTTAAGCATTCAGCTGTTGAGTTTAACCAAAAAATGTTTTAATGCTCTGGACTCAAGTATTTATTTGTTGTTTTAAAAAAAGGCATTAATGCTTGAGTAGAAAGAAATAAAACTACTGTCATGCCATAACCAGTGTATTTAGTGTTAAACCAAAACTCATTTGTGGTATTGCACTCATACCATTTAGAAGTCAAATATATAATACTTTCTAAAAATGGTTTCTAGAAGTCAAATCTAATACAATAAGAAAAGGAGAGAGTGCTGTAGATCACAAAATGAGACTCCATAGTATGAGGATTAGGAAACTTGCAAGTTAAACGTTTAAAAAAAAAAAAAATATATATATATATATATATATATATAGGGAAGAGTCAACAGTTTTAAACGTACATAAGACAAAAAAAGCTCAGAATTATAAAACTATATAACCTGCTGTTACATGTAAGCACTTTGTTTGACATGTTATTGTGTGTATATCCCACACCAGGTCATTAGCTTGTTTATATGCATTGTGTTATGGGTATGCTTATATCTGGGTATTTTACCAGCACATCCACTTAAGTGTTTTACAAGAGTAGCCTGAGCACATTTGTGTTACCTGGGGTTACATATAGCAACATGCAGGCTTCTGTTCTGTCTCCTGTTCTGCTTTTTTAGTCAGTAGCACAATATGGGTTTGTTGCAGCCCTGTGTGAGTGATGTACAGTGGTTTTTTCTCTCGCTCCAAAATAGCCCTTATACCACTCTGCCCTATAAGCGTGCCAAGTTCCTCAGTTTAAATATGGATATACTCAAGTTCATATTCTTATTTGATTTAACATTGGCTCCTTATCTGCTGCCAATGCTACACCACAACACATTACTCAGCTATCAAAGACTGTTTGATCATTTACTCTGCCATTTGTGATGGCGATCTAGTGGACAAAAACAGCTGTGTGCATATTGTCCACTGGAAGAAAACAAATGTAGACTGATTCATGTTATTCTTCTACATGACGCATGAGAGCAGTTCAGGTTTGCTGCCCGTGCCGTGTCGCCCCTGGTTTAAAACTGGCGTCATATGTGCCGCTGGAAGAGAAGGTCACTGCTGAAACTCTAAGAATGAAGAACATTGAATGGACACCAAGTTCTAATGCGAGTGGAGACCAAGCAGGATTGAGAACCATGGATCTACATGCTAATGAATGTGAGCTTTGGTTCAAAATAGAGTTTAACAATTGTAAAAGTACTTGTGTACGCAAGATTGAAAAAGTCACTCCAGCCACATCAAAGTAGGTGACCCTTTGTATATATTTTCATGTATAAAAATCATCACTTTGTATATATTTTCATGTATAAAGTCTTCTTGGGTAACATCATATCTTTCACAGCCTCAGGCTTCATAATAGCTTCATCCAGCCCTGGCTAAGCACATTTGCCTTATTATTTTCTTTGGCACAGTCCATCATTTGAATCTCCCAGCGTGGTACTACAAAATATGGCTTTTGTGTAACTGTGTAAGTGGAGTAAATCAGTGTTTCTCAACCCTGGTTCTGGAGACCAACTGCCCTGCACATTTTATTTTCCTGCTTTAACACAGATAATTTAAACTCATGGGCTTTAAACATTTCAACTCCTTGGGACCACCGGTGGTTCCAAAACGCACTTCATCATATTCTTCATAACTTTCATATTTCATAAGCTGCATTCAAAAGGTGGGGGTCGTATCAGAGTCTTCTTTCCAGTCAAATAGATGATTTAATGTAATTTTAAACCCTTCTGAACTCACAATTGTTTTGTCTACTGAAAGTCCATTTTCCCACAAATCTGGGCTATAAACTCTAAACAGATGGCGTCTTCTTCAGTGATCTGCTCTGTAAAAATTATTTTTAGAAAATAATACAAAGAGTGTCTAAGATTTTTGGCTTTCATATATAGCATATAGCAATATGTGTGATCATAAAACACCTTTTCTGTTGATTTGAGGGGACCTTTTACCTAAAAAACCCATAAATGTACAGTTATTTCATGCAGTTACTGAATAATGTGCCTTATGATTTGGTCATGTAAATTCAGATGGAACAACCAAAAAATACCCTGGTGAATAAGGAGCAGATTAAGTGGACCAGGTGTGTTGGCAGTGGGGTAAACACAAAGAAGTGCAGGGCAGTGGGCCTCCAGGACAAAGGTTGAGATACACTAGAGTAAAACGTTTTATTGTTGTGTGTGTTTGGGTGGCTAGTATAAATAAAATGGCTTAAAAGCTCATTTTGGTCTGTTCCTTGCTCCTTCCCCCCTTCACTGGTTCACTCCCTAGACTTAAAATAGGTCATAACACCTGTAAAGTGTTAATTAAAATTTCATGTAAATAAATAAAGAAATAAATAATTCTAGCTATAGCTTAGTCGGAGCAAATAAAGGACCTCTGAAATATTAGAGACATGCCAAAGAGAAGAAATGAAGTATAGAAGTATGAGAAAGACACTGAGGTTGAAAAGAGCAGTCACTGCATGAGCTCCAAAGGAATGCAGCTGGAATTAAAGATACACATTTATCTCCACTTGTCTATGGGAAAGTTTACCTATAAAAAGTTTCGAAGGGTAGGTTATTACCTGTAATCAGACGTATAGAATTTAATCTACAAAGTATTTCTTAAGAATATATTTGTTACACTTGGCACATGTGTTTCTTTGGCGTTTGTATCTCTGTGAGGCCTGCAGTATGTTTGTTCTCTTCAATAGAAGCTATGGTGCTCAGAGAGTGATTGTTCCTTGAGAATGTTTGTGATTGAGATAAGAACTTGCTCCAAACTATCCCACCAGATGTGGCGGTAAAGATGGTAGTGGAACTGGGTAAAAGGTCACTTGGTGGAGATTTGAGAGCCTTAAAAAAATGCTTCGGACCCGATGTAAAGTGGCCAACACAGTTATCATTAAGATACACATGATGGCTCATCTTGCAAACACTAATAACTGCAATTATTCTTAAATGCTTACACCACTTATAGCTAGAAACAGTTAGCCTTCTGCCAGTGTGTTAATAGAAAATAATTCAAAAGCAGAGATAAGAAGTGGAGAAGTGCACGTGTTGACAGAGTGGTGCAAAATGACGTGAAAGAACAGCTCATACTGGAGAAACCAAAAGGAAAATTAAGTGATTTTCTTTTAACCATTCCCAACTTGGGGGAAAACTGAAAAGCAGAGGACTAAGGAACGTCAGGGTGAAACCCTGGCTGTATGGAGGACCAGATTTGCCAAATTGAAAAATAAATAAAATTAAAAAATAAACGGCTCAGTAAATTAATCAATAAATAAAAAAAACTAAATAAAGTATATATTGCTTATTGTGATTGTAATTATACACATATTTCCTTTTTCTGCAGTTATATATTTCTCCATTTATTTCTGTATTATTTATTTTGTTTTATTAAAGCCATTTATGTATTTTTTCCATATCTATATTTTTCACACTTGTTCATTTTATTCATTGATTCATGTATTCATTTTTTTTCATTCATTTATTTTTTCATTAATTCATTTATTTATTTATTCATTTCTGTATTTCGATGTGTATATGATAATGAGGGGTCGTGTTTTTCACGTTCAGGCTTAGCAATCAGGCCCAGAAGGAGAAGAGCTGATTAAACTGTTCTTTTACTCCATAAAGAGCTGCAGTGTCACGAACAGACAGACCTACTGATGAATAACTCTCGATGGCTCCACAGGCAGTGTGTGAGAAGGGTGTCCGAATGTCTGAATGATCTGAAATTTACAGAAAAAGATGCTGAACCGCCTCCTCCAGAGTTCTGAACACTACTGGTCGACCTCTGAATCAGCAGATCAGCTAAATGGACCAAACTGTCCCCGCAGCCTCCAACGAAGAGTCAATAATACGGACCTGCATTTTCAGCCAGATCAGCCGAGACTCTCAGATCTCTGACTGTCTGCTGCTGTAAATAGCCACCACTGTACTGTCTGGTCCTCAGTTACCGCTGAGAGAGCAAGACATGAACAATAGATCTCCAGAAACTGACATCGATCAACCAATAGGAATATTAAAACGCTGTGACATCATTGACTGACAGCCCCTTTATTAGCATAAGGACAAGGAAATACAGAAATAGAGAAATAAATGAAAATAGAAATTAATAGTTATCGAAATAAATTAATAAAATAAATTAATAGAAAAACAGAAAAAATGTTAATAAAGAAACATAAATAATAAAAAAATTAACTACAAAAATTAGTGAGAAGGGGAAATTACGAAATAGACATAAATAAATGCAGACATATTAATTTATGTAAGATTTTATTTATTAATATTTTAATTGTTATGTATATTTATTTATTTTTAGATTTATCATCATTATTCTTTGCAATTGTACTTCATATGTTAATTTACTGTGTCATTTATTTTAATTTTATTTATTTTTCAATTTGGCAAATGTGGTCCTCCATATGACTGGCCAACTAGAGAGCTAAAAGGGAAACTAAAGAGGCCAGAGAAGTCCTGATTAAGTCTGGAAAGTATAAGTAGCTCAAGAGACAGGGAGACCGCAGAGTGACCTCAAAGGCCTTTACCAAAGGTAAATACAGAAAGTAAAGGCAGATACATAAAGCAGGCTAGTTCACAGACATTTTGTGAAACAGTGTAGAAAAGGGTAACCTAAACATGAATTAAATCTCAGTTATAGTACGTTGAAGTCACACTTGCCCAGAAAGACAGTGTAATCATGGGTGGGCTGGAATAACACAAAAGAAGTTCTCCTGGTCAGAGAGTGATTTTATTGAAAAAATGAATAAAGAATTCACTCAAGTGAATGTGATTTCAAACCATGTAAAGAAGGGACCAGTATGTTGTCCCTGGGCAAGAAAGTCACATGCTGATGCGACAGACCTAAGGTGTGTTTCTTTCTTAGGATTTTTTTAGCTCTAATATTTGTTTAAACGCAATACATTACCACAAGTGTCTGAACTGACAAGATAATTTCCCTGTCACAGTTACTCAACATATGATTTTGTGTTTTTTTTAGATTAGAGAGCAAATTGCAGCTGGCATGCATATATAGCAAGCGTTTGTGTCAATACTGTGACATTGGGCCTCATTCTCCAATTGTTCATTAGAAATAACTTCTTAAAAACCACTTACGCAGTTTTCACGAAGATTTTGACATTCACCAGTGTTTTCTTATTTTGGATTTGTTCTTATGTAAGAACAGAATCCACATAAACTCATGAGCACAAAGGTGTAAACAGTTCTGCGGTTTAAGAACACGTGTGGACCTTTTCTTCTTATTTTTGAACGAGGCCCAAAGTCCTTTTTAATTATTTTATTTATAATCACCAACCACAGGGAGCAGTTCTGCTAGACTATGTTGGCTATGCTAATGCAAAACATATACATGGACAGAAACGATATTCCAGGTGTAGTATACTGCTGCATTCAGTTAACTAATTGACAACACTCAAGTATTTTTGCTGAACCTGCTGAACACCCCTGTATGCGCTGGTTAAGTCGGCATTGCATATGTGTTTTTTTAAAATTGTCTTTCTGGAACCGTACACACAAAGAGCAGGGTTGGCTGCAGGTTTTGATACCAGTCAAGCAGAAGCATATATGATTCTATTTGTTTAATCAGCTGTTCTCAGTCTTTAAATAACTGATTCATTTTATGAGGTGTGCTCCTGGTTGGTAGCCATGTTGAAAAAAAGAGATTCTTCCTAAAACAATACGTAATTTAATATGAAGTACTGTGTTGATAGATGAAGGGATCTTCTTACCAGACGTTAATCTCACCATTTCACAGGAGTCTCTTGATCGTTAATTTCCTACACTAAGCTCAAACACAAACTGCCATGGAGTTTGTTATCCATGTGGTTTCTGCATATGCATTGTCTACATTGGTTGAAAATGTGTGTACTGGCTTGTATTTAAGGCTATGTTCAAACTACCAACCCAAATCAGATTTTTTGGCATATCCAGATTGTATCCACATTGATCTTTGACAGTCTGGACAGCAAACCAACAAATTTTGCAAATCAGATCCAAACCACATTTGGAGGTGGTTTGAAATGAAATTCCAATAGTATTTTTACAGATGCATCTCAGTCTTGACACCGTGGACGCTCAAATTTTATTTCAAAGTGTCTTTTTTGACGCTCACAACATGACGAAAAATCATGATGTCATATGCAGAATGATGGAAGTGACAGCGAGATGATGACCTTTGAAAATCCACGTCACCATTGTAGCTAAGTTACTGGTGCCTATGTCCCTACCACAGCAACCCTTGCAGACAGGCAGGTGAGGTCTGTTTTCAGTGTATCTTGCAATTTGTGATGGATTTAACTTACTGTTCTCTTGAAGGAACTGGTGTTGAATTAGCATGGGAGGGAAAAAAACACGTTTTGTTGTGAAAGTGCATCATTTTTGGTGATTGAGTCTTGAATCTGTATCAGATAGACTCAATCTCTTATCTGATTTAATCCATCTCGTTTTCCATTTCATCAGGACTTTGTAACTGTAGCACATATAGGTCTCCTGCTAACTCTTCCTTGGAGTTCCAGTGGTGAACTTTCACTCCTTTCACTTACAATTCTGCATATCTACACCAAGCTAGACAGATATACAACAACTGTAAAAAGAATAATGACCAGACACATCTTATGAAGAGTGAAACTTTATTGCAATTTTCTGACTCTGTAAAACTGTAAGATACAAACTCAAGCAGTTATATCTAATTCAGAATTTTGCAGACATAAGTTAAGATTAATTACTTTTAACTTATAATGCAATCACTTATCAAGAGAGACAGTGTAATTACAATTCCGATGACAGCAAATGTAGCATTTTCCCAAAGGCAGCCAAAAGCACTTATACTATCCATACAGGACATTGAACCCCAGTTGGCATGCAAAGCTGAACTGTTAGCTACTACACTATTTAATTACTATGTAGCGTTAAGTTATATTTCAAAACCTCCTTAGAGTCTTGTATATATCCCTGTTTTTTTACAATAATGAAAATTTGATGTGGCAAATTATTAACACTCCTTATTGCCGACATGTTTGGTTGTTGTTCAAAATGGAAAGTGATGCGTCCTTAAGGAGATTATCAGCATTTTATCTGTGGGATTTCCAGCGCTGAGGTGATGAGTGACAGGTTACTGAGGACAACCACAGGTGGTTAGTACTGTACCAAAGAGAATCTCATAGAACCCACCCAACCTAAGATCTATATTGCCCCATTTCTCACTCATTTTTATATTTCCTCAAAAACAAAACAGAGATATACAAACATTTGTATATCTATGCTCAGAGCAATCTCACAACTAAACTTAAATAAATATCCTACTTCTGATACCATTGCCACTGGTGCAAAAAGCTGGAAGGTGAAGTTCTGTACTGTAATTGTACAGAACTAATATAATCTTTTTTTGATTGGCCATTTTTGAAAACATGCACTTACACTTAATTGTATTACTTAGCCAAGTAATTCAAGTACCAAAATCTCACCGTTTTGTTTGCCAGGGTGAAGCAAAAATCAGGTGAGTATGGGCTATACTGATGTAATGAAGGGAAAGTAGAGTTTAGTGATCAACTAATACCTAGTTAACTGGTTTGTTTTGGAGTGAGGAGCGGAGATACACTATATTGCCAAAAATATTTGCTTGTCTGCCAGCACACGCACATGAACTTGAGTGACATCCCATTTTTAATCCATAGGGTTTAATATTATGTTGGCCCACCCTTTGCAGCTATAACAGCTTTGACTCTTCTGGGAAGGCTTTCCACAAGGTTTAGGAGTGTGTTTAGGGGAATTTTTGACCATTCTTCCAGAAGCGCATTTGTGAGGTCAGACACTGATGTTGGACGAGAAGGCCTGGCTCGCAGTCTCCGCTCTAATTCATCCCAAAGGTGTTCTATCGGGTTGAGGTCAGGTCAAGTTCTTCCACACCAAATTCGTTTATCCATGTCCTTATGGACCTTGCTTTGTGCACTGGTGCGCCGTCATGTTGGAACAGGAAGGGGCCGTCCCCAAACTGTTCCCACAAAGTTGGGAGCATGAAATTGTCCAAAATCTCTTGGTGCTGAAGCATTAAGAGTTCCTTTCACTGGAACTAAGGGGCCGAGCCCAACTCCTGAAAAACAAGCCCACACCATAATCCCCCCTCCACCAAACTTTACACTTGGCACAATGCAGTCAGACAAGTAACGTTCTCCTGGCAACCGCCAAACCCAGACTCGTCCATCGGATTGCCAGATGGAGAAGCGTGATTGGTCACTCCAGAGAACACGTCTCCACTGCTCTAGAGTCCAGTGACTGTGCTTTACACCACTGCATTCAACGTTTTGCATTGTGCTTGGTGATGTAAGGCTTGGATGCAGCTGCTCGGCCATGGAAACCCATTCCATGAAGCTCTCTACGCTGTTCTTGAGCTAATCTGAAGGCCACATGAAGTTTGGAGGTCTGTAGCGACTGACTCTGCAGAAAGTTGGCGACCTCTGCGCACTATGCGACTCAGCATCCGCTGACCCCACTCTGTCATTTTATGTGTCCCAGTGTCCTTGGTAATTGGCTATTTTGCCAGGCAGAATTTGCCTTGTATTTGTTAAATTCAGACAGCAAACATCTTGGTTGATAGGCTTCATTTGGGTTAAGGAGAAAAACTGTGTACTTTTTTGCTCAATATAAATACCAAAAATACAGGTTACATAATTCACATTAACCCAATAACACCAGGTAATGAAAATGAGTTTTTTGAGTTTTCATGAGATTACACCTCCTTGTAAGTGCACTTATGTGTACTGAAAGTACTCAAATGCCGGAAGCTCCGTTCACACTCTGAGCAGTAATATGGTTTCTCTCCTGTATGGACACGTTGGTGCGCTTTCAGAGTTCCTCTGTCACTAAAACTTGTTCCACATTCTGAGCACTGGTAGGGCTTCTCTCCTGTGTGAATGCGCTGGTGTGATTTGAGATTACTTCTGTCTCTAAAACTCTTCCCACAGTCCGAACAGTGATAGGGTTTCTCTCCTGTGTGAATGCGCTGGTGTGTTCTGAGATTACTTCTGTCTCTAAAATTCTTTCCACAGTCTGAGCAGTGATACGGCTTCTCTGCTGTGTGAATGCGCTGGTGTGCTTGCAGATGACCCTGTTGAGTAAAACTCTTCCCACACTCTGAACACTGATACGGTTTCTCTCCCGTGTGAATTCGCTGGTGTATTTGGAGACTAGTCTCTTGATTAAAACTCTTCCCGCACTCTGAACATTGATAAGGTTTTTCTCCTGTGTGAATGCGCTGGTGGTGTTGGAGAATCTTCAGTCGAGTAAAACTCTTCCCGCACTCTGAGCAGATATACGGCCTCTCTCCAGTGTGAATGCGCTGGTGTCTTTTGAGACTACTCAGTCGAGTAAAACTCATTCCACACTCTGAGCAATGATGGGGTTTCTCTTCAGAGTCAATGTGCTGAGATGTTTCGACAAGACACTGATGAGTAAAACTCTTTCCACAATCTGAACAGTGGTGAGTTTTCAGCTTTCCTGTACTTCTCTGCCTTTGTCTTTGAGATGTTTTAGGGCAGAGAGGGCCAGAGGATGTTTGCTGAGATTCCATATTCTCATATTTAATCTCCTCTGATTTCAGCAGTCTGCCCCCTCCTGGTGGCATCTCCTGGTGTAAATCTGTGTAGGGAAATGAAGACAATAAGCATAAAAGGATTTGCAATAGCAAACGTCTAGAAAAGAAAAATAAGGGAAAAAGAGATGTAAGTCAATGTGAAATGGAACAAATATGAGAAAACTGTTTACAATTATACAAAAAAAATAACCAGGGGCATACTGCTCATTTTGAATGCATATACCAGTGTTATAGTCAATAAATATATATAAATTAAAATATTTTAATAGTAGGTAAATTCTGAGTTGCTGTCTGCTCCTAACTGTGTGGGCTTGTCAGAATGCAAAAATGGTTGACTCTGGCGTCTCCCAGGCAATATAGACAACTGGCTCCAGTTGCAGTGGTACGCCAAACAGTGTGATTCAGACCTACACGTTTGAGCCCCACTCAGAAAAAAGAGCACTTTTCTTCTCAACCTCCCTGAGTCTCTGAATGGTGAGTAAAAAGTGCAGAATGGAGAACAAGCTGTCTAACGGTCATTTTAGAGATCTAATTACATTTTGCAGGTAATGTTCAAGAACTCGACTATGATGTGTAGGTCAGAAATATCATGTCTGATATTTGAACAGCACTAACATTGTATCTGTAGCAATCTAATTGCTTGACCATACAAAACTGAGGTCACACAAATTCCCGTGATGAGTCATCATGGTCATATTTGAGGAGAAATTTCTTGTGCGCCACAACTGTAAAGTAATATGGCAGAGAAATACTGTGAGCCTTGATGTTAGGGGGAGTAGCTAAACATATCAGCCTTTCATTCCTACATTTCAGCTGGACGGCTAGCTATCGGTCTCTCATATATGAAGTTAATCTCTTATAGTAGGATCCGACAACAAGTGGCTAGTGCAGGCATAAAGGGCCATCTAGCTATGCTACAAACTGTGTAGTAAACCTTCAAAACAAGCACGGTTAGCATATTGAGAAAAGCTTAAAGAGTTTTATCTGGAGCAGCAGGAGATCAGACACTTCATGTGAGGGAAAGGAACGCGAGTAGCTGACGTATATATATCGCTAACTCTGACTGGCACATTGGCAGATCTGGCATCACGTGCCAAATTTTGCCCACCAAATTCAAATTAAATAGAGGAAATTGACAGGAAAAAGTAATTTCAAAAATCTCTCAACAGAAAAGAACAACACCATTCTTTCTCTGCCAGGTCACAGTAAAATCACCACAAAAACTAAAGGTAATATTTAGATGACCATCAAAAAAATGAGTAGACGAGGCCTTTAAAGTTTACACTAAAATTTACAGCATTACAGTATACTGCTTAAGCCTATACCGTTTGAAGAAAGGTTAAGATGTCTGTGATGATTTGATTTTTGACCAGTCTACTGATTTAGATCTATATTAGTTAAAAGCTGTAGGCTAATTACCAAAATATATTAACTACTAAAATTAATCTGGATCAGGCCTACATATCCAAAATGAAGCATTAACAAAACGCCCACATTTGCCAAATCCAACTACAAACACTTACAACAAAAACACAGACACAGGAGCTCACATTACTCAGTCAGGTCCACACTAATGTTAAATATAGTTTACATCTAACTTCAGAAATAGTAAATATCTACACCACCCTTTCTTTGAGGAATGCTGAAAAACATGTGAATGTGAACATGAACAGCTCCATACCTCCAACAGTGGGCTCCTTTTTCTTGTTCCTGCAATAACAGTGTGAATGTGAACGCTGCTGGACTGAATCCTATAGAGGAACCAGAGATTCTTCTTCTAAAGCTGTACTGGCAATTGGTAGACCAAATTTAGGTTCTTCACTGCCACCTACTGAACGGGAGTTTGAAGTGGAGACTTCAGGATTCTGTACTCAAGAGTTTAAACAAAATAATAATAAAACACTAATAGAATTAGTGTCCCCACCAGGGCTGCAGGGGGTTCGCGGTGGAGCCGGTCCTCATGATCGCAGGTGGATTTGTATGATTCCACAGACTACTAGAATGAACTGTTACCCACAGAGATGATTTGGCTGGATATAAGCAGATTTCTGCCCCCTAACACCATCTTTATACCCAAAAAGTTCACTTTAAAATAGTACACATTTTTATTCTGGGGGAAGATGATCAAGGATTCAAGATAGGTGGAAGAAACATCAATAACCTTAGCTATGCAGATGATACACTCATAGCAGAAAATCTGGTAGACCTGAAAGCCCTTATAAGGACGGTTAAAGAACAGAGAAAAAAGATGGGATTTCAACTTAGTATGAAGAAGACTGAGGTTATGACAAGAGTACAGGACAACAGTGCTAACTTTACCACTGATAGAGAGGGGTGGAAACATGGTGGACAGTTTTTTCCTACTCAGATCAATTATTAACAACATAGGACTCAGAAATATGACCCAGATCAGCACTTGGTAGAACAAGAATAAAGGTGCTTAAAAATATGCAAATGCAATTATTTGTCTTTACAAACAAAGATCAGAACTGCCCAGCCTCTGGTCTTCCCATGACTCTTTATGGATGTGTAAGCTGGAAAATAAACAAGCAAGATCAGAAAAATATAGATGCTCTTTGAACTTTGGTCTTGGCGAAGACTTTCAAGAGCATCTTGGATGGTAAAGAAAATAAATGAATGGATCCTCGAATAAATCGAGCCTCACCTTTCACTCAAAGCCCAGATAACCAAACTGAAGCTTTTGTTTTGGACATATTCTGAGAAGAACCAACTCATTGGAAATGATCATTGTGCCTGGAAGAGTTGAAGGTAAAAAAGGAAGAGGATGACCAGCCACAAGATGTATACAATCAGAGGAATCATGAAGCAGCCATTCAGAAGCCCAAACAGAAAACAGAATACTCTGGAGAAACACTATCGTCGCCATGAGTCGGAAACAACTTCACAGCAATTAATAATAATAACAATAGTAATAAAAATAATGTCCTGCTTAATAACAATCCTGCTGGATTCTATGCTGGTCTAAGTTGGTCAATGCTGGTCTGGCGCTGGTTTAGCTGGCCACCCAGCATGGTCATCAGCATCCAAAACACAACATCTGGAGGGTTTTGGTGGTGATCAGCATAACAGCTTCCATTGCTGCTGACCAGCCCACCAGCATCCAAAACACACCACATGCTGGTATTGTTGGTTTTGTTTTTTTATAGCACGGTTTAAAACAGAAATATGGTCAAAATTATTTACATGTGTTGCAAGTGGAAATTGCTATCACTCATTTGTTTTGGATCTTCTCAAAGGAGTTTTGGAAGGAATTATCTTTACTCATACTTACAGAATAATATCTACAAATGAGTTAATGACCTTGTTCCTCAACTGTAATACTGAATCAACTAGAATAAGTGAGGTTATGAAACTATTAATCTTACAGGGCAAATTTCACATTTATAGGTCTAGCCCAGTGATCCCAATCCTGGTCTTGGAGTGCCCCATGCCCTGCACATGTTAGTGATTCCCCTGGACTCCAAACATATCTAATCTAAAGAATCAGCTCATTAAAAATCCCGTTTGAGTTGCAGTGGGAGTGTTGGGGGGATGGGTTACTCCAGGACCAGGGATGGGAACCTGTGGCCTAGGGTCAAGGCATCGGTTCCATATTTTAGAATATAGTGATCTGAAAACAAGAACCACACAGCAAGAAAGCCGTGAAGACATCTCTTCTGCTGAGTGAAATCATTAAAGTATCAGAATGAGGGATAGATGGTTATGTATTTGAACAACTATGTATGTTACCTTTTTATTATACTTACTGTATTTTAAGTGATTTATTTGTAATTCATTTAGTTTTTGTCTGAGTTGTTCCTATAAGTTCCCATGAGCAAGAAGCTGTAACTGGAATTGTGCATTTGCCCTGTATATGCTGGTTTATACAGTAATTAAAAATAAATAAATAAATAAGAAAGAACTATTGCCGAATAATACAGGTTGGATTAACAAATAACACCTTTTGTGATCAACCTGAAACCATTACCTCTCTCTTGTGGTACTGGACAATTTCCATAAGACTGTGTCAAGGCATATGTGGATTTTTTTATTGATCAGTTGCATGGAGACTTTTTGGAAGGCTATAGTGCTTGGGTCCCTTGATGATGACAAAACCAGTATTGCTTATTACTTAATAAATTCAGCACTGTTTCCAGCTAAACTTCACATTATTAAATCAAAACATTCAAACTGTAAGTGACTGTCTTCATAGATTTTTGAGGAATGTGAGCAGAAGCCAATTAGCTCATCTGACAATAGAAAAGCTCTGAACACCTTGACTATTTAAAACACTCTTTGTATAGTTGTTTCATCAGAGTCAATCAAAAGTATGTATATATTTTATTTTTTCAATTATGATTATTTACAAGACTCAATATAGTTTCAGCAGAACTGTATTTTTTTAATTGATTACGCTTTTATTTATGGCCTTTTCCCCCCTTTTTTCTACTTCTTCTGCTAAGTTTATATTCCATCCTTTGTAAGTCCTCTTTTATTACAACAAACAAGTCATTTGTATTGAATAAATTAAAACGCATTAAAATAATATAACAGGTCTTCCAGACTCCACTGTAAGTCTCATCTCAGACCTGGTGGTGGCGCTAATTCTGTACCGGGGGTTCTCCAACCCCAGTAGCCTAGAGAAGAAGATCCTGCGCTCCTGGAACAGAAACCAGAGCTGCGCTGTTGACGCTGTTAAAGGTGTTTTACGCGGTTTCTCTTCGCTTCTCAGAGAAACGGCTCAGCGGATGTTCGCCGTTTGGAAAGTAAGTAAGGTTTAAACAGAAGCAGCCTTCATGTAAACGAGGCTGAATGACGTTCATTTGGCCTGTGTTTTGGTTGGTTTGTTGTTTGGTAAATGCACTGCATACACTGCAGTGTTGATGCTTTATTTAGACTTTACACTGCAGGTCTGCTCTAAAACCCTGATTCATTAATGTACTGTGGTAATGAGACTAATACTTTTATCTACACTCTTAAAAAGGTGGATCTTCAAAGGTTCTTCGGTAAAGCCAGTGGTTCTATTTAAATGGTTCTTTGCTTGGTGAAATAGTTCTTCAGATTGATGGAGAATGTGAGGTGTATCCTTCTGTATAGCACCCAAAAGGGTTCTGCTGTTGTTACAATGACAAGCTTGTAGCAATAAGAGAACCCTTTTTGATGCTATGTAGAACCATATACATCACATTACTCCATTAACCCTCTATTGCATGATGTTGCCTCAGGGCAACAAACTCATTTTCCTCACTTTACGATAACACTATACATATTTAAAGACAATGATAGGGTTAACAATAAAGAGTCTGAGTAAGTCAAAAAAAAAAAAGCATGTACTTGGTCATACTGTCTCTTAGAGGGCACATTTATTTATTTTTTTTAGCATTCAGTATCTTTTTTTCTGTTATGAGAAGTTGCAGAAATAGGTTTGTTGCCTAGAAGCAACATTGAGTGACAGTAGAATGGATTTAGCCACCATTTCCGAGGAACACGGCTCTGTACCATTTTCTTCCCGTTGTCGCACTATGTTACCTCAAGGCAACATATTCCAAAAGGACCCCAGCACACAATATTATTATTAATTTTTGGTCTGAAAAAAATAAATCAAAGATCATTTTATGCAAGAAAAGTGATCTGAACGTTTTTTTTTTTTTAATTGCTCCCATAGTGCGTGCAGTTGAGGGTTGATCTGAAGAACTATTTCACCATGCAAAGAACCATTTAAGCATGTAAATGTTTTTTCTGAGGTTTTAAGGTTGGCTGCTATTGTTTTCATTTAGGCTGAATACTTTTGTAAAATTTCAGGAAGAATTGTATAAATGTGTTTATTTTGCCAAACTATTACTTGCCTTAAATTCACCAAGTTACTTTTGAAGGCTGTCTATGTGTGCATCTTTTATTCCTTTGTAAGCTAATATATAAAGTCCTTTATCATAATGACACACTTTTCAGAAATACTCCATATTCACACATATTTCTTTGCTGCATTATTAATCTGTGCAGAAAAGAAACAGACCTTATAAGCCAATACCAAAACACTATACTTCAATCAGGCATAACCTTATAACCACCTCCTTGTTTTTACACTCATTGTCCATTTTATCAGCTCCACTTACTATATAGGTGCACTTTGTAGTTCTACAGTTACAGACTGTAGTCCATCTGTTTCTCTGCATACTTTGTTAGCCCCCTTTTACCCTGTTCTTCAGTGGTCAGGACCCCCATGGACCCTCACAGAGCAGCACTGCTGTGTCTGATTCACTCGTACCAGCACAACACACACTGACACACCACCACCATGCCAGTGTTACTGCAGTGCTGAGAATGATCCACCACCCAAATAGTACCTGATCTGTGAGGGTCCATGGGGGTCCTGACCACTGAAGAACAGGGTAAAAGGGGGCTAACAAAGTATGCAGAGAAACAGATGGACTACAGTCTGTAATTGTAGAACTACAAAGTGCACCTATATAGTAAGTGGATCTGATAAAATGGACAATGAGCGTAGAAAAAGGTCATAATGTTATGCCTGATCGGTGTATATAGAGACCATGTCAGTGGGTGTACACATATAAACACTGCAATATAATATAAATATAGCACAATGTGAGAGTGTACAGGTGTGGTAGGAAAATTGCAGCACGAAATGAGTATATATTCCGAGTGAGGGTTGCCGGTCAATGAAAGTCGAAGATTAGAGGAGACCAGTCACGCTGTCAGATAGTCTTGATCAATTTTCCAGCCCACTAAATAAACATTCAGATAAAATACATGACAATCAAAGGCATAGTTCTGAAGATGGAAATGTTTTGTTTGAGAACTTACAGTGGTATTCCTACGTCTCCGAGATTTCCTTGGCACTGTTTAAGAATAGGAGGGCCGTGGCCATATCGGCACTTTATGACCCAAACATCTCTTGCAGTTTGCACTGCGGCTCTGGTAAAGAGTTGCATTTTCTGTGAAATTCACAAACGTTTTCACTCCAAGTGAGTCGATATGCCCACTTAAGCTTTTAAAGGATGTGCAGAAACATCGGTCATCATTGCACATCACTGAAAGCCTTTAAAATTGGTTAAAAAAAGATAGTTGTTAATATTAACACAAACTGCCAATAAGTGTTTTGAAAACACCTGCATACATTCAGAAGATTTCATAAAGGATTTAAAGTTTAGGCTTCTTAAAATGACATCATATACAGACTGGAGCTCACACAAAAAGAAGCACGAATGAAGGAGACTGTAATAATGTTCTTCAGCTGCTAGAAAGAATGCTTGCTTGATATCAAATTGATGTCCTCAGCTTAGCAAAGTCACCAGAGACTGGGGTGATTTTGTTTCGCAAGCTTTCCACTTCACAAAACCCAGTGGACGGAAGAGTGCAGCTGCTGGATCTTGGGAATGGAGTCCTTTCTCTGTCTGATACTGGACAAGTGGCATCATTGGTCTGTTTTTTCCTTGCGTTTATCTCTGAAAGACAATAAAAACGGTGTCATGTTTTAAGCTCTGACAGACACATAATACACATTAAAATAAACAAACATGACTGTTTCTCTTGAAAAGCTGATGAGTTGTGCCAGCAGTTGATTAGCATGGTTTATATAGCATGGGATATCATGACATTGCATTTAAAGATGGGAAGAAACACTAGATTCAGAACTATACAGTTGTATGTTTGTGACCTTTATTTCATGCAGTTTGTGATGCAAACATACGTTTTCACCTTCTTGAGGGATAAAAAGTCCTGCTCCTCCTTCTGCCATGGTGCGGATCTGTGATGACTGAGACTGTTTACAAGCTCCGCTCAGAGGGGCCGCATCACGTGATCTAAGCATGAGTGCACAGTGGGATGGCAGACCAGTTCTGCCTGTTTGAGAACCCTTTGATCAAACTGCAACTCGTCTAAACTGCAGTAGCGGTATTTCCAAATCCACGATAATGCTACAGTGTGTGTTTTTGTTTGTGGAGCCAATATCTAAGCTACTTTTGCGTTAGAAAGACCAGGCACTTGCGTTAGCTTAAAAAGCAGATGAGTGAGGGAAGTCAAATCGTTGAAGTCTAAGGTCCAATCCCATTTCACCCCTTGCCCCTACCACTTAGCCCTTAGTCCTCTGTCTTGTGTGTTCACGTCAATTCTTGTTGAGATAGAGGAGTAGGGCGAAGTATGCTAAAAGCATGCTAATGTCTCGGTAGCTAGCTAGCTAATGTTCCCGTTCCACCTTAAATAGTCCCAAGCAGTTCTGATGCCTGAAGCACCAGAATGTAACTGCTGCACCATTTAAGGTGGAACGGGAAAATTCGAACAAGAATAGCTGACTTCAGATTCGCATCACCAAAGAATTAGCGGTAGGCGATAATAAATAATTGTCTTATAGCCCCTCTTTGAAGGCATATGATGCCCTAAATGTAACTAAAGCCCAGCAGCAACGTTGCTGAAGTTTTCCCTTCTCTGCTGTCACTGAAGTTGGGCCGGGTCGCCCACAGAACACCGCTAGTAGCTGTTAATGAAGTAATGTTTTTTTTTTTTTTAATTTGAGAATTGTCCCATTTCGTAGGGCAAGATTTCAACCACTAACCCTTGTAACTCAGTTCCAAGGGGTTAGGGTGACACTCGAAAACAATGGGTAGGGATAAAAAGAAGAAATGGGATTGGGCCTAAGTGAAGACTGAAGTCTAACCTCTTCTGTCATGCATGGAGCCTGGTTAGAGCCTTATTTCCTCTTACTGTGCCTAGGTCCATGCATCAGCCTGTACATTTTAAACTCCTAGAATGGACAAGTGCATAGTTTAGCTTTACAGTTAATGAACAGTGTTCTTAAGGAGGGCCTTTTCCTGCATTTTCCACAATGTATAATCCCAAAAGTTGTATCATACTTTTTGTTGCATTTCATGTTGTTTTGAATCTCTTCCCCTTATTTTCTCTCCTCCAGAATTGAATGACCTCCTATTGCAAGTCTTCTCTTGCTCCATGTGTTCACTTTTCTACCCACCTCCAATTTACCTCCACAAACAGTTGAAATCCGAAGAGATTACCTAAGAGAACATGGCCTCTCCTCAAATGTCCACTGATACTCTCACTACTTGCAGACAAATGGAGAAAAATGCAGGCAAGCAAAGAACTCACCTCTGCTCAGAATGTGGCAAGAGTTTTACCAAAAAGAGTAATCTTCAGGCACACCAGCGCCTTCACACAGCAGAGAAGCCCTACCAGTGCTCAGAGTGTGGAATATGTTTTGCTCGACAGAGTCATCTCCAAGAACACCAGCGCATCCACACAGGGGAGAAGCCGTATCAGTGCTCAGAGTGTGGGAGGAGGTTTACTAGAGGGAGCCATCTCCAAACGCACCAACGTATTCACACAGGAGAGAAGCCGTATCACTGCTTAGAGTGTGGAAAAGGTTTTACTCGACAGAGTAACCTCCAGCAACACCAGCTCGTTCACACAGGAGAGAAGCCGTATCAGTGCTCAGAGTGTGGGAAGTGTTTTACTCAGCAGGGTATCCTCAAAAGACACCAGCTTAATCACACAGGAGTGAAGCCGTATCACTGCTCAGAGTGTGGAAGAAGTTTTCTTCTACGTTATTTTCTACGAATACATCAGCGGGTTCACTTGGGTGTGAAGCCGTTTTATTGTTCAGAGTGTGGGAAGAATTTTAATCTGTATACTGTTTTCCAGCAACACCAGCGCATTCATACGGGAGAGAAACCTTATCAGTGCTCAGAATGTGGGAAGAGCTTTACCCAAAAGAGCCATCTCCAAGTACACCAGCGCATTCACACAGGAGAGAAGCCGTATCAGTGCTCAGAGTGCGGAAGGAGTTTTATCCAACTGTGTTCCCTCCAGCAACACCGGCGCATTCACACAGGAGAGAAGCCGTATCACTGCTTGGAGTGTGGGAAGAGTTTTACTCGACGGACTACTCTCACACAGCATCAGCGCATTCACACAGAAGAGAAACCTCATCACGTTCAGACTGCGGAAAACGTTTTAGTGACTGAGCTGCCCTCAGAACACACCAGCTCATTCATACAGGACACAAGTGACCTCACTGCTCAGAATGTGGAAAGAGTTGTAATTGACTAATCTCCAAAAACACTGGTACATTTACCCAGGACTGAAGCCAAATCACTGCATTTGAGTAAACTGAGTACACTTAGAAGGAGATGTAATCTCATCAAAAACATTCACCGTGAATGACGTAACCAACATTTTTGCTATTAAAGGTAGTTGTGAACAAACAAGACTAGGCATAGATGGAGTTTCCCCAGAATATCCTGTCTTCCGTCAGGCTTCTGAATGGCTTGTTCATTGTATCCAGTCATTGTATCCATCCATCTTGTAGCTGATCGTCCTCTTTCTCTTTTACCTTCAACTGTCCAAGCGTAATGGTCTTTTCCAATGAATTGGTTATTCTCAGAATATGTCCAAAATAAGAGAGCTTCAGTTTGGTTATCTGGACTTAAAGTGAGAGGTGAGGTTTGATTTAGTTGAGAATCATTTTTGTTTTCTTTGCTGTCCAAGGTACTCCCAAAAGTTCAAAAGCATTAATAGGACACATTGTGGTCGGTCTCTGCTTTTACAGTAATCTTTTTGTAATGTTACATTTATCTGAAGCAAGAAAAAAATCTAATGAGGTTAGATGCTGTTTAAGCTCAAATAAAAGTCCTTTTGCTGTTATTTCACCCATTATTAGGCCACTGTTACTGCAAGGCATATTAAATGCTTCAGTAAGTAAAGTGTTTGTGATTTCTTCACTTATTCTCATATTGGTCGTGCTGGCAGTAGTAATGTGTTGTTACAGAATGAGTTGGCTGTAGCTGAAAACAGGAACATCCTGTCTTTGCCTCCTCATTATCCCAAACGTGTTGCCTGTTTGTATTACTTTGGCTCTGGTTTAGCATTTGATGGTTTTCGTGTCATTCTTAGCCCTGTTTGCAAGTGTTCCATTTTAGTTTTTTCAATTTTTGACCTTTTTCTGCCTTTGTTTGTTGACTGATTGTCTGCATTTCGCACGTCTGCCTATCTTCCTTATCCCTGCCTCTCGAAATTCAGGTGAAATTACTTCAGAACATTTGATTTATTAGATTTTTAAAATAACACACATAGTGTAGTTAGTTAGTTAAACAGAAGGTAGACCAAGGTTTCATTAACAGTTGAATGATTAATACTATAACTTAGCTAATTTTGGGAACAAGGAACCTGCATGTGTATGATGTAAAAGTCACAAAAGAAGACTGAACTTAAAACATAATTCTTTCTTAAATAAGGTTATATTGTATTACTGAACTGTTCACTGTATATCTGGAACATAAAAACATAAATGTTTACCAGAATGTCTGTAACAAGCTTTGTTTTCCAAAGTCTGCGTAGTCTTGAGCTGTGTAGTACTGAACTCAGTGTTTTGTTGTTTTTTTTTATCAGTGCAATATTGAAATAATACTGTAAACTGTGAATATTGTAAATGGTGCTCATCTACTGCTGGTGCGACTCCTACCATATAAATATTGGGTCATTTTTAATGTCAGAAGAAGGCATGTCAGATTTTTAGGAAAAATGGAAGACCAATTCCAGATCCAATTCAAACCAGATCTGTGGTTTGTTGAGCCTGGTTAAGCTTAGGTACTGGTCTACCAAGCTAACACTAGCATGATCAGCCTACTGTGCTACAGTTGTTGTTCAGTTAATGGTTTAACATTTAATGGATGAAGAGTTGAAAACCTCACTAACTAATTTTCTAACCATTAATGTTAAATTGTGAACTTATTTTTGTGTCTGTTAAGCTTAGTCTCATCTGCTCAGTCTGTTCAAATGTGGAGGGCTGTACTTATCATAAAATGTGCCTGGCGGTCGAAGGATTTGGGGGGGTGGAAATGGGAGGCAAGAGAGCATAAGAGGCAAGTTTGCATAATGAATGCTGTTATGCAATTTTTAGTGTTTTCCTTGGCATAACTAATATACAAAAATACTAGACATAATTCAACATAGATTTTTTTAACGATTTGAATTATAAGTTTAGGAGTATTTTATATAATATAAATTGATCAAGGCCTCAATTTCATTTTAAATTTTTTGTTGATGTCGCGAAGATGTAAGGACGCCTAGAAATAATTTGACAAATTATACATTTTGTAAAACCCAGATGGGAAATGATGCAAAAATCATGATACTCAATCTTGTTTGTTTTTTTGTGCTATAAAATCAAAATTGACTGTTTATTTTCTGTAACTGTGTGTAGGTTTATGCATTAATCTGTACACACTAAACCAATGCATGTTTATAGTTTCACTTTACAGTTAATGGACAGAGTTGTTAAGGAGGGCCTTCTCCCGCACTTTGCACAATGTATAAACCCCCAACAGCTGTCATACTTTTGTTGCATTTCAAATTGAGTTTTGAATCTTTCCCCCTTATTTTCTCTCCTCCAGAACTAAATGAGCTCCCACTGCAAGTCTTCCCCTGCGCCATGTGTTCACTTTCCCATACACCTCCAGTTTATCTCCACAAAACACATTGGTAGAAGCAAGAGGAGTAAGTCAGACTGTTGAAATCAGAAGAGATTACATATGAATATGGCCTCTCCGCAAACATCCACTGGTTCTCTCACATCTTGCAGACGAACGCAGACAAATAAAACTGAGCAAAGAAGTCACCTCTGCTCTGAGTGTGGGAAATGTTTTACCCGAAAGAGTAATCTCCAAACGCACCAGCGCATTCACACAGGAGAGAAACCGTACCAGTGCTTAGACTGCGGAATGAGTTTTAGTCGACAGAGCCACCTCCAACACCACCAGCTCATTCACACGGGAGAGAAGCCCTATCGGTGTTCAGAGTGTGGGAAGAGTTTTACTCAGCAGGGTATCCTTAAAAGACACCAGCTCATCCACACAGGAGTGAAGCCACATCACTGCTCAGAATGTGGGAAGAGTTTTCTTCGGCAGTGTCTTCTAGAAATACATCAGTGCATTCACTCAGGAGTGAAGCCGTATTATTGTTCAGAGTGTGGGAAGAATTTTAATCGATATACTGATCTCCAGCAACACCAGCGCATTCATACGGGAGAGAAACCTTATCAGTGCTCGGAGTGTGGGAGGAGTTTTACCCAAAAGAGCCATCTTCAAGCACACCGGCGCATTCACACAGGAGAGAAGCCGTATCAGTGCTCAGAGTGCGGAAGGGGTTTCATCCAACTGTGTGCTCTCCAGCAACACGAGCGCATGCATACAGGAGAGAAGCCGTATCACTGCTTGGAGTGTGGGAAGAGTTTTACTCGACGGACTACTCTCACACAGCATCAGCGCCTTCACACAGAAGAGAAACCTCATCACGTTCAGACTGCGGAAAACATTTTAGTGACTGAGCTGCCCTCAGAACACACCAGCTCATTCATACAGGACACAAGTGACCTCACTGCTCAGAATGTGGAAAGAGTTGTAATCGAGTAATCTCCCAAAACACCGCTACATTTACACTGGACTGAAGCCAGATCACTGCTCAGAGTGTGGAAGGAGCTTCAGCTTTGAGTTCTTTGAATAAAGCGAGTACACTTAGAGGAAGGTGTAATCTCATCAAAACCATGTTCATTCATAGTTTTATTGGGTTCATCATGAATGATGTAACCCATATCAGCTGTAGCTGAAAACTGCAGGAACCCGAGTTGAGCCAGCTGATCAGACTCCTTGAAAAAAGCTGGAATGCTCTTCACTATTCTGAAAGGTATAAGGATGACATTCAGTGATGGCTTGTCTTGGGAGATGCTTGTACATCCACATTTCAGCAATGGTCTTCAGTCAGTCAATCAGTCAGTCAGTGACTCGGTAAGATACTCTGACACTAGTAGACTGTTTTGTAATACACAGTTTTCCCCTTACTGCAAATGTAAGCCAAGACAGTTGTTGTCTGAAGCTTGCTTCCTTAGCTTTGTTCTGGAGGAACAAAGTAGACAAATGTAGCTAATGAGAAAGGGAAGTTTACTTGCTTCAACCTAACATCATGCAAACTGCATGCGTGTGTTGTAATTTTTAGCAATATTAGAAAGTTCATGCTCATGGACCATCCAGCATTTCTAATGCTACATGTCTGAGCCAACCTGAACTTTATATTGGATCACTTTTGATGGCTGTTGCTTGTGTGTGATATTGGCTCTTCAAATAACTGCATTTTGTGTGGTCAGGTTTTTTTTTTAAACTCTGCATGGGAATGGCAATCACTTGAGATCCCCCTTCCCATGGTATTGAATATCGATACAGTTTGGTAAGAAAGAAAGTCATTAAGGCTTCAAAATGGCTGTTAACACTGGTAGAAACCATCTGAACAAGTCTTAATGTGTAATGTGATGTTATGTTAGATGATTTAGACATGCAGTTTTACCAGGGTTAGCATCAAATGATCTACTAAGCTAAATTTGTGGCCTCATAGCTCCACTACAAAACTAAATTAAATCAGAAATGAAATTCTACACTTATTGTCCATTTTATCAGCTCCACTTACTATATAGGTGCACTTTGTAGTTCTACAGTTACTGACTGTAGTCCATCTGTTTCTCTGATACTTTGTTAGCCCCCTTTTACCCTGTTCTTCGGTGGTCAGGGCCCCCATGGACCCTCACAGAGCAGATACTATTTGGGTGGTAGATCATTCTCAGCACTGCAGTAACACTGACGTGGTGGTGGTGTGTTAGGGCGTGTTGTGCTGGTACGAGTGGATCAGACACAGCAGTGCTGATAAAGTGGACAATGAGCATAGAAACAAGGAGGTGGTCATAATGTTATGCCTGATCAGTGTATATTGGCTGATCGACCATTATTGAGGTCTTTATTTTATGGTTTTTAATGAAGGCAGTCCTCAATATTTTAAGAAAGAAGTCACAACCTTGATTTTTTTTCCTATACGGTCACAAATATTCTAACAATTACTGTTCATATATGATTGTGTAATCATTATACCTGAATACTGTAATTTTTTAATTGGTATGTTTAGTTCCTTATCATGTCAGCATGTAACGGAATGTCCATGTACCCCATTCTAAACAACTTAAAAAAGACATTGGAGCCTGTGGCCACCCATCATCTGTTTTTTTTGTTTGTTTGTTTGTTTGTTTTTTTTTGCAACTTTGGTGAGATGTGCTGTGCTGTTTTATTTTTTATGGCAACATGGTGACCCTGAGGCCTTGTCAAACATCTTAGGGCACCATGGCAAAGCAGATTAGGAAAGCACATACTGTTGAGAGATGGAATTGTTACCCAGAGAATCGCACAGTGAGTCTATGAATAAATCTGTCAAAACCTTTTGGTATTATGGACTTACTTTTAACACCAGAAGTTCCTAATCATATGTTTTATTGCAATCTTAATATTTTAGTTAATGCATTTATGACAACACAGATTTGCACTACAGCTGTGTGAATGGTTTGTAGTCCCATTACTGGGTACACTCAAAAAAGGTGATTGTTCAAGGGTTCTTTAGTGAAGAAAAAGGTTCTATGTAACACCATGGACACTACTCTTTGCATAGTAAAATGGTTCTTCAGCTTGATGGATAATGTGTTGTATATGGTTCTATATGGAACCTTTGTGAAAACGGTTCGATGTAGCACTAAAAGGGGTTCTGTTACTGTTACAAGCTTGACACTGTAACAGTAGCAGAACCCTTCTGATGCTGTATAGAACCATATACAGTTCATTCTCCATCAAACGAAAGAACCACTTCCCCATGCAAAGAACCATTTTAGCATGCAAATGGTTTTTTGCGTCTTCATGGTTCCAGATAGAACAGTGTTTCTCAAAATTGGTCCTGGAGGCCCACTTAGTGTTTTCCTTGCTCCAGTACGCCTACTTCAACTCAGTAAGAGCTTTTAAATGAGCTGATTTGCTGGATCAGGTGTATTGAGAGCAGGGAAAACACTACAATGTGCAGAGTAGTGGGTCTCCAGGACCAGAGTTTAGGGATGCTGATACAGAATAATCTGTCTTTACTAAAGAGCCCTTAAAGAACCATCTTTTTTAAAGAGTGTACAAACAGACTAAATGTGAGTAAAATGAAATGTCATGCTGTTCTGTTATTATTCTTTGCTCACATCAATGTATTTATAAGTAGTTTGGTACCTAATTATCTAATTACACCAATATTCCTTTCAAATATATTCAAATTAATTTCTAGCACTTTTACAAAGGACTTTGACACAAAGCAGCTTTACAGAAATCCAGGTCAAAGTTCCTAATGAGGGAGCGGAGGACAAGGAAAAACCTCCTAAGAGCATAATGAAGAAACACTGAGAAGAACCAAGACTCGAAAGGAACAACTCACTGTGAGAAACCAAGACCAAAGACATCTCATTCTGGTTGACTCCGGATAGCAGATTTACACAAATACTAGCAAATGATTAATGAAAACAGTTGAGTCTTCCTTCTACAGAAGTGGAGGTTTTATTTATCGTCATTTTTAGGCTAATGAAACTGAACTTGAGGATATCAGCATATCCTTAGATTTATGGATGGGGGGTTACTTTCCTAAGGGGATTTGGGGGCAAGAGATTTTTTTAATGGCCCCCAAAAGTTGGTAAAGTATCCAAAAATATGGTGAAGCTGGCACAAAGAAGATCTGTTCCTTCATAATTTATATGAGATCTAATGTAAAGTAATACTTACATGCTGTACGTCCATTTGCAACAGCTAAGCTGAAGGTCCAAATTCTCATGTTATCTTGAAGTTTACTAACTTTTTCATCCTTGTGGTCAGTTTGACCCCAGAAATTGAAACCTCCAAGAAATATCGAAGTTCTGGTGGTAATTATGTTTTCCTCTCCCCATGTGGTGTGAATTATCAGTGGTTCTTGCATTATTACAGATGTGATTGTTAGGTTAAAGCAGAGGGATGTTTTTTTTGGAAGATTACAAAACTGCATGTTATAGTGACCTAAATATTATCCAAAAACAATCAAAACAAACATATTTCTTATGTTTTTTAATACAGCTAAAACAGCCTGGGGTCAAAACTGACCTAAAGAACACTGATACATACAAAGTGTGTACAGGACACTAAAATATATCATCATGTTAATTTTATGTCTCCCCAGTTGTCCCCTTAAATTAGGAAATGTTATTAAATATGACGCAAAAAAGGTGTCAAGTTATTTAGAGATGTTAAACACTGAACGGGGTCAGACTGACTCCAAAGATAATAGGTGGGTTAAATGTCGCTGTTGTTGGAAGAAAAGCTCGTATCTCCATTTGTGACATTTGAAAATACCTGTTACCCTTTACATTGTATGTACATTTCAAAATGAATGGTCTAAAAGAAACGGCCCAAAATGACTTGGAATAAATTCTGGTTCCATTGACTTACTTTAAAAGTAAAGTAGGTTCTTTCCTTCTTCTATAAAGTTATCATTTTGGAGATACAAGGTTTTCTTCTGATAACAGTGATATCAGTTAATAATAATAAATAATAGATTATTACCTGACAAATCTGCTCCTTCAGCAGCGCCTCTCCTTTAACTCTTCTCTCTCTCTCTCTTCTTGCCTGTGTTAAGTAACACATAATATTTTATTAAAATTAAAAGGATAAAAAGATAAATCAGTTACATTTTTGGACTGGCAAAAAAATCTTTTTTTTAAATAATAGCCATACATGAAAACCTATAAACGCAGAATAGAGCGTCTGAAAATGAATTTTATTTCTTTTACTGTCACGAAAGCAGTGTTTATAGCAGCCCCACACATACAGCAATATTAAAATAGAACTGTTTCATACAAAAATCATAAAACAAAAAAAATACAACAAAATAAAAACATTAGCCATAAGTAGTTTTAAGATGCAAGGAAAAGATGAAATAGTGTTTTAATGCAGCTGTATTTCTTTTAATTATCTTTTTATTTCTTGAACATGTAAATACACTTTGCTAGAAAAACAAGATTTATTATTAAATACAGAAGACATATTTGAAAGTAAACATTAGTTTGGAACAAATGTCAGTTTGTTGAGGGGCTGTGTTACATCCCAACTCTGAAATATCTGTTTAGTCACCAAGACAACTTAAGCTAGGACTGAATTCAGGACAGTAGCTATTTCAGAATAACAGTTCCTAATCAGAGCCGGATCTTGGTCTCAGGAAGCCCCCTCCCCCCCAAGCTCTGCCGCTAATGCAAAATATAGCAAAACATACATTTTTATGTAAAGCAGTAATTTTTGTGTACATAATGTATTTTTGTGTACATTTTTGTTGTTAGGAGGCTTTTAATTATTTTAAATGTGGTGGTAGGGTATGGTTGAGGGGCTTTTATTTTATTTATTTAGTCATCACATATTTGAGGGCTTTTCATTTATCCAATATTTGCAGCTTCAGTAGACTGTGCCTGGTCTTTAACCCCTCGCAGTCAGAGGCCCGAGGCACCAGACCTACAGGCCCATAACTATGCTCATAAGGCACAACGTCCTAAATACTGTCCTAACTTTAGGGTAAACCCAGCAGTGTCCAGTTTCAACCTTCCATTCCCACCATTAGCTGCACTGATAGAAAGACAATGTTAATGTTTTCAGAAAACTGTTGCAGGCATGAGAAGTTCGCTAGCATTAACTAGCAAACTGTCGCTTTCTAAAGGAAAATAAGTAACTCTACTGGAGAGTACGGAAGTCCAGAGAGGCCATGAGCTGTTGCTATGTTTTTTTTGTTATCTTGAGATAACAAGTTAAATATCTTGTGATCTCAAGTTAACAACCTTATCTTGAGATTACAAGGTATTTAACTTGTTATATCTCAAGATAACAAATTTATAACTACCTCACGACCTCTCCAGACTTCCATAGGAGAGAGCAAAACGTTTTTTTAATGTAAATCAACGTAAACAGATTTTATTCCAATGAACTTCAGAGCACTTCTGTTGGTCCACTCAGCTTGAAATTTTCACACAATGTAAAACGCTGCTCAAATGATGTAGGAAGTCAAAGGAAATGGAGATATTTAGTATTTTTAGCTTGTTTGTACTAAACTTTCCCAACTTTTACACAAGACACCCATATTTGTCCATTACAAAAAAGCAACAGTGTAGAAATCGGTTGCTTCCTCAGAAAACAAACATGTTTGGTGAAAAATACTGCCAGTTCCACTGTTAGAACTAGCCCTACTATTGGGATATGCTGTAAGAGTAGGTGGTATGTTTACTGAGGTACATTTGTAAAATACTTTTTTCCCCTTCAATTCAAAGCTGGAAACACAGGAAACAAACTTCGGGCCTCATTCGCCATCCATTCATAAGAAGAAATTTATTCTTAAAACCCACCGTTTTTACTAAGATCCCGACATTCAGCAGCGTGGAATCTAATTTGGGATTCGTTCTTAGGTAAGAACAGAATCTACACACACTCAAGAGCACAAAGGTGAGAAGGTGAGGTGTGCTTTAAGAACACATCATGAATCTGACATAGACTTTTTCTTAGAACCTTTCTCAAGAACAAAACTTAGGAAGACATTGGTGAATGAGGCCCTTTGGGAGTTGACCTGTTTGTCTACACCAGAACATTTTAAACACATAACTGAGTATAACAAGTGGGTGATGTATTATATTGGGTTTTGTTCCGTGTTTCAGGTTTATGTGATGCTGTGGAGCTGGATCATCCCATAAATATTATGGGTGCATGCCCAGGGGCCCAATCCATTAGAGACCCCCAGTGTGCATCACAAAATCTAAACAGTATATTCAGTGTGCAAAGTACCCCTGGTATTCTTCCCATTACTGGCTGCTAACTCACTTGCCTTTGCAGTATTGATGTTAGCTTTAACGGTGCCAAAACATTCAACAGTTCTTCTTTTAGAAATGCTTTTCTACAGGGAGATTCACTCGAAAGAGGCCCCGAATATTCTGTAATAACTCTCTCTAGGATGAAGCAATCTGAACGAAACAAATGTCCTCAGTATATGGAGCTTCGATCAAGCCAGGAAGCCCTTGTGTGGGAGCGTTGAGGTAGGACAGCCATCGCGTTTAACCACCGTTTGCAACTTCGGGGTGCAGACCCCTGTACCCCTTCATGTGTCTGGCAAACAGAGATCACTTCCAGCATCACATGTGATGCAATCGATTACACACGTCAAGGTATGTAGTGTATTTTTTTGGTTCAGATTGCTTCATCATAACGGGAGTTACAGCAGAATATTCGGGGCCTCTTTCGAGTGAATCTCCCTGTAGTTTGGTAATGCGCTGTTCCACACATTAATGTAGGCCTTTTAAGCGTCTACAGAAGTGTTCTAGCTCCGGGACAGAACTAAAGGTGCAAATTCAGAGTAGTCTCAGCTTCTCAACTACATTTGGGGAAAGCGGAAAATCCTGTACATGTTTTTTCTCACAAATAAATAATAACGAGCAGAAACACAGATGACATGAGTCACATTAACCAAATAAAACCAGTTAATGACTTTTTTTTTTTTTGACATACTGTCATGAGTCCACGCCTCCTTTTGAGTGCACTTTCATGTGTGCTCTGAAGGAATTCAGCTGCCTGAAGTCCCGCCCACACTCCGAGCAGCGATACGGCTTTATTCCTTCGTGAATGTACTGGTGTTGCTGGAGAGTACTCTTTCGACTGAAACTCTTTCCACACTCCGAGCAGTAATACGGTTTCATTCCTGTGTGAATGCGCTGATGCGTTTTGTGAGCACCTCTGTCGCTAAAACGTTTCCCACAATACAAGCACTGATACGGTTTCTCTCCGGTGTGAATGCGCTGGTGCGTTTTCAGAGCACCTCGGTCACTAAAACACTTTCCGCACTCCGAGCAGTGATGCGGTTTCTCTCCAGTGTGAATGCGCTCGTGCGTTTGCAGATGATTCTGACGAGTGAAGCTCCTCCCACATTCTGAGCAGCGATACAGCTTCTCTCCAGTGTGAATGCGCTGGTGTTTTATGAGATTAGCTTTGTCTCTAAAACTTATTCCACACTCCGAGCAGCGATACGGCTTCTCTCCAGTGTGAATGCGCTGGTGCGTTTGGAGGTTCCTCTGCTGATTAAAACTCTTTCCACACTCTGAGCACTGATACGGCTTCTCTCCGGTGTGAATGCGCTGGTGTTCTTTGAGGGTACTTTGCTGTCTAAAACTCTTCCCACAGTCTGAACAGTAATACGGTTTTTCTCCTGTGTGGATGAGCTGATGTCTTTTAAGGGTACCCTGATGACTAAAACTGGTTCCACACTCTGAGCAGCGATACGGCTTCTCTCCAGCGTGAACGAGCTGGTGTTGCTGGAGACGGCTCTGTCTGATAAAGCTCTTCCCGCACTCTGAGCACTGGTGAGGTCTCTCCTTGCCTGTTTCGTTCTGCATTCTTTTACGAGATGTACAGACAGTACCAGAGGACGTTTGTTGAGATGCTATGTTCTCTTATTAATCTTTTCAGATTTCAGTAGTCTGGCTTGTTCTCTCTGGTGGCATCTCTTGGTGTGGTTGTGGAGGTGTGCAGGAAAGAGGTCACGATGAACAAGGAAAGACCTGCCGCAAACGGTCATTCAGTTCTGGAATGGAGAAAAGAAGATAAACAGATATTCAGAACTCAATGTAAAACTGTTTGGGATTTAATAGATAATGTCCAGTTCGTTTCAGCTACAAAACAGGTAAATAAAGACGAAAAACAAGTACAATTCAGTTGACGGCCGACGCATGTTGATATTTAATTTAATAATCAAATTTAAAATTTACTAATGCGGCACACCCAAATATTAAATATGTATGGTAACGTTTTCATAGACCCTTCTAAATACAGTCACAGCATTGTACAAGCTGCAGCTTCACCAGAGATGTTTTAGATTTTCATATCTGCTCTGGTTCCTCCAGTTTGCTCTACACCATATGTGTCAGGCTCCAGTCCTTGTGGGCCAAAACACCACAGATTTCAGCTCACTGCCTCACTAAACACACCTGATTCAGCTCATCAGCTAATTAACAAGGCCTTCACGAACTGAATTCAGAACATTAGTTGAAGGTAAACCCTAATCTCCCCAGCACTTTGGCACAGAAGCCCACCAGGTATTAATAGGGAGTTTGTCCTCTCTTTGCTGCAGTAACAGTCTGGGTAGGCTTTACACTAGATGTTGGAACACTGCTGTAAGGATTTGATTGCATTTAGCCACAAGAGCATTAGTGAGGTCAGGTACTGATGTTGGACGGTCAGTTCTGGATCACTGCAACTTATCCCAAAGGATTGGATGGAGCTCCATCACTCCACAGCCATATGCTGGGGGGCTTTACACCCCTCTAGCTGATGCTTGGCATTGGGCATGGGGACCATAGGGTCATGTGTGGATGCTCTGGAGCAATACCTGGATTTTAGTAGTGTTAGCACTAAGCTAAAAGCTATTCATATTAACATTTTTTGGCTGCTGTAGATTAAACGAGGATCTGAGGCTCATGAAAAACATTGTTATAAAGCCTGTAATAGATATAACATGTATTTTACTTCGTAGCAGTTCAGTAAACAGCCCTGGCATTGAGCATCCTGAAAAGCATTGTTTAGGTAAACACTTGTACCTGCAGTCAGTGACGTATCTAAAAGTTTCCAGGACGTTTTTTTCCTCACAAAATTGGTTCCATACATTAGAAACCAAATCATGATCGATTCTGCTGTCAGTAGCTAATTATGGTAATCTGAGACATTAGGCCTCCAATACAGCTCCTGAAGTCCTAACCAGTAAAAAAGGTCACTTGGTTGGTCTTGGTCTAAACACCACAGAGATGAAAATGCTTATTTTTTACAGAGAACTGGCTTTTCTTGCATGCATACGGTACTCACAAAGCGATAAATAAGCAGGTCTAACCCTGTGTGACAAAGCTGTAGAAAGGTTTTATAGTATATTGAAGTGAACCTGACAGCAGCTTAATAAAGCATAAAAATCATCTTTAAGATTAGTGGGCTCCAAACTGAGGTACTGTGTAAATCTTTCATGGATCTTAGGTTGCTGCAAGCTGAATGAGCTTCTAGACCAGTGATTCCCAACCCGGTCCTTAGGGTCCCCCAGACGACCATCTGGAGGGCCCTGAGGACCTGGTTGAGAACCACTATTCCAGACTATAATGCAGTTTTCTTGAATCACATCTATCACAAAGTGTATAGCATGTCGCTCATTATCATAAAGGATCCTATTACTCTGTGTACAGTGTTTCTCACGTGCACAAAAATGATAAAGCAAAGCTATGTGCAAATAAAGTCTATCTGTATAGTATAACATGACAGCAATCCTTTGGGACCAACTGGAAAAGTTTGCTCAAAAGCAACAGAGGACTTTAAAGCAATGCGATGAGAAAACAAATTTACTCAAATCCTTTACACAGCAAACTTTACACAAGCATGTAGTAGAAATAAAAACTAAAAACTGTTGCATATTGAAGCCTAATTTTTGTGCATTGTTACAGATTAAGCTAGATTAACAGGCCTATTTGAGCGAAATTTGGTGAGATTTGAAATTTGGAGAGTTGGGTTTGGAGAGGTGATCAGTGCACGATGATTTCTTTGGGGCAAGGATGAAAACAGACTTTTGCATCCAAAGCTCAACATATGCTGGTTTTGCTGGTCCATGCTATTTTTTTTCTAGCAAGTTATTCATTTAAATCTACAAGATAAAAGCATTAGGTTAATTAAAACAATGTGTTAATTAATCAGCAGGGTTTTTGAGCAGGCCCACCTTGTAAATCCTAAATTAAGCCTTAAAATGTCTTACAATTTGTGTCAAACCTGGCTAAGAAAACAACCAAAAGCAAACCTGTTGGGAAAAACACAGAACCCATTAAATCTCTCTGTTGGTTACTGGTGGTGTCCATTAGTCACTAATGGTATTGAGTGTTTGTACTGATTGGTTGACATCACAGTGTAAATTAGTGATTCTAATGGTTTAATAGATGTTCTAGGACTGACTTGAGATGTATTGGATGGCTTACTAAGAAAGCAAAACCATCAGGTTTTAATCCTCATTGTTCTAATGGTCTTTTTCAGCAAGGACAGGAACAGCAGTATCTAACATTACTCACAGAAATCTACAGGAAGGCTGCTTCTCTTGTAAACCTTAAACCGAACATCTACACCGCTGATTTCTCAGAGAAGCGCTGAAAACACAATGCAAACATGAACAGCTCCTACCTTCAGCACTGCAGCTCCTGTTTCTGCTCCTTCAACAACAGCCTGGGTTCTTCTTCTCCACTCCTTTTGAGTTGAAGAACCTCGCCACCAGCGCCACCACCTGGACTGCAGGGAGCTTTCGGGGTATTTTTAAGCCCACCTGTATTCCAGCGCTGTGACTGGGCACTACTTCACACAAGCAATCCACCATGCTGAAAAAAGACCATTAGAACCATTAGGAATAAAATCTGATGATTTTGCTTTCTAATGGAAATTAGCTTAATGGTTACGAGTGGTGACCACTAGTTTCCTGTAGAACACCTTTGGATCCCACTAAAAAAACATAAAATGCATCTGGAATCAGAACACCTGTTAGACCTTTACACCATTAGAGACTATTGGGCACCACCAGGAACCAACAGAAATTTTACTTGCTTCAGTGACTTCAATGACAACGGGTTCATCAGGACACTGATTGGCGAGTTTCCAAAATCTCATTAGAAGAGGAATTAAAAGGACTTAGTCTTATTATGAGTATGAAAAATAATACAGAGGTGTCTTTTATTTAATAATTATTATTACTATTAATAATAATTGGGGCACCAACAGAACAACACAGTTTCAAAATGAGACAGACTTTATTATTAACACCCAATGGATATTAATTAACAATTAAACTAGTAATACGCTGTTGTTGGAACAAAACCTTGTATCTCCAAAATAGTAACTTTACAGGAGAAGGAAAAAAAAATACTTTACTTTGAATGTCAGTCAATGGAACCAGACTTTTTCCCAAGTCATTCTGAGTCATTTTGTTTGGTTTATTCATCCTGAAATTTGCACACAATGTAAAAGGCAACAGGTAATTTCAAATTATGTCAACAAAAGAAAAATGACAAAAATGGAGAGGTTTTGTTCTGACAACAGCGAATCATTTCTTACATATCTGAAGGATGTGGAGTGCTTTTCTAGCAATAGAACTTTTATAATAAAGAGATACACACACACACAGGTAAAATGTTCACAAAGTTTAATAATGAAGCACTTGGTTTAAGAAAAGATTAGAGTAGTGCAAGATGTGTACAGGAACAGGACAACAGCTTACAAAGTAAGATAACCAAGCTGATCTGACTCGGTCTGACTCTGAGGTTGACGGGAAATCAGTACCGCCGATCTACCACTCCAAAGTTGAACAGATGTCAAAATACCCCAGTTCTGAACTCAAAGTAACACTGAGAGGTGCTGTGACTTAAGGTGAAGAAGTGGGCAGGAACCCTACTCACCATTGATTACTACCTTTTTCATGTGGGTGGTGTTTTGGGTGACATTCCACCTTACGTCCCTTCACAGGCATGTCCTGGGAGAACCGGACATAAAGGTCATTTAATGTCCTTATCATGTAACTGGTGTATCACACCAAGTCAAAACTCATCTACATGTTTCAGGCATGAGTTCACCTTCAATTCATGACGGAACACGGGCTATCCTGTACATTTCACAACGTGACTCAGAAAAAAGTGATTACACCTTCATACAACATGGTATTAACACACAAACAACACATGGCAATGCACAGGGTGTTATAAATGTCCTGTGAAAGTTGCATTACAATATTGTTTAAGAAAAATGTCTTTCTGGTGATGTTTTCTGTGTTCTTAATAAATAATGTGTGTGCTCACAAGGCCTGAGTTTGTCGTCCGCCACAGTGGTTGGTTAGCATTCACGGTGGTGATAAGTCAGACCCTCTCCCTTTGGGATATTTATGTTTCTTAGCGTAATCCACCAGAGATGGAACTCCTTTGCCCCTTATGACCTGTCTTCCATTATCGTGGTCCTACTTTGCCTGCCTCATTCCACAGGCCAGTAAAGAACCGTGGAGCAGTGTGATGGACTGAATCTAGAGGTTTAAATCTACTGGTAGACTGCATGTCTATATATAACCGTAGTCTAGGATAGATAATAAGGTTGTCTCCATAATGCTTTGTATAATATGCACTGGGAAACACATCTTATGTCAGCATAAGTATCCCAGCTTTTGCCTACATTTACTGACTAGCTTATTTATCTGATAGTCAAACATAAATGTATCATCCAGCCGTATGCCAAGGTTCTTATATTCTGTGGCTCCGTTTTGCCTCAAGCGAGCACCATCACTTAAGAAACACATTAATTTTACCTCACTCTGGTTCAAGTTACCTGCACCTAATAATTACAAAGAAGATCTCAGGTGCTGTGTTTGTTAAAAGAGAAAAAGGCTTTGATCTTATTTAGGCTTAGCAAAAAGCATTTCGGCCGGGGTTTAGGGTCTGAAGCCAGATGCCAAAATGCAATGCACAGAGATCCAATCTTTATACAGTCCTCTCTCTCTTTCTGATGCGTTTTCCAACAATTAAATTCACTTTTTGGACCCAATTAAATTCGACCCACTAAAAAGGTCAAGTTGTCTCTTTTGTAGATGAATCATGAACAAAAATGGCAAGTTGACCCTTTTCATATCTAAACCATCAAAACAGCTCAAGCTGCCTCTTTGCTACCCAGCACCCCACTTGGTGCTGGTCAAACCCAACTGGCCTGCTTGTGCTTAAGCTTCAATTGAAGTCCTCTGTTTAGAGTTTTCTGCACAGACAAAGTCTCAGGGGCTTTGCTGTCTTTATTTATATACTGCTTATCAATGTTGCTGTTCTCCTTGATCATCATGTTTGATTAATATGTTAGTAGAAGTAGTTTTTATTTCATTCCATCAGCTCTCTCAATACTGGATGCTGTCAAGGTGTTGATATTCACTGTTAAACTCAATACTGGGGGCTAGGGTTTTTTTTTGCATATAAAACCAACTTATGCTTGGACAGAGTAATCTGAAAGGCAGTGAAGGAGTGCTGAGGTTTTTCTACTGCTGCATGAACAGAGACAGCTGTCTAAGTGCACTTAGCAGTCAGTGGTGGAGGCAGCAAGATGATTAATATAAAAATAAATAAGAATGGACCAAGTATTGAACCTTGCAGGACACTGATGGGAAAAATTTAATAAAACATTCCCTGATTAATAATCAATAAACTAAATATTGGCTAACTTGAGCATTTGGAGCTCTCCTAAAAAGGTAGCATTGGGGAACAGGCTATAGACTGCATGCCCTTGAAATCTCATCTCTAAAGAGGATGAACTCTTGAAGTCACAAAAGGGAACTGTGCCAGATGACAGTATAAATTACAGCTGAAGTGAAACTCGCAAAAGAGAGCTGTACTAGATGACAGTATCGATTATAGCTGAGGTGAACTCCTGAACTTATGTGAAGAAGTTGTGTAAGATGACCCTGTAAGGATGGAACAGCCTGGTACGACTGGGTCAAAGTGTTTTTTTTTTTTAAAAAAGACATCATACACGTTTGGTTTTAAGGGTTACCAAAAAAGGTGTTACGTTTGGATATGATGGGGACTAAAATAGTATGGAATTGTGTGAAAAAGGGGTGGGGTTTGACAGAGATTTTGAATAAAAATTATTTTAATCAAGTAATCAAATGGATCAGATATTGTAATCAATAATCAATCAGGTAGTGCTGATAAACTAGAGAATATTCATCTTCTCACAAAGCATAGGCCTTAGTTTGTCAGCATAGGGGATTCTGGACACTGGAAAGCCCCTGGAGTTACAGTAACACAGTAAAGAGCGGGGCAAGCTGACCCTCAAAGGCAGAGCGGGCTGATAAAAACCTGTTGAAACCAGTTTTGGAGTGAGTCCATAATGCGATGCCAAATTAATGGCCTTGAGAGGATGTAACAGCCTGGTGCAACCAGGGTAGAATGGTTTTTTTAAAAAATGACATCATGTACGTTTGGATCTAAGGGTTTCCAAGAAAAGTGCAGAGTTTGAATATAATGGGGACTAAGATGATATGGAACTGTGTAAAAGGGAGGAGTGATTACTTCATCACCCCAAACAGAATATAAAAAAGGATATCTCGAGATGATATTTGCATTGTGGTTGTTGGGAACCATCTTGCCACTTGGAGCTCAATAAAGAGAGACGCCTTTTCCTTCCTTCCACAAGAACTCAGCGGCTGAAGTCTTCTTATTCTTTTTTATTCCTTTTTCACTTTTGGTTGATATTTTTTTATTCTTTTAATTCTTTTTAAAGAAGTTAGACTACAGACAGTTATTAGGGCAATAGCATAGAACATATTAGAGATACTCATAAATGTCTAGACCCTCGGCAGAAGGGACAGCTCTTGGTCGCGACAACACCTGTAGCCTCTTATCCTCCTTGGAACCACCCAACCACCCAAATAGATGGTTTAATGTCACTTTAAACCCTTATAATAAAAGAAGCTGAACTCACAATTTTTTTTTTTCTACTGAAAGTCGACCCATTTTTCCACAAATCTGGGCTATAAACTATAATCAGATGGCGTCTCTTCAGTGATCTGCTCTGTAAAAATTATTTTTATAAAATAATACAAAGTGCGTCAAAGATTTTTGGCTTTCAGCAGTAAATAGTAAGCATATAGCAATATGTGTGATCATAAAACACATTTTCTGTTGATTTGAGGGGAGCTTTTACAAAAAATAAATAAACAAAATAAAAAATTTATATTTATTTCATGCAGTTACTGAATAATTTGCCTTAAGATTTGGTCATGTAAATTTAGATGGACAAACCAAAATATACCCTGGAGAATTAGAGATTAATTATAGTCTTTAAATCTCATTGGGAGTTACTCTGTGACACACATTTTTTGCCTATCAAAGAAGTTGTTCTGGTCCTGTTTTTTATATTTTTATCAAAACCAATTGTGTGTAGGTTATTTAAAAGAAGTGAATGATCAACAGTATCAAAAGCTTTGGCTAGATCAATAAAGCAGCAGTATGGCATTGCTTTCTATCTATGGCAGTAAAAAGATCATGTAGAACAAGTGTGGTAGCAGAAATGGTGTCATGTTTTTTTTTTCCTAAAGCCAGATTGATTGTTAAAACAGGGTAGAAATTTCATAAAGAAACAGTTTGACCTGGGTGTTCACTAAAGATTCTAGCGAAGCATGACTTTCAAAACTGGTCTATAATTATTTAGATCTGCTGACTTGCCTCCGTTGTGTAGGGGAACAACATGACCTGTTTTCCAGATATTAGGAGTTCTGCATAAAAAGATTAGAAATGTATATAACATGTTCTACAATAACCGCAGTAGCAAGACCCAAGAATTAGGGGGCCAATCCATCCTTTCCTATGGCTTTTCGAGGGTTAAAAGCAGTGAGAGCATTAGCCACTATACACAGAGAAAAGGGACGGACTGTGAAGAGACCATGGCCATGGCTAGAGACAGAGGTTATATCTGGTTTGTTGAACCGCAGTCTCAGGTCAGTTTTATCAAATATATGATTGGCTGCAGAAAAATGAATATAAAAACTTTGCAGAGCTCTTTAGTCAGATAATACATGGTCAGCTAGTACAACTGTCTTCAGAATAGGGAGGGACTTGTTTTTGAGAAGAGGTTACTGCCTTCAAAAATGTCTGAGTATTAGTAGAAGAACTAGTGATCAAACGAAGAAAATAATCTGACTTAGCACTTCTAATGGTGGAGGTACATTTGCCTAAACGAGAGCCAACATTCTCTGTCTTCAGTGCATCTGGCAACAGTCCATGATCTATTTCTTGTTTTAAGGAATGAGAAGATTTCAGTAGTGACCCAAGGACTGTATTGAGTGCATATTCTGCATTTTTGTACATGGGCATATCTATTTATTACCGTCAAGTTTTATAAAATGGTCCAGTGCTAAACCGTGTGTGGAATTTTCTAAAGTACAGTTAGAGCTGGGCGATATGGCCAAAAATGTTATCACGATAAACAAAATTCATATAGTTCGATATTGATACATATCGTGATAAATGTCAAATCATTATTTCTTTCAAGTTTGAAGGCTGATTTTTGCTCCTGAGTGGCTAACTGCTGTGGTAACCTATCTTTTATGGTCGGAACATGACAAACACTCACCAAACAGTGGAACATTTCACAAATCTGTCATGGGAGAGTGGGAGAAAGTTTCTGATGAGCTGTTTTAACCAGCTGGAAAAGCACAGATGCAGTTTTTGTAATAGTCATAATTTAACAAAGAAAACAGGTTATTTTTAGCTGTCTGGTGACGAGCGCTCAGCTATCCCGTTACAAATGCTAAACAAGTGGCCAACAACAGTGCTAAACTGTTTAGTTTCTCAACAATGTCAACTTAGTACAAACAGCAAACATTACTACCACATCCATGTCAGAGCATCGAAAATTAATCGAACCTTTCTTATTGCTCTATCGAGATAAAGTTATATCACGACAATTATCATTATCGATTTATCGCCCAGCCCTAAGTACAGTGGATTTCACTTAATGCTAAATCATGAAGGAAATCTTGTTCAATAAAATTCGTAATATTTCTTCTAACCAACATCTGTGAGCCTGTTTTTCTAATGCATCCGATAGGGCAGTGGTCACTAAAGCCACCTCTTCCCGCTGGAGGCAAGTTTTTTTCTATTCTGGTGGATAAATTTAAGTCTATCAGGGGTGGATTGGTAGGCTACTTTAGATTTGGTCTTGTCGATTCAGTAACAAGCTGGGCGAGGATGAGATTGTTGCATATATCCTGAAAGTGATCGGATGCGTTAGTTAACAATTACAGAATAAAATCACCCAGGATCAGCATTTCTGAAGCAGTTTACTGATAAAAGATAAACCAATTCATCAACTGCAAAGGAAAGCAGAACATATTCCTTGCTTCTGTCTGTACTATAAAGCATGAAATCATTTAAAGCAACATCGTCATCACCTATTGTGCCCAAGCCAGTTAGCACTATAATGTCTGAACCAAACTGTGTGAGCAGAACTTTCAGTTGATGCATTTTGTTCTTTTGAATTAAGCACCTAATATTTAGGTGGACTGCGAATCAGTGCGAATGCACTTATGTTTACAGAGCACACGCTTAAAACGAAAACTCTTCCCACACTCTGAAGCAGTAATACGGCTTCACTCCTGTGTGAATGCGCTGGTGTGTTTTAAGATGACTCTGTAGGGTGAATCTCTTTCCACACTCTGAGCACTGATACGGCTTCTCTCCTGTGTGAATGCGCTGGTGTGTTTTAAGATGACTCTGTAGGGTGAATCTCTTTCCACACTCTGAGCACTGATACGGCTTCTCTCCTGTGTGAATGCGCTGGTGTGTTTTAAGATGACTCTGTAGGGTGAATCTCTTTCCACACTCTGAGCACTGATACGGCTTCTCTCCTGTGTGGACGCGCTGGTGTTGCCATAGAATGCTCACACATCTGAAACTCTTCCCACACTCTGTGCACTGCTGAGTTCCCTTCTTGCCCCTTTTTTTCCGTGTTCTCCTGAGAGACGTGTCGCTGCAGACTGTACTAGAGGATGTTTGCGCAGACGCCATATTATCTTCTTTAAACTTTTCTGATCTCAACGGTCTGAGTTATCTTCTTGGTAGCATCTCTTGGTGTGTCTGTAGAAGTAAATTCAATGGAAAAGTCAACAACAATGTAAAAACAGGGCTCACAATTAGGCCTGTCATGATTAGGACGTTAGCAAGTGATTAACTGCCATCTAAATAACTGCAATAAAAAAATACATTTTTGTTCTTTTGTACTTAAAGATGGCAGCGCCCTGTAAGGCAGCGGCTACTCCGGCTCCCGTTAAGTGATGTGCATTTTATGTTAAATGTACACTATTATGACACAGTCGAATAAGAGATCAGTGTATACTCTGCTCAGACTCTGTGCATCCAACTCATCCAGCAACTTACCTAGTGGTTTACTGGCTTTGGAACCTGAAATACTCCTAATACCGGCAAAACCCAGAGGCCTGCAGAGCAGTGGTCTCGCCTACCATCACTGACCACTGCAGGAAGCGACATAAGCAGTGCGAGAGCCCACACACAAAAAAAAATGTAACTGTTATCTCCCAACTCTTGACTGACATGGCTCAAGCGCAAATAAACTTTACTCACCACTGACCTCTAAAGGTGTTATCAACCAAATTGTTTAACCTCTTATTCTCCAGGGTATATTTTGGTTTGCCCATCTGAATTTACATGACCAAATCATAAGGCACATTATTAAGTAACTGCATGAAATAAATGCAAATTTTTATTTAATTTACTTTTTTTTTTTTATTATTTGGTAAAGTTCCCCTCAAATGAACAGAACATGTGTTATGATCATACACATATTGCTATATGCTTACAATTTACTGCTGAAAGCCAAAAATCTTTGACGCACTTTGTATTATTTTATAAAAATAATTTTAAGGGTGTAAAATTACATCACCCATCTATTTGACTGGAAAGAAGACAGTTACAGCTCTCATATGACACCCACCTTTCGAATGTAGCTTATGAAATGTGGAACCACCGTTACTTCCAAGGAGCATAAGAGGCTACAATCAATTAATCAATCAATCAATCAATCAATCAATAAATAAATTAATCCCACTAAATTAGTTTACACCAAGACTTTTCTGGACATGGTTTCAGTGAATCCACTACTGTTTGTGAAAGGTCTCACGGCTTATTGGACTCATTAGGCCTGAATCCAGATCAGACGCATTTCCAGACAGTGGAAAAAGTTATTTGACTCATCTAATAATTGAATTCTTCAACTAAAAATCACCAGATGCATGTTTGAAGAAAAAAAAGGAGAAGCGTTTTGCCAAGTATTAAGCGTGAGCATAGTTTGGCAGCTTGTGGCACAGAGGAAAGAAACGATTCTGCTCAATAAAAACAGATCATTAGATTATGAACCTGTGATTACATCTCAACAGGCAGAGTCAGGGAGTTGACGGGTTGGGTGTCTGATCTGCCTACATTTTCTCTGACTGGTATCCTGATTGAGTTTACTGATCAACTCACTGTCATGGCGAACTGCGTTATTTCTTCATTTCGAGTTAAATCTAGATTAATTAAGAGAATTACATGAACACCGGTACAGAGTTTTAATGAGAGTTTAACATCTCGGCCGTTATTAACCTTTATCAACGCTACCTGCAGTGCTTTAGGTGGACAAAACTGACCAGTTAACACCTTGTTTTGAACAAAATCAGTGTCCACTCACAGTTTAGATCATCATAATATTAACAGACTTTCACTAAATAAAATATCAGCTCGTTAAAATCAAACTTTACCTCAGAGAAACTGTGGATGCTGCCCTGTTTAAGCTCTTCAGCCCCGACTGGACTCTTTAAACACACACAGCGTTGTGAATCGTGTTCGCTGCTGCTGTTTTCCAGCTTAATGTCGCTCAGCGAGCATCTCCGCGATGGAGATCAGTGTAAATGAACAGCAGGTGGAGATGAAGAGCTCCTTCAGCGGAGCTTCAGCTCCTGATTCTGCTCCTTCAACAGCAGCCCGAGTCTGAACGCAGCTGGACAGAGAAGGACGGGCACCTCCTGGTGTGCGAGGGGGGCTTCACAGTATAGCCTATAACCCCCACCCCCCGTCCTCCTACAAACCCCGCCTTCTGCGCTCTGATTGGGCAAAAGTTTGTACTAGCAGTGCGCTGATTGGCCACGTGAGAAGTCATTCACGTCACAGAACCAGCCACTGAGGCGAATGGAGGAGAGAAAACACTGCAGAAGGACCTTAAAAACAACAACAAAAAAAAGGCCATTAGAACCACTAGGATTAAAACATGATGGTTTTGCTATTTTTCTAGTGGATACTGGCTTAATGGTTACCATTAAAGACCACCACTTTTCTTCACACCTTCATATGCCATTAGAAAACCATCAAATGCATCTGGAGTCAGTTCCACGTCTTAAACCATTAGGACCCTTTACACTGTGATATCAACCCATCAAGGAAATCCTAAACACATTACAAAATCACCAGGAATCAACAGACACACTAAGTAGTCTTTCTGTTCTTTTTCAGCAAAGAGTGAAGGAAAACTGTGTTTCTTCGTGATGGTTTTGTAATGTGTTTTGGCCTTTTTCATGGGTTGATATTATAAAGGATCCTAATGTTTTAAGACGTGACCAATGGCTGAATCTTTTAATGGTTTCCTCAGTGGTTGAGATGTACACAGAGTGATTCAGAGTGGTTTGGTGTGAAATGGTTCAGATTTCTTTTCAGTGGTGGTGATAGGAACCAGGGGTCACCATGACTACAACACAAATATAGACATTTCAATTACTATCCAAAACCACCAGTGAACCTACATGTGGCTTATGAGCTTCATATGAAATGTTGACGATGGTAAAAAAGTGGAAAGCCAGTTTTCTTTGGGGACTACTTTGTCTCACCCTGCATGTACCTCTCCACCATGAATGGATTTCAAAAAATCGCATTTTGGCCAAATCCTTGTAGCAAAACTAAACCAACGTCTCAGGCATCACACGTCATCTGGCTCCCATCATGACCTTTCTGAGAAATTCGCACTCTGTAGGTTTCTTTAGAATGATGCATTTCACATCAAAGCACTCTGAATGACTTCATTTACATCTTGACAATTAAATGATGCAGACATTTTAAAATTCAGACTTCCTGACTGAACCCATATGGAAATTCATGTGAAAACATAACTGAATTGGGATGAGTTTAAAACAAAAAGTTAAAATAGGTAAATTTAAGACTAATGCTAGACGTATATAGAAACAAGACAACAGCATAAAAAAGTAAGACAACCAGGCTGATACAGAGCAATCAAGATATGACTTTAATAAACCAGGAGGATGAGGTCATTCATAAAGAACTGTAATATCACAGTATCATCCTTGGAATAATGACCGAGAGGCCCAAACAAGCGTCAGTCCTTCGTCAATCCTTCCTGTTATCGCGGCAAGAATCAATGCACTCAAATCCAGAAAGTCTGCAGATTCTTATCTCTGGATCAGCCGAAGATCTGACTGGGAGGTGAAGAGATCAGTAGAGGCCGATCTACCACTCCAAAGTTGGTGGTCGGATGTCAAGGAACATGAGGTTGACAGAGATTTTGAATAAATATTCTCTTAAATCAGTAATCAAATAGATTAGATATTGTGATCAATAACCAAATAACTAGTATTAACCAACAGAGAATATTAATCCTCTCACAAAGGGTCGGCCTTAGTCTGTCTGCATAGGGGATTGTAGACACTGGGAAGCCCCTGGATTTACAGAGAGGCCTGTCTGTACCTGCTGACCCAGCGAAGAGAGGGGCAATTTGACCTTCAAAGGTAGAGCAGCCTGGTAAAAACCTGTTGAAACCAGTTTTTAGAGTGAGCTCATCATGCAATAGCCAAATTAATGGCCTTGAGAGGATGTAACAGCTTGGTGCAACCAGGGTAGAATGGTTTTTTAAAAAATGACATCATGTGCGTTTGGATCGAAGCGTTTCCAAGAAAAGTGCAGAGTTTGAATAGAATGGGGACTAAGATGATATGGAATTGTGTAAAAGGGAGGAGTGATTACTTCATCACCCCAAACAGGATATAAAAAAGGATGTTTCGTGATGTTCTTTGCATTGTGGTTGTCCAGGAACCATCTTGCCACTTTAAGCTCAATAAAGAGAGGGCCTTTTAAAGTCTTTTTGGTCCTTTTTGTCCTTTTTACCTTTTTGCTGTTACTCTTTTATTCTTTTAATTCTTTTTGAAGAAATTAGACTACAGTTAAGAAAATAGGGCTATAGCACAGAACATATTAGAGGTACCCTCATATGTCTAGACCTTGGGCAAGAAGAAGCAGCTCTTGGTCCCGACAGGTGATTACCTCATCACCCCAGAGGGATATAAAAAAGGGATGCCTCGAGATCATATTTGCATTGTGGTTGTTCGGGAACCATCTTGCCACTTGGAGCTCAGTAAAGAGAAGGCCTTTTCCTTCCTTCCACAAGAACTCAGCGGCTGAAGTCTTTTTCATTTCTTTTTTTATTCCTTTTTCACTTTTTGTTGATATTTTTCGATTCTTTTAATTCTTTTTAAAAAAGACAGTCAGACAGACAGTTATTAGGGCAATAGCATAGAACATATTAGAGATACTCATAAATGTCTAGACCCTCGGCAGAAGGGGCAGCTCTTGGTCGCGACAACACCTGTAGCCTCTTATCCTCCTTGGAACCACCCGTGATTGGTGTCATACGAGAGCTGTAACTGTCGTCTTTCCAGTCAAATAGATGGGTGATGTAATTTTAAACCCTTATAATAAAAGAAGCTGAACTCGTGATTTTTTTTCTACTGAAAGTCGACCCATTTTTCCACAAATCTGGGCTATAAACTATAATCAGATGGTGTCTCTTCAGTGATCTGCTCTGTAAAAATTATTTTTAGAAAATAATACAAAGAGCATCAAAGATTTTTGGCTTTCAGCAGTAAATAGTAAGCATGTAGCAATATGTGTTTGATCATAAAACACATTTTCTGTTGATTTGAGCGGAGCTTTTGCAAAAAATAAATAAATAAAATAAAAATTAGCATTTATTTCATACAGTTACTGAATAATTTGCCTTACAATTTGGTCATGTAAATTTAGATGGACAAACCAAAATATACCCTGGAGAATTAGAGGTTAATTATAGTCTTTATATCTCATTGGGAGTTACTCTGTGACACACATTTTTTGCCTATCAAAGAAGTTGTTCTGGTCCTATTTTTTACATTTTTATCAAAACCAATTGTTTGTAGGTTACTTAAAAGAGGTGAATGATCAACAGTATCAAAAGCTTTGGCAATACCAATTAAAATACCAGAATGATGTTTCCTTGTAAAACAAATGTGGTAGCAGAAATGGTGCCATGTTTTGTTTTTTTTTCCTAAAGCCAGTGTTGGGCGTAAGAGCCTCTCTTCTGTGCCCAAGGCCTCTTGACAGAAGATGGATTCCTCTAGCATGTTCTAATACTGTTACCTTAAGAGCTAACTGAAGTACAACTTCTAACAAAATAAGGAAAATGTGTAAGTGTAAAAGAGCAAAGTAAAATAAGAGACTTTAGCCGCTGAGTTCTTGTGGAAGGAAGGAAAAGGCCTTCTTCTTTACTAAGCTTGAGTGGCAAGATGGTTCATGGACAACCACAATGCAAAGATCATCGCAAAACACCCATTTTTATATCCTGTTTGGGGTGATGAAGCAATCACCCCTCCCTTCTTATAAAATTCTATACCATCTTAGTTCCTATCATTTCCAAACCTTACACTTTTCCATGGGAACCCCTATTTCCAAACATAAATGATATATGTCTTTTTAAAAATATCTTAGCTGTACCAGGACGTTCCACTCTCAGCTAAGGCCATTAGCTTTTGACTGATCGCATTGCAAATCCACTTACTCCAGAGACTGGTTCTTATCAACTCAAGGACAGGTCATCTTTCTCACACTGCTGTATCAGCAGATTCTCAAAGACCTCTGGAGGCCTCTTTTGTTAAAAGTCCAGTGTCCAAGTTCCCAGACAAGCTAAGGCCTATCTTACAATGTGAAGAGTACTATTCTTTTGGTAAAGATAAAGATTATTTATTCAAAACATCCATCACCAGATTGATTGTTAAAACAGGGTAGAAATTTTATAAAGAAACAGTTTGACCTGGGTGTTCACTAAAAATTCTAGCGAAGCATGACTTTCAAAACTGGTCTATAATTATTTAGATCTGCTGACTTGCCTCCTTTGTGTAGAGGAACAACATGACCCGTTTTCCAGACATTAGGAGTTCTGCATAAAAAGATTAGAAAAGTATATAACATGTTCTACAATAACCGCAGTAGCAAGACCCAAGAATTAGGGGGCCAATCCATCCTCTCCTATGGCTTTTCGAGGGTTAAAAGCAGCGAGAGCAGTAGCCACTATATTCAAAAAATTCTGAGTATTAATAGAAGAACTAGTGATCAAACAAAGAAAATAATCTGACTTAGCACTTCTAATGGTGTAGGTACATTTGCCTAAACGAGAGCCAACATTCTCTGTCTTCAGTGCATCTGGCAACGGTCCATGCTCTATTTCTTGCTTTAAGCAATGAGATTTCAGTAGTGAGCAGTGGACTGTATCGATTGCATATTCTGAATTTTGCTGATAAAAGACAAACCAATTAATCAGCTGCAAAGGAAAGCAGAACATACACCTTGCTTCTGTCTGTACCACAGGGAAATTCACTTGAAAGAGGCCCCGAATATTCTGTTGTAACTCCCCTTAGGATGAAGCAATCAAAAATACACTACGTGCCTTGACATATGTTTAATTGATTGCATTACATGAGATACTGGAAGTGATCTCCGTTTTCTGCCAGACACATGAAGGGCTACAGGGGATGTGCACCTGGAAGTTACAAACAGAGCTTAAGCGTTGCGGCAGCTGTCCAGTGCCTATCTTATCGCCCAGTTTGTTTGAAGCTCCATATACTGAGGAGCACATTGCACGTTTTATGGTTCAGATTGCTTCATCCTAGCGAGAGTTATTACAGAATATTCTGGGCCTCTTTTGAGTGAATCTCCCTGTATAAAGCATGAAATCATTTAAAGCCACATTGTCATCACCTGTTGTGCCCAGCCAGTTAGTACTATAATGTCTCAAACAAACTGTGTGATCAGAACTTTCAGATGCATTTCTGATGCATTTTGTTCTTTTGAATTAAGCTCCTAATATTTAGGTGGACTGCGAATCAGTGCGAATGCACTTATGTTTACAGAGCACACGCTTAAAATGAAAACTCTTCCCACACTCTGAACACTGATACGGCTTCTCTCCTGTGTGAATGCGATTGTGTTTTTTGAGAGCACCTTGGCTAGAAAGACTCTTCCCACACTCGAAAACAGTAATACGGCTTCACTCCTGTGTGAACGCGCTGGTGACATTGGAAAGCATCTTGGCTATAAAAACTCTTCCCACACTCGAAACAGTAATACGGCTTCACTCCTGTGTGAATGCGCTGGTGTGCTTGGAGATTACCCTGTTGGGTAAAACTCTTTCCACACTCTGAGCACTGATACGGCTTCTCTCCTGTGTGGATGTGCATGTGTTGTTGGAGGTGACTCTGCCGAGTAAAACTCTTTCCACACTGTGAGCACTGATACGCCCTCACACCTGTGTGGATGAGCCTGTGTTGTTGGAGATGACTCTCACGAGTAAAACCCTTCCCACATTCTGAGCACCGATACGGTTTCTCTCCTGTGTGGACGCGCTTGTGTCGTTGGAGATTACTCTGTAGACTAAAACTCTTCCCACACTCTGAGCACTGATACGGCTTCTCTCCTGTGTGATACCGCTGGTGTGTTTTAAGATGACTCTGTAGGGTGAAACTCTTTCCACACTCTGAGCACTGATACGGTTTCTCTCCTGTGTGGATGCGCTGGTGTCGTTGGAGATGACACTGTAGCCTAAAACTCTTCCCACACTCTGAGCACTGATACGGCTTCTCTCCTGTGTGAATGCGCTGGTGTGTTTTAAGAATACTCTGTAGGGTGAATCTCTTTCCACACTCTGAGCACTGATACGGCTTCTCTCCTGTGTGGACGCGCTGGTGTTGCCGTAGAATGCTCACACATCTGAAACTCTTCCCACACTCTGTGCACTGCTGAGTTCCCTTCTTGCCCCTTTTTTTCCGTGTTCTCCTGAGAGACGTGTCGCTGCAGACTGTACTAGAGGATGTTTGCGCAGACGCCATATTATCTTCTTTAAACTTTTCTGATCTCAACGGTCTGAGTTATCTTCTTGGTAGCATCTCTTGGTGTGTCTGTAGAAGTAAATTCAAAGGAAAAGTCAACAACAATGTAAAGAGAGGGCTCACAATTAGGCCTGTCATGATTAGGACGTTAGCAAGTGATTAACTGCCATCTAAATAACTGCAATAAAAAAATACATTTTTGTTCTTTTGTACTTAAAGATGGCAGCGCCCTGTATGGCAGCGGCTACTCCGGCTCCCGTTAAGCAATGTTAAATCTACTCTATTATGGCACAGTCGAATAAGAGATCAGTGTATACTCTGCTCAGACTCTGTGCATCCAACTCATCAAGCAACTTACCTAGTGGTTTACTGGCTTTGGAACCTGAAATACTCCTAATACCGGCAAAACCCAGAGGCCTGCAGAGCAGTGGTCTCGCCTACCATCACTGACCACCGCAGGAAGCGACGTAAGCGGTGAAAGACCACACAAATAAAATGTAATTGTTATCTCCCAACTCTTGACTGACATGGCTCAAGCGCAAATAAACTTTACTCACCACTGACCTCTAAAGGTGTTATCAACCAAATTGTTTAACCTCTTATTCTCCAGGGAATATTTTGGTTTGTCCATCTGAATTTACATGACCAAATCATAAGGCACATTATTCAGTAACTGCATGAAATAAATGCAAATTTTTATTTTATTTACTTTTTTTTTTTTTGGTAAAGTTCCCCTCAAATGAACAGAACATGTGTTATGATCATACACATATTGCTATATGCTTACAATTTACTGCTGAAAGCCAAAAATCTTTGACGCTCTTTGTATTATTTTATAAAAATAATTTTTACAGAGCAGAAAAAAAAGGAGAAGCGTTTTGCCAAGTATTAAGCGTAGACATTGTTTGGCAGCTTGTGGCACAGAGGAAAGAAACGATCTACTGAATAAAAAGAAATCCTGGAAGTTAAATCAGATTGCAGATCATTAGATTATGAACCTGTGATTACATCTCAACAGGCAGAGTCAGGGAGTTGACGGGTTGGTCTGGTGTCTGATCTGCCTACATTTTCACTGACTGGTATCCTGATTGAGTTTACTGATCAACTCACTGTCATGGCGAACTGCGTTATTTCTTCATTTCGAGTTAAATCTAGATTAATTAAGAGAATTACATGAGCGACATCATGGCCAACACGTTTCAGTGCTAATTTGAGACGCTATGAAACAGTAAATAAAAGAAAATCAGGAGACACAAAAGAGAAACACTCGGTTATACCTGCAGTACTTTAGGTGGACAAAACTGACCAGTTAACACTTTGTTTTGAACAAAATCAGTGTCCACTCACAGTTTAGATCACCATAATATTAACAGACTTTCACTAAATAAAATATCAGCTCGTTAAAATCAAACTTTACCTCAGAGAAACTGTGGATGCTGCCCGTTTAAGCTCTTCAGCCCCGACTGGACTCTTTAAACACACAGCGTTGTGAATCGTGTTCGCTGCTGCTGTTTTCCAGCTTAACGTCGCTCAGCGAGCATCTCCGCGATGGAGATCAGTGTAAATGAACAGCAGGTGGAGATGAAGAGCTCCTTCAGCGGAGCTTCAGCTCCTGATTCTGCTCCTTCAACAGCAGCCCGAGTCTGAACGCAGCTGGACAGAGAAGGACGGGCACCTCCTGGTCTGCGAGGGGGGCTTGGCAGTACCTAGCCTACAACCCCCCCGTCCCCCCACCCCGACCCCCTACAAACCCCGCCTTCTGCGCTCTGATTGGGCAAAAGTTTGTACTAGCAGTGCGCTGATTGGCCACGTGAGAAGTCATTCACGTCACAGAACCAGCCACTGAGGCGAATGGAAGAGAGAAAACACTGCAGAAGGACCTTAAAAAAAAAAAACAACAGAAAAAAGGCCATTAGAACCACTGGGATTAAAACATGATGGTTTTGCTATTTTTCTAGTGGAAATTAGCTTAATGGTTACCATTAAAGACCACCACTTTTCTTAACACTGTCGGGACCAAAGAGCTCTTTTCTCCTTGCCCAAGGCCCCGACATATGAGGTTTGAATACTAAACTATTCTGTGCTGTGGTTTTGTTATAATTATTGTCTACAAAAATAAACAAAACTAAAAGTGTATTCAACCAAAAATAAAAGAAAGTAGAATAAAAGACTTAAGCTGCTGAGTTGATGTGGAAGGGAGGAAAAGGGCCTCTTCTTTTATTGAGCTTCAGGTGGCAAGATGGTTTTCCGGACAACCAAATGCAAAGATCATCATAAAACACCCTTTTTTTATATCCTGTTTGGGGCAATGAAATTATCAGCACCCTTATGTCCAATCGTACATGACATTGATTTAAAAACCTTCCCTTTTTTTTGACTGTGCCAAACGGTTCTCAAGACCCTTGCTTCCTTAACAGCTTCCAAAAACCAGTTTCTGCAGGTTCTTATCGGCTCTCTTGGTGGTCTGCTTCAAGGACTCTCCAATGCAAAACCTCCCTATCATACCCAAATCAAGGCTTATCCTTTGTGCGAGAATGAGTATGCTTTTATTAATCAGCTTTGTCTGTGTGATTATAATTCTTTTAATGCTTAAAGTAGTAATTTTGAGGAAACTTTTTATTAAAACTCCACAACACCTTCAGATGCCATCAAATGCATCTGGAATCAGTTCCACATCTTAAACCATTAGGACGCTTTACATTGTGATATCAACCCATCAAGAAAATCCTAAACACATTACAAAAATCACCAAGAACCAACAGACACACTAAGTAGTCTTTCTGTTCTTTTTCAGCAAAGAGTGAAGGAAAACTGTGTTCCAAAACTGGGTTTTGTAATGTGTTTTGGCCTTTTTCATGAGATCTCAATGTAAAGGATCCTAATATTTTAAGACATGACCAATGGCTGATTGTTTTGATGGTTTCCTCAGTGGTTGGGATGTAAACAGAGAGATTCAGAGTGGTGACAGAGATTTTGAATAAGTATTCTCTTAAATCAGTAATCAAATAGATTAGATACAGTAATCAATAACCAAATAGGTAGTGTTGACTAACAGAGAATATTAATCCTCTCACAAAGGGTCAGCCTTAGTCTGTCTGCATAGGGGATTCTAGACACTGGAAAGCCCCTGGATTTACAGAGAGGCCTGTCTGTATCTGCTGACACAGTAAAGAGAGGGGCAAGTTGACCTTCAAAGGTAGAGCAGGCTGGTAAAAATCTGTTGTTTTTTGAGTGAGCTTATCATGCAATAGCCAAATTAATAGCCTTGAGAGGATGTAACAGCCTGGTACAACTAGCTTAGAATGGTTTTTAAAAAAAATGACATCATGTATGTTTGGTTCTCCAAGAAAGCTGCTGAGTTTGGATACAATAGGGACTAAGATGATATGGAATTGTGTAAAAGGGAGGAGTGATTATTTCATCACCCCAAAAAGAGTATAAAAAAGGAAGTTTTGTGATGGTCTTTGCATTATGGTTGTGCGGGAACCTCTTGCCTTTTGAAGCTCAATAAAAAGAAGGCATTTTCCTACCTTCCACAAGAACTCAGTGGCTGAAGTCTTTTGGGTACTTTTTATCCCTTTTCATTTTTTGTTAATATTCTTTTTATTCTTTTAATTTTTTTTGAAGAAGATAGATTACAGTTATTCATCAGAGCTATAGAATAGAGATACCCTTATATGTCTAGACCCTGGGCAGAAGAGACAGCTCTTGGTCGCAACAGTGGTTTGGTGTGAAATGGTTCAGATGTCTTTACAGTGGTGTCGATAGGAACCAGGGGTGGCCATGACTACAACACAAAATTGTGGATAGGGCTGCCCACTGCTCCGGGCAAGTGTGTGTGTGTGTGCTCTCACTAGTGTGCATGTATGTGGGTGTTTCATGGATGGGTTAAATGCAGAGGTCTAATTCCTCTGTGTGCAAACTAAAGGTTCTGAATTCAAAAATAGACATTTACTATCCAAAATCACCAATGAACCTACACATGTCTTATGAGCTTCATGTGGAAATGATGGTTAAATAGTGGAAAGGCAATTTTCTTTGGGGCCTACTTTGTCTCACCCTGCATGTACCTCTCCACCATGAATGAATTTTAATTTAATTTTGGTCCTTGTAGCAAAACTACAGTAAACCAATGTCTCAGGCATCACACAGCATCTGGCTCCCATCAACACCATTCTGAGAAATTCTCACTCTATACCCAGAGAGCTAGCATATATCAGTCCACTGGTTTGAGAATATCGGCACCCCACTGACAATTCGCCACTGCTGGTCCACCCTCGGACCACCCAGATTATTGTTCTGCATACAAGCTCTAACTAGTTCTTAATCTCCTCAAACAGATTTTAAATCACAGACTTTTATTTTAGAAAATAAACTTACACAAATTTTACAAACAACCATAAGAAATAAAATGCCTAGGCCTAATATAAAACGATTCTATAGAAAATGTTGTTGCTAAAGCTGTGCTACATTGAAATTATTTACTAATTTAATTTACAAAGTGTAACTAAAGAAAGGAAGGGAAAATCAGTAAATTGGACTGTGCGTGGAAAATGAGCAATGATAAGTGGACTTTTGTGTAATACTCCGCTTAACCGCCAGTGGACCACCAGCTTTGCCATTAGTGGGCTGACAGTGGACCACTGTCCTCTTGCTATCAGGGTAGGTTTCTTTAGAATGATGCATTTCACATCAATGCACTCTGAATGACTTCATTTACATCTTAATGATTAAATGATGCAAAAAATAAAAAAAAGGAAGACTTCCAGCAAAGCACACTTGGAATGGAGAATTCAACGGTCTTTTACCTGTGAAATTACCTCTGAACTCATATTGAAATGTGTATGAAAACAAATTAAATTGGATGAGTTTAAAACAAACAAGATAAAGCAAGTAAATTTAAGACTAATGCTAGATGTACATAGAAACAAGACAACAGCATACAAAGTAAAGCAACCAGGCTGATACAGAGCAATTAAGATATGACTTTAATAAACCAGAAGGATGAGTTCATTCATAAAGAACTGTAATATCACAGTATCGAATAATGACCGAGAGGCCAGACGACACGTCAGTCCTTCGTCAGTTCTTCCTGTTGTCGCGGCAAGAATCAATGCACTCAAATCCAGAAAGTCTGCAGATTCTTGTCTCTGGATCAGCCGAAGATCTGAGTCAGAGGTGATCCGACATTAGTAGATGCTGATCTACCACTCCAAAGTTGGTGATCAGATGTCAAGGAACATGAGGTGTTCGGACTTACTGATTGGTTCCTTTTTCTTGTGGGTGGTGTTTTGGGTGACATTCCCCCCTCGCCTCCCTTCACAGGCTTGATGATATCAACACACAAACAACACTGCACATGCTGTTACAAATGTCCTTGTGAAAGTTACATTACAATATTGTTTGAGAAAATGTCTTTCTGGTGATGTTTTGTGCATTCTTAATACAACCCCATTTCCAAAAAAGTTGGGCCGCTGTGCAGAGGGTAAGTAAAAACAAAATGCAATGATGTGCAAATCATATAAACCCTATATGCACGATCAAATAGTGCAACAATTCAAGAGTAACATTTCTCAACATAAAACAAGCAAAGAGCTTTTACTTTTCATCATCTATGGTAAATAATAACATTCAGAGAATCTGGAGAAATTTCTGTATGCAAGGGACAAGGCCAAAAAACAATATCTGCTGCCCGTGATCTTTGGGCCCTCAGGTGGCACTGCAGAAATGATTCGGTAGAAAGTCACTGCATGAAACACTTCTGAAAACCACTGTGAAAACAGTTTGTCACTGCATCCACAAATGCAAGTTAAAACTCTAAAGCGCAAAGAAAAAAACACATATAAACAGGATCCAGAAACACTGTCACCTTCTCTGGGCCGGAGCTCATTTAACATGGACTGAGGGGAAATGAAAAAGTGTTCTGTGGTCCAACAAATCAACATTTGAAATTCTTTTTGGAAATCATGGCTCCGGGCTAAAGACCACTCAGCTTGCTATCAGTGCACAGTTCAAAAGCCAGTATTCATGATGATATAGGGGTGCATTAGTGGACATGGCATGGGTGATGTGGAAAATCTGTGAAGGCACAATTAATGCTGAACGATACGTTTTGGCAACATATGCTCCCATCCGGATGATGTCTTTTTCAGGGAAGGCCTTGATTATTTCAGCAAGACAATGACAAACCACATTCTGCATGTATTACAACAGCATGGCTCTGTGTTACAAGAGTCCGGGTGCTAAACTAACCTGCCTGCAGTCCAGACCTGTCGCCACTGAAAACATTTGGCACATTATGAAATGAAAAATACAACAAAGGAGACCCTGAACTGATGAGCAGCCGAAATCCTGTATCAAACAAGAACAGGAAAACATTTCACTTCAAAACAGCAGTGTCTCCTCAGTTCCCAAACACTTACAGAGTGTTGTTAAAAGAAGTAGTCATGAAAAACACTGGTAAACATGCCTCCATCCCAACTTTTTTGGAATGTATTTATTGGCATCAAATTCAAAAAGGGCATATATTTAAAAAAAAAAAAATACAATTTCTCAGTTTCAATATATGGAATGTTGTCTTTGTAGTGTTTTCCCTTAAAATATGGTTTATATGCTTAACAAATCTTTGCATTCTGTTTTTATTTACATTCTGCACAGCGTTCCAACTTTATTTGGAAATGGGGTTGTAAATAACGTGTGTGGTCACAACGCCTGCAGAGTTTGCTGTCAGCCATAAACTAGCTCAGGACTTGTGACCCTCCCCCTTTTCTTTGTGGTTGGTTGGTTAGAATTCATGGTGGAGATAAGGCAGTAATATTTTTGCAATATTTATGTTTCTTAGCGTAAGCCACCAGAGATGGAACTCCTTTGCCCCTTGTGACCTGTCTTCCATTATCGTGGTCCTACTTTGCCTGCCTCATTCCACAGGCCAGTAATGAATCTTAGAGCAGTGTGATGGACTGAATCTAGAGGTTTAAGGCTACTGGTAGACGCATATCTATAGATAACATCACCATAGTCTAGGATGGATAATAAGGTTGTCTCCATGACACTTTGTGTAATATGCACTAGGAAACACATCTTTTGTTGGCATAAGTATCCCAGCTTTTGCTTACATTTACTGCCTAGCTTATTTATGAGATATTTAAACATAAATGTATCATCCAGCCATATGCCAAGGTTCTTATATTCTGTGGATCTCTCAATAATGGATGCTGTCAAAGTTTTGATATTCAGTGCTAAACTTAATACTCAGGGCTCTGGAAAACAGCATGAACTGTAAGGCAGTGAAGGAGTGCTGAGATTTTGATTAGTTGATTAATATAGAAATAAATAAGAATGGACCAAGAATGGACCAAGTAGACCTTGTAGGACAGGCATCAAATCTCATTGAGTTACCCTGTGACACAAACTTTTTGCCCACCAGGGAAGCAGCTCTGGGCCTAGTTTTTAGCATTATCAAAACCAATTGCTTGTAGATTACTTACAAGTGAATGGTCAGCATTATCCAAAGCTTTGGTAAGAACAATAAAAAGGACAGCACAGTGCTTCTTTCTATCTGTTGCCGTAAAAAGATTAAAGCATTTAATGCAAGTGTGGTAGCAGAAATGGTGCCATGTTTTTTCCATATCCAGATTGATTATTAAAACAGGACAGATTTTTTTCATGCAACAAGTTGTGCAAGGATGAGACTGCCACAAATTTCCTGCAAGCGATTGGATGCATTAGTTAACAATTACACATTAAAATCACCCAGGATCAGTGTGATTTTAATGTGTGTGAACGTGCTGGTGTGTTGTAACAGAACTTTTGTGTCTAAAACTCTTCCCACAGTATGAACACTGATACGGCTTCTCTCCTGTGTGAATGCGCTGGTGTACTACGACAGAATGTCTGTCTCTATAATTCTTCCACAGTATGAACAGTAATACGGCTTCTCTCCTGTGTGAACGTGCTGGTGTGTTGTAACAGAATTTTTGTGTCTAAAACTCTTCCCACAGTATGAACACTGATATGGCTTCTCTCCTGTGTGAACGTGCTGGTGTTTTGTAACAGAACTTTTGTATCTAAAACTCTTTCCACAGTATGAACACTGATACGGCTTCTCTCCTGTGTGACTGCGCTGGTGTCTTTGGAGAGTACTTTGGTTAGAACAACACTTCCCACACTCGAAACAGTAATACGGCTTCACTCCTGTATGAATGCGCTGGTGTTCTTGGAGATGACTCTGTTGAGAAAAACTCTTGCCACACTCTGAACACTGATACGGCTTCTCTCCTGTGTGGATGTGCATGTGACACTGGAGGTGACTCTGCCGAGTAAAACTCTTGCCACACTGTGAGCAGGGGTACGGCCTCACTCCTGTGTGAAGAAGCTGGTGTCGTTGGAGATGACTCTGCCGAGTAAAACTCTTGCCACACTGTGAGCAGGGGTATGGCTTCTCTCCAGTGTGAACAAGCTGGTGTCGTTGGAGATGACTCTGTAGAGTAAAACATATTCCACACTCTGAGCATTCATACCGCTTCTCTCCTGTGTGAATCCGCTGGTGTATTTCGAGATTACTCTGTGCAGTGAAACCCTTCCCACACTCTGAGCAGTGATACGGTTTCTCTCCTGTGTGCATAAGCTGGTGCCGTTGGAGAGAGCTCTTTTGGTTAAAACCCCTCCCGCACTCTGAGCAGCGATATGGTTTCTCTCCTGTGTGCATAAGCTGGTGCCGTTGGAGAGAGCTCTTTTGGTTGAAAGCCCTCCCACACTCTGTGCAGCAATAGGGCTTCTCTCCTGTGTGAATGCGCTGGTGTTGTCGGAGACCTTGCAGATATTCAAAATTCTTCCCACACTCTGAGCACTGGTGAGTTCTGTTCTTTTTTTTCTGCAATCTCTTGACAGACGTGTCGTTGCAGACTGTACCAGAGGACGTTTGCGGCGATGCCATATTCTCTTCTTTAAACTCTTATGATCTCAGCAGTCTGAGTTATCTTCTTGGAATCCTCTCTTGGTGTGTCTGTAGAAACCAATTCCAAGATAAAGTCAACAATAACTGCATGAAAAGACAATTAGGGCTGTCATGAATAGGGCATTAGCTGGTGGTTATCTGCCATCTAAATACTTGCAATAAAAAAATGCAATTTTTGTTTTTTGAGCACAATTATTAATGTTAAAGTCCCCAAACTGGCTTCCCAGCAGTCAACATTTGTTGTCTACCAACTCTTGACTGACATGGCTCAAGCTCAGAAACATTACTCACCACTGACCTCTAAAGGTGTTATCAGGACTTGCAATAGGATGACATTTGTTTCTGGAGGAGAGAAAAGAGGGACATTAAATAACTTATTACAGGTGTTGAAAAAAACAGATGTCTAAAAAAATAAATAAACAAAAATAACAATACTGAAGTAGTTTACTCCAAGACTTTTCATAAACTGGAAAAGGTCTCAGAGCTTATTTGACTCATTAGGCCTCAATCCAGATCAGTTGAAGACAATTCCAGAGAGGAATAAGTTAAGTGACTCTCCTAATAATTTTATTCTTCAGCTACATGGGCAAAGCATGGGCATTGTTTGGCAGCTTGTGGCACAGAGGAAAGAAAAGATTCTACTGAATAAAAACAAATCCTGGAATTGAAAGTTCCACAACTAGTGAAGGATCAGAAAAAAAGCTTAGATATTACAAAACAAAACATACATCAAAGTCAACTTTTAAGTATTTTAAAAAAAGATTATGGTTTTTGCATGAACTTTAACATCCCATAGATCTGAGTATCATTATAAATCTGTCATCAGATCCAAACAGGCAGAGTCAATATTTAGGCAGAGTGCCTAAAATTCACTGTCCCGTATCCTGATTGGATGAGCTTACTTATCAATTCACTGTGATAGCGAACTGCTTTATTTCTTCATTTCGAGTTAAATCTAGCACAGTTAGCTCAGCGTCTCACACCGAACCCCGGTACAGGGTTTTAATGAGAGTTTAACTGCTGGGCCGTTATTAGTTAGCATAATTAGCATAGTTAGCTCAGCGTCTCACACCGATAGAGTTTTAAGGAGAGTTTAACCTCTCGGCCGTTATTAGTTAGCATAGTTAGCTCAGCGTCTCACACCGAACACCGGTACAGAGTTTTAATGAGAGTTTAACCGCTCGGCCGTTATCAGCCTTTTAGCGTACGTTACCTGCAGTGCTTTAGGTGGACAAAACTGACCAGTTAACACTTTGTTTTGAACAAAATCAGTGTCCACTCACAGTTTAGATCACCATAATATTAACAGACTTTCACTAAATAAAATATCAGCTCGTTAAAATCAAACTTTACCTCAGAGAAACTGTGGATGCTGCCCGTTTAAGCTCTTCAGCCCCGACTGGACTCTTTAAACACACACAGCGTTGTGAATCGTGTTCGCTGCTGCTGTTTTCCAGCTTAATGTCGCTCAGCGAGCATCTCCGCGATGGAGATCAGTGTAAATGAACAGCAGGTGGAGATGAAGAGCTCCTTCAGCGGAGCTTCAGCTCCTGATTCTGCTCCTTCAACAGCAGCCCGAGTCTGAACGCAGCTGGACAGAGAAGGACGGGCACCTCCTGGTCTGCGAGGAGGCGACTTCACGGTACAGCCTGTTCCCCCTCCCGGCCCCAGTCCCCAGTCCCCCTACAAAACCCCGCCTCCTGCGCTCTGATTGGGCAGCTGATTGGCCATTCAGAAGTCATTCCCGTTGCAGGGCCAGCCAATATGGCGAATGAAAGAGAGAAAACACGAAAGAAAGAAGTAAAAAATGTGTATAATTCTGTGGTTGAGATGTAAACAGAGTGATTTGGTGTGAAGTGGTTCTGACAGGAAACAGGGGTCACCGTGACTACAACACAAATATAGACGTTTTAGTTACTGTCCAAAACCACCAGCGAACCTACACGTCTTATGAGCTTCATATGGAATGTTGATGATGGAAAATAGTGTAAAATCTGAAAAAAACAAGTTTTCTTTGGGGACTACTTTGACTTACAACGCTCTCTGTGTACCCCTCCACCATGAATGGATTTACAAAATCATGTTTTTGACCAAATCCTTGTAGTAAAACTACAGTAAAACAGTATGCCATCATGTTCCAATCACACAGTGTAGTTGTAACCATTTCATGTAACACTTTACTTTGACGTAGGTTTTAGAAGTGCTGAATGCTTCGGCCGTCTAGTTCCCATCACGACCATTCTGAGAAATTCTCACTCTATAGGTTTCTTTAGAAAAACGCATTTAACATCAAAGCACTTTGAATGACTTCATTTACATCTTAATAATTGAATTATGCAGAAAATTTGAGAGCACACTTGGGATGGAGACTTTAGCAGATTTTAACTGTGGAATTACCCTGAACTCATACTCAAATTCATGTAAAAACATAAATGAAATGAGACGTGTTTAAAACAAGTTAATTAAAACAAGTAATATGCAACTCCTGTACAAATGTGCAAATTTTGTCAATGATTGATCATGAATATCATAGAATGTACAGTGCTGCTTAAAAGGTTTTGAACACTATAATTTTTGAGATCTTCATTTAACTAATAACTGTAGATAAAGAGATCCTAATTAAACAAATAACACAAAGTGTACAGTTTTCACTCTTTTATTAAACTAAATCTAATATTAAATGTTTTTATAAAAGTATGCAAACATCTGCTTTTAGTAAACACCTTGAGCAGCAATGACTCCAACCAAATGGTTCCTATTACTCTTGATCAGCCCTGCATATTGACATGGAGGAATCTTGGCCTGTTCCAACATGTTATATTAGTGGGCTTTCTTGCATGCATGTTTTAGGGTCCGCTTCAACATTTCTATTGGATTATGGCCGGGACTTTGGTTCAGGCTTTCCAAAATGCACAATTTCTTCTACTTTAACCTTACTTTGTTGAGTGACTGGTGTTTTTAAGTGTCGTTGTCCTTCTGCAGGACCTATCCTCTGTTGAGGGTCAGTCCATGGATGAATGTCCTAACATTCTCCTGTAGTATTTTTGATAAAATCCAGAATTCATAGATCTGTCGAGCGATGACAAGCTGTCCCTTTCCAATAGCAGCAAAACAGCCCCAATCTGTGATACTGCCACCACTGTGTTTCAAAGTTGGGATGAGCTTCTTATGCTGGAATACAGTCTTCGGTTTTGCCAAACATGACATCTCTCATGTAAGCCATGAAGATCCATTTTTGCTTTTCCTCTTTAGGAAAATTTAAACAAGAAGAAATGTTCTTCCTGGAGAAAAATTTCACCAAGCTGATTCCTTTTCAGGGTGGACTTGAGAAAACTGAAATTAGCCTCTGTAAGAGAAGCTTGCAGATCCTCAGATGTTACCTTGAGGTTCTTTTTGATCTCCCTGAATATTCTACACATTAGTTTTGGAGTCCTTTTTGTTGGGTAACCACCCCTAAGAATGGTAGCAATTGTTAAACTGATTTTTTCCCTGACTGTGGATCTGTACAAAGATCCAAACTCATTACAAATTTCCAGAATATGTTTTGTCATGCTTTCATGTCACTAATATTCATTTGATGACCAATGAACTGCCTCCTGTTTATTGTCTCTGGTTTAGCGTATGTTAAATGTGGTCTTGCACACTTACCTCAAATCAACAAGCAGATAAACCATAACTGTGAGACAGACTGCAGGCCCAAATTCTTTAATTGGACATCATTATTTCTTTTTCATGCTCTTTTGGAAGTTTTTGTCCTTTTGAGCCTTGGTTCCTCTCTGTTTCTTTTTTATGCTATTAGGAAGTGTTTCCTGCCACCACAATACCAAATAATCTTTGTCAGATTTATTCAGAGACCACTGAAGTCGTTCCATAGTTGCTGTTATGCACATATGTAGACATAACAGCTAAATCATTAAAATCTACTTGATTTTAAATGACATGCATTAGCTAGCGAGCTCAGTAACACTTCTCTGTGCGAGCAGACCCTCGTTCACTGCCAGCTTGAGTCGTTTCTCCATTAGCGCAGCAGCGTACACCACACAGTGTACGTCACATGGTATCAGCTGCGATCGGATGTTGGTACTGGTGCATTTTTAGGTCGAGTACGAGCAAACGAGCACCGCATCGGGCTGATACCGATACCAGTATCCGTATCAAAGCATCCCTATCTAGAAAAGGTACAAGGACATTTGATTACATAAACAGTGGTGTCCAATCTTGTCAACCAAAAGGCCTGGTGTGGCTGCAGGTTTTCATTCCAAACAAGCAGGAGCTCACCTGATTCCACTTGTTTAATCAACTGGACAGTTCTCAAACCTCTGATCATGGGCACTCCTGCTTTGTTGGAATGAAAACCTGCAGCCACACCGGGCCTTTACGCATAAGACTGGACATGCCTGCCTTATATGCTTAAACCACAAGCAACTAAAGAAAGCGTTAAAGTAAAATACATGATGCATAAAAATTACAATCAATATTTTTACAACGTTAACAATACATTAACAGTTACTTCAAGTGATAGTTACTTGTTTGCCTTCCTTAGTTTTGAAGTTAAGAGGCTAATATAGCTAACAAATAATAGAAGGTTAGGCCCTGTCCCAAATGGCACACTTGCGGTCCAGCTGTGTTCATTTGCGCATGCCTGTGAAGACTGCAAGGCCGTAGGGGGTCCCATTTCCCATTTTCACTTTCAAAAGGGTGCTTGGGCGCCCTTTACATTGATGATTTCAGTCTTGGAGGAGAACTGCAGGGCTTATGGCGCCCTTTGGGACAGAGCTCGAGCAGTGATACATCTACGCTCCGGTGTGAATGTACTGGTGTCTTTGTAGATGACTCAGTTGAGTAAAACTCCTCCCGCACTCTGAGCAGTGATACGGTTTCACGCCCGTGTGAATGGGCTGGTGTGCTTTGAGGCTGCTTCTGTCTCTGAAAGTCCTTCCGCAGTATGAACACTCATATGGTTTCTCTCCGGTGTGAATGCGCTGGTGTGCCTTCAGCGTACTCTGCTGTTTAAAACACTTGCCACACTCTGAGCACTGATACGGCTTCTCTCCTGTGTGGATGTGCTGGTGTTTTAGGAGATTACTTTTGCCTCTAAAACTTGTCCCACACTCTGAGCAGTAATACGGTTTCTCTCCTGTGTGAATGCGCTGGTGTAGCTGGAGGGAGTTCTGCTGAGTGAAACTCTTTCCACACTCTGAGCAGCGAAACGGTTTCTCTCCAGTATGAATTCGCTGATGTTGCTGAAGAGTACTCTGATGTTTGAAATCCTTCCCACACTCTGAGCAGTGATACGGCTTCTCTCCGGTGTGAATGCGCTGGTGCTGTTGGAGGTTACTGTGCCGATTAAAACTCCTGCCACACTCTGAGCACTGAAATGGTTTTTCTCCGGTGTGAATGCGCTTGTGTGTTCGGAGACTGCTTTGTCTGGTAAAGCTCTTTCCGCATTCTGAGCAGTGATACGGCTTCTCTCCTGAGTGACTACGCTGGTGTCTTTGGAGATCACCCCACTGAGTGAAACTCTTCCCACACTCCAAGCATTGGTGGGCTCTCTTTTTCCCAGCTTTTTTCTGCATTCGTTTATGAGATGTGTTCGTGCAAACAGTACCAGAGAACGTATGGCGAGACGCTATTTTCTCATATTTCATGGATGCCATGTTCATTATTTAATCTCTTCTGAATTCTGCAGCCTGAGTCATTCCTCTTGGCGGCATCTCCTGGTTTGTTTCCAGAGGGACATTTGATGTGTGCAGGAAAGTGAACTCATGGAGCAAGAGAAGACTTGAAATAGTTGGTCAATCAGTTCTGGGGAAGAGAAAACAGAAAAAAACAAATGAAACACAATGTGAAATGGAACACAAATGTATCCCAAAACTGTTGGTTTTTAGGCAACAGGATAATGTTTGAACCATGAACGTCACCAAAGGAACTAACTAGCAGCACAAGGACCATCACATACACAGTTTAGTCTGATCAGCTGTTTAGGAAAGTGAGACAAAGCTAAGAAAGGTCAAATTGATTTGGAAGCGTTTACTGGTGGTAACCAAGTTAGGTGCTGCTGCCATGATAACACTGAAATATGGGGTATGCACAGTGAAAAAGAATATAAATTCCAGACTGGGCTGGGTTTCCTAAAAGTATCTCATCACAAAGACTGTTCTGAATTTGTGGGTTATTTTTGGGTAACTGGGACTTCACCACAAATGGGGAATATATATATAAAAGCAGCTTATATACGAAAAATCTTGTTGTGCGTCAGCTGGCGTGCTCTGTGATAAAAGTTTCTTAAACCCAATGCGTTTTGTCCCGTGTACATTATAACCCTGAGTGTCATCTGAAATGTGAAGCTGTTTAGTAGACAAAATACAAAATAACACTGCGGCACACTGAAGTGACACTACATGAAAATAAAGCTACTGTGGAACACTATTATATATCAACACTACCTACTAAAACTGTAGGCCACGACGAAAGTCACTTAACTGCCACATTCTACGAAGTTGCTGTTTTGTGTGATGTATTTTGATGTGGTTGCTAGTCGTATGACATTAGCTTGTGTTAAAAACCTTATAATTCAGAAGGTAAAAACATCCGTAGGCCAAAAGGAATCGGCTTTAGAACATTTTAGTTTATGACAGGGCACAATAGCAGCAATTCTGAAAATGGATTTCAGTTTCAGGAAACCATAATATACCAGGAGTCTCTAATAGGTGTATGACTCAGACAGGATGAAGACACAACGTCCAAGTGAAAAGAACTGAAAAAAATCAGATCTGGGTCATGTTTTGGCAAAATTATGTAACTGGTAATGCGAATCAACCAGGACCACTTTATCTTGCCAAGCATGTGTAGTATCCGGAGGTCCATGTGTTATCTGACTTTGCAGGTTTGGAATGTTTAATTTAGGGGGCCCCTGGTCCAAAGGTCCAAGGGTCAAGGTCCCATAGGGAATGGGCCCCTCTCTCTTGCTCTCCCTTCCTCTCTTAGTTCCACCTCTCTTAGTTCCAGATAGATGAGATCATTTTAAAAAGGACCATATGTTCTGTTTCCTTTTTCTTCTCAGAATTGGCATGGATCCCCTCTCAGGTACTTTATGGTGTTTGATATGATACTGTTTTACTTTGTAATAAACATCTTATACAAGCAAGACAGAGACTTCTTCATCATCTTCACATCATCGCTATTTAATAAACAACACATGTTACACATTTGAGACATCTGTCTTGGTCATACAGTCCTATGAATGACATTGGTGATATGTAACATACTAACAGACCAGACTAGTACACAGACTATAAGAAATATTTAAAAAGAAATTACTTAATGCAGTGGTAATTTCCCTGACCCAGTCCTAAGGCCTCTCCTCCAAATGATTTATGATGCTGCTCCAACCTAACTCACAACATATAGAAATGAAGGAAATATGTGGACCGTCTGGGGGGCCCTGAGGACCAGGCTGGGAAACACCGGGAACAGGGAATGCAATAAAATATAGCAACAGACTAAAGAAAAGCCAAAGAGATGAATATCTAAAAATGCAAGTCATCTAACACCAGTGAAATACAGCAACAGTAAACCGTGGTTTTTATTCAGGTTTAGACAGCTTTAGAGGCAAAGAGGCAGCATTCAGGAGTAGGGAGAGAATTCCCTACGAAGAGGCCAAATACAACCTGAAGAAAAGATCAAAGCAGCACATGGTATAGCTATGGTGGTTGGTATAGTGTAGTAGGTAAAACTTGTGCCTTTTACACTGTAGACCGGTGTTCAATCCCTACCCTTGGCAAGCACCCTGCACTATACCGATAAAGAGTCCTTGGGCAAGACTCGTAACACTACCATTGCCTACCTGGGTAAAATGATCAAATAGTAAGTCGCTCTGGATAAGAGCGTCTGCCAAATGCCATAAATGTAAATGCAAAGATAAGATATTCAGACAAGCTGAACAGCCATGCTGCTACAAACAACTCAAACTCAGTTTGGATAGGCCTCCAGAAGATCACCAACCCCAAGCTGAGAAGAAACCCCCACACCAAATACCAGAGCTCATGAGTTTTACTGTAGATCTTAAAGTTTATATGAAAATCTCCAGTTTTACTCTTCCAATCATTTTCCCTCCTCCACCACCCCCGCTCATCTCCCCAGCAAAAAGCAGGACGTCAAACAGCTCTTAAAAAGCCAAGAAAAGCTATGAGCCCAGTTTTAGTCTCAACATCCATAAAGCACTGCTCTGATCAACTGGCAACATTTTTCACATCTGCAAAACAACATTGAAACTTTGCTCCCACAAGCTTCAAATTCTCTGTTATCATCCCAGTCCTCAAAAAGTCAAAGGTTATAGGATTTAATAAGGCCACTCGCCATGACCTGTAGTAAACTCTTTGAATGCCTTGTCCCCCATCTGAAGGCTATTACAAACCCACTGCTGGATCCCCTGCAGTTTGTGTAAACAGCACACAGGCCTGTCATTGATGCGGTCAGCTTGGCCCTGCACTTCATGCTACAGCTTCTCAACTGTGCAGGGACATAGGCTATAGCTCCGTTTGTGGATTCAGCTCAGCTTTTTCCACCACTGTGCCAAAAGTCCAGCTTTCCCAGTTGTCTGTGCCTAATTTTATTAATAAATAAAGCTTTTCGCTTGGTTTATACAGCATATTGTAATAGTACTGGACATGTTTGACACATTGGGGCTTACATGTCTTAACAGTCAGGATTCTTTTTAAGATAAGAGCTTCTAAGGGTCAGAGTTTTTAACACGTTTTGCCTCTGTTTTGCTGCCTAGGAAGGTCCAACAAGAACTCACAATTTTGGACAATATTGAGTAAATGTATGAGACAACAGAATTGTCATCAATACCCCCCCCCCAAAAAGACTGGATATCATGCACCACAAAAGTCTCTAGGATGATCCTCCACTGACCAGAAACTCCTACTCGGACATTACCACCTCATTTGCACATATAATTACACATTCTATAGGCCCCTTAGATCAGCTGGTCCTGGAGATCTACTACCTTGCAGAGTTTAGCTTCAAACTAAATCTAACACACCTGATGCAGGTAATGAAGGCCTTCAGGGGCATCTGAATATTAGAGCCAAGTGTGCTGGATCTGAACTCTCCAGGGTGGTTGATCTCCAGGACCAGGTTTGAGTCCCCCTGCCTTAGATTATATCCACACCTTCATATCGTCACTGTCCAAAGAGAAACACCTTCGGCATTTTTTATTTTTCTACATAATTTCAACATAGCAACTGCCCTCTATACTGTGTGAAAATTTCATAATGATTGGACCAACAGGAACCGCTTATAATAAAAATCTTTTAATATTAACTTACGTTAAAAGTTAAGGCTGTTTTTGCCCTCAACTTTTGGCGATCCATGTTTTTCTTTGGACAGAAAACAATATCTGCTCTGACCTCACTGGGACTAAACCTGCTTTCCCACACAGGAGATGAGTAACTTAATCATTCGGCCAAACAGCAACTACAAAACACACACTTGGAGTGCTTAAAATGTCGCCATAACTCATCAGATTGTAAATTTCCCCTATGGTGGGACTAATACAGAATTATCTTACCGTATTTTAACTCAGCTTTAATGGAAATTCAACTCGAAACAGCTGCAGCAAAGGGGAAACACGCAACACACAGTCTAGCTTAGGCTCTACTGTTCTGTCGCTAGCCAGCAACGCCCCCCACAGTCCTTCAAAATAAGAGTCCTGAACCAACTAAGAACGCAGTGCCCAACTACACTCAACCAAAAGCAAGAACGTTAAACTGAATACAACCCACCATGTCTGGCGCTACAATATTTAATAACTAAACAAAAAAATAAAATAAAACAAGCACATATACTTGTTTTTTTATTTATATAAAAAATAAATATATATTTATTTGGTTTTGTAAGCTTTGTTAAGCTGTTGAGGTGATGCTGACTGTTCCACAGCCCTTCAGTACATGAAAAATGTGCTCTCAGTTCTGATGTAAGTAATTATTATTTAATTACTTTTTATTTTGCAAAATACTAAACATATAATTTTGTATTTGTTTGAAGAGGGGTTTAAAGAGAGGTTAGTCAGATTTCTGTTTACACATCTCAAAAAAGATGTGTAAATCAAAAAAGTTTTTAATAGTAATTTATCACTTCTCATATCGCCATTGTGATATCGGACAGCTTTATCGCACACCGTGTTTTATGTCTATATTGTGCAGCCCTAGAAGGGGTTTTCAGCCCAGTGTTAGGAAATAAGCCCCTGGGAATCAAGCACTTCAGAGCAGTTATTTGTGGAAAGAACACATTTTCACCATTTTCTACCTTAAAAACAGAGAAGAAAAGAGGGAAAAGCCTGAACTGTATTCCTGTAGTACCACTAATTTTCATAGATAAAGGCGTGTCAGTGTCTATTTAAGTAATGACGTTGGTTCTGTTGACACTCTGTAAGAACTGTGACGAGTTAAGGAGAAAAAGACATTTTCATCAATTCTAATAATCTTATTTTAATCGTCCGCTAGATAAAACTACATGATGCAGTACATTGAGCAGGTAAACTCAGCTTCTAAACCCCACATAAAGCATCTCTAATGTCCTAAATCTGCCAAACACACCGACCACAACACGGGCGCTGTAGAGCTGAGATCACCCAGCAGGTCAGCTCGAGCTCCGCTCTGTCAGTCTGGTTTAAACCTTAATGTTCAGCCGCCGTTTCACACTGTGTGGAAGGTAACGCATGTAAACAGGAGCAGCTCCTCCTCACCTCCTCCTCCTCCTCCTCCAGCACTTCAGTCCAGTTCCTGTTTCTCTCCTCAGCCCGACTCTGAACGCGCACTGACGAGCACGCGCACCAGGGTGAAGTATATGGCGTCAAATCAGGTCCATAAATGGCCGCTAGATGGCAGTAGAGGGTGTTATGATTGTGGAGTTAGAGTAACAACCCTGCTGAAGAAGACCACCCTGCTGAAAAAAGGCCACTAGAACCATTGATGCTTTCTAATGGGAACTGGCTTAATGGTTACCATTAGGGACGACGGATTTGTGTAGGACACCTTTAGATCCCTTTAAGAAACCAACAAATGCATCTGGAATCACCTGTTAAGCCATTAGAGTCCTTTATACTGTGATATCAGCTCATCAGGAAAACATTAAACACCATTAGTGACAACTGGACACCACCAGGAACTAACAGAACCTTTTAATGGTTTCTATGATTTTTTTTAGCAGGTTTATGGTGGATGATGTCAACTCAATGTCTGGAATTCAGTCTCTAAAAGGCACTGAGTTTTTATTAAATCACATTTTCAGATTCACTTCCAAAACAAAATTTGGGTGTCTTGCAGGCTAAAGCAGTCGAACTCCAAATCCCATCCCGCTCCCCTCCCCGACATCCTGCCTTGTACCTACACTCAGTGGCCATTTTATCAGAAACACCTACCGTACTTGCAACTGTAAAGAAATGATGTAGCTTTTAAACTTAAAAGAGTGATTAACTGGGTTAACTACACATTTTGTTGAGCTTGGAATTTTAAGTTAACAGGAGAATCATTTGATTGGCACAGTGGGTGACGCTGTCACCTCATAAGGGCCTGGGTTCGATTCCCCAGCCAGGCAACCGGCGTCCTTTCTGTGTGGAGCTTGCATGTTCTCCCAGTCAGTATCTGTGTGGCTTTCCTCCCACAGTCCAAAGACATGCAGTCAGGCAGCTGGAGATACTAAACTGGCCCTAGTTGTGAGTGTGTCTGTTACTGTACTTGTCTGTGTGTCTGTCCAGGGTGTTTTCTGCCTTCTGCCCAATGAGCACTGTGAAAAGCTCCAGCACCCCTGTGACCCAGGAGGATGAATTTATCATCTGGTTTTTACATTTGTTAACTTATTATTCGAAGTTTAATGAGCTCACCATTTCAAGTTCACCTGGTTTCTTAATCCTTTAAGTTTAAAAGCTGCATTACTATTTTTTACAGTGTAGCATATCTCTTGCTGCAGTCCATCAACCTTTCCACCCCATCCTTTGGTGAAAAGGGACCACCACAGGACCACTACTGTCCAGATTTTGTGGGTGATGTTCCACTGTCAGTGCAGCAGAGATGCTATTGCTGGGGTTGACAGGCCACTAGAAGCCTGTACAAAATACATTCTATGCTACGTTTTACATTCACTTCTGACTTAAAAAAAAGAATTTTTTTTGGTTCCACCAGTTCAGTTATAAAACAAGCTGCTGGGGAGATTCAGTGTTTGACTGCTTTTGCCTGCGGGACACACGGCTGTTATTTAGAAAGAGAATCTGAAAATATGAATTAGTAGAAACACCAAAAGCCTTTTTGAACCCAAATTTTAGACGTTCAGTTTTATGTCACCAGCTGTAAAAGTCAGTTTCAGATTTTATGTTGCTGTCTCACAAACCTTAACATTCAATTTCTGTACAGAGTTCAATTTCTACTGAGCTTATAAGGTTACTTGGTGGTTATTTTTTAATAAGATGTGGCCATAAATTAATATATTGAGGCCACAAGTTAAGTTCCTAATAATTCATGGCCTCAAAGTAGCAAATTGTGGCCGCACAATAGTAATTTGTAGCCACACCTTATTTAAAAAACAATCACCATGTCACCTTAGGGTCTCTGTAAATTTCAGATGATGTGATACAAATTCAAAATAATAACATTCATAATCAGATTTTTGTATTTACATCACTGAATCTAATTCTATAAATATAGCTAACACCATCTACCACCATATAGAGACATTTTTTAGACCTGATTTCATGTCATAAAGTACATGACATTCAAATAAATATTTTGGCATTTCAATTCAAATTCCTAATGGCATGAATCTCCACATTAAATACACTGATAATCAGTGATCACGTCTATTGTGAGTCTTTGTGCACAAACTGAGAAAGTGTGCTCAAACTTTAATTACCAAAAGTTCATTATTTTAATTATCTGAAGTTGATGGAATTACATGCTTATCAAATGTTCTGATCATCCACACCTAAACCACAAACTTCTACTTTTTGAAAAAGGGATAAATAGATGGACAGAACAGGGAAGAAACAGTGGATGATGTGGAAACCTGGGCATGGATTTTGCCAAAGAACAGACATAAAGCAAAAGACTATATGAGCATTTTGCTCTGGAAGGTTTGATCTGTTGCCACCAGAGGGCGACAAAATCCATTTAATGAGCACAGGCTTAAAACTTCATAGACTCTTCACAAATGAGACAAGAACATAGTAACGAGAGAAATAACAAGATAGACCAAGATAAACTGGAGTCTCATAGCACATATCATCTCTGTCGGGACAAAACTAGTATCTCAGTTTTTGTAATTTTTAATTTTTTGACATAATTTTAAAAACCATCTGCTCTTTACATTGTGCTGAAATTTCATGATGAATGGACAAACAGAAAAGCTCCAAAACAGCTTGGAAAAAATATTTTTTCCATTAACTCCCATTCAAAGTTAAGAAGTTTTTTCCTTCTTCTGAAAAATCACCACTTTGGAGATTTGAGGCTTATTCCCAACAGTGATGAAATGCCTTGGCACTGTTTATTATCTTTACAGTTTACAAATAACAGGATTTGGCTTTGTTGGGGTCAAATTCACCTTCAGATGGAGCACCGGGCTATAACACCTAGAATGATGCAGTGAGAAATGATTCCAAGCAAAAATAAACAAATTTTATATTTGCAGCCTAAACGCAGGATTCAGCTTTGCAGTCATATACAGTAGTTTGAACACCCCCTCATGTATTTCTGATTTTCTAAGTAACAGTAAACAAATTAACCCTATATAGAGAACAAACTTAAACATGGCACTGCTCTGCAAACTTCTGTGCACAGCTTCTATCTATTAGCTGAGTTTAACATTTTGGAAAAACCTAAAACATAAAAGGTGCCATAACTTTTGCACACGCCACACTTTGTTTTGTTTTGTTTCCAACAAGTTAAATTCAGTAAATAAACAGTAGCCGTGCAGAAGCTTGTTCTCTGTAGAGGACGTGTTCACTTATTTTCACCTAGAAAGTCAACAACAGTATGGAAATTTGACCGGGGGTGCCAAAACTTTTGCACACGAGTGTAAGTAGCAGTCCAGATGGTGTTTGTCTGGAAATGGAATGGCAGTTTGAGTAGGAAAACAGGTAGGAATCCTGAACGGGACTAAAATAGATTTCCAGGGAATATCCCATAGATTGGCTTGATGTGTTGGATTAGTCATTCCCACAGTCACCACAAAACAACTTAAAAAAAAAATGGATAGAGGAGGGAGGGGAGGGGCGGAGCAAGGCCATGCTCCTCCTCCAGTGCTCCTCCTCCTCAAAAAAAAAGGTCTAGGTATAAAAGGTAGGAGTGTCAGCAGCAGATGTGAGTGTCTCACTAATACCCCATTATAGGTACAGTGTGAGGACCAAGCTGCTTCAGTTCCTTCTGAAAAGACACAAACAAGAGCAAAATGGTGAGTAAAACCACATCATGTTACTCTTTTTCCTAAAATCAGTACCTGTTTTAATGTTTTTACCTCTGAACTGTACAGTTTGGCTGTAAAGTAGTAAAGCAGCCAAACAAAGTGCTGCCTTAAACATATATAAGTGTATCGCTGCTGTCGGAACAAAACCTGGTTTTTGCAAAATGGTAACTTTACAGGAGAAGGAAAAAACATACATTACTTTTAATGTAAGTCAATGGAACCAGACGTCTTTCCGAGTCATTTTGGGCTGTTTCTTTTGGTCCATTCATCATGAAATTCGCACACAATGTAAAGGACAGTAAGTATTTTTAAATCATGTCAAAAGCTGAAAAACGAGGTTTTGGTGAGACAGCAGTGATATGCAGCCTGTTCCGGTGTCAAATGGACCCTGTTGCCAGGTCTGTATGCTACAACATCTGGCACCGACTTCTTAAAGGCCTCAAACGGCCTTTTGTTCACAGTGAACTGTCTGTAGTTAAATGATATAATGTTACCCATGATTAATGATGTTTACAGTGTAGAGCAGAGCAGTGAATCAATAAACAGGGAGTCATTACTTTAAGCCCTGTGTAGTGCAATGTATGGTGAACACAGAGCTACTATTACATGTGCTATATAGTGCACTATATTGGGAGTGGGACATTATTTAAAGCCAAATGTAGTGCACTATCTAGGGCACAAGGGGCCATTACATCATGCAGTATATAGTGCACTACTCTGTGAGCAGGGAGCCATTCTTTCATGCCCTACATAGTGCACTATATAGAGAGTGAAGAACCACTATTTCACATTCTATGCAGCGTATTATACTGGGGTTGAAGAGACTAAGGTTTAATGTTCTAGCTAGTACACTATATGTGGAGCAGTCACTGTTTAATGTTCTAGCTAGTACATTATATGTGGAGCAGTGACTGTTTAATGTTCTAGCTAGTACACTATATGTGGAGCAGTCATTATTTAATGTTCTAGCTAGTACACTATATGTGGAGCAGTCACTGTTTAATGTTCTAGCTAGTACATTATATGTGGAGCAGTCACTGTTTAATGTTCTAGCTAGTACACTATGTGAAGCAGTCACTGTTTAATGTTCTAGCTAGTACATTATATGTGGAGCAGTCACTGTTTAATGTTCTAGCTAGTACACTATATGTGGAGCAGTCATGATTTAATGTTCTAGCTAGTACACTATGTGAAGCAGTCATGATTTAATGTTCTAGCTAGTACATTATATGTGGAGCAGTCACTTTTTAATGTTCTAGCTAGTACACTATATGTGGAGCAGTCACTGTTTAATGTTCTAGCTAGTACACTATATGTGGAACAGTCATTATTTAATATTCTAGGGAGGACAC